GGGGGAACGGGGGAACGGGGGAACGGGGGAACGGGGGAACGGGGGAACGGGGGAACGGGGGAACGGGGGAACGGGGGAACGGGGGAATGGGGGAACGGGGGAACGGGGGAACAGGGGAACAGGGGAACGGGGGAACGGGGGAACGGGGGAACAGGGGAATGGGGGAACGGGGAAGTGGAGGAACAGAGGAGCAGGGGAATGGGGGAACGGGGAAGTGGAGGAACAGAGGAGCAGGGAAGCGGAGGAACAGAGGAGCAGGGAAGCGGAGGAACAGAGGAGCAGGGAAGCGGCCAACCTAGGGAGTCAATCCCCTAGGTCAGCAAACAGGAGTTTTGACTTGGGTTAAGCCTAAGTCAAAGGACAGAAGAGCAAGGCTTAGAAAAGGTAATATTCAGACTAAGGATCTACCGACAGATGTACATATGTTTATATACTCTAAGTAAGTAGCATAGCATAGCAGAAGGCTATGTGCTGAGTGTACAGGATTACAAGAGAGATGACTGAGACATACAAGAAGAGGCTTGGAGAATAGTATGTACGCGATGGATCAGAAAACACTCAGGTATAGGGATTACTGGTGATCCGAAAAGCGGAACTATGATACTAAATGGAGATAGGACCAGTTGAGTGGATCCTAGTCTAGGAAGTGGACCAGTGAGGTGGTTGGGCGGACTAATCATCGGGTGGGGCAACATGAGCGGAACTGAAGGAATCAAGTGGGTCGGAAAAGCGGAGGGAGTAGGAATAGGATCAGGCAGACTGATAGGGCGGAGGAGCGGAACCCCAGATAGGGTCGGATGGAAGGGGTATAGTGCCTGGAGGACATAGGGGTAGTGTCGGAGGAGTGGAATGGGGTCGAGCGGAGGTAGCAGGGCTAGTCCTGCTGAGATGCACTTTTGTGCATTGTCGGAGAAGGAGGGATAGAGGGGACAGGAAAACAGGGGGTCGGACCAGGGTGGGGATGTTCACAGGTGGTATTGGAGGTGCCCGGATCTGGTATAAGACAGATTCACACGCTCACAGGTTGACCAGGCCATTTATTTCTGGTGCTCCCTGACTCAACACATGGTTGTCACTGTCTCTGTGGACGACATGTCCATCACATCCAACCATATCAGCCATATTGAACGCTTCAAAGCCCAACTTTGCAAGTATTTCGAGATATTGGACCTGGGAGAACTTAATTGGCTCTTGGGCCTAAAGGTCAAGTGAGACTGTGAAGCATGCACCATCACTCTCTTGCAGCAGCGCTTACATCAATACCATCCTAGAACAATTCTACCTTACGGATGCGAAGACTGTGCAAATGCCTATGGATGTAGGAACCATCCTGTCAGCAGATCAATGCCCTACAATGCATGCGGAGCATGAGGCTACGCAGGACATACCATATCAGCGGTGTGGGTGAGGAAAATAGACTCTGGGGTGATTCAGACGTCTAACAAGGGTGCGAGACTAATACTCGTCCCGAGGGGATTGCTACTGGGTAGCGAGTCCTCAAATAAGTGCAAGGAAAGCAAAGACTAGACTCTGTCTAGCAACCTGAAGGGTTCCGGTCCTTACTAGGACTGGGAACACAAAGATGCGGAAGGTACCCGACAAGTGGAACTCAGCACGCGATGAATGGAACTAATGCACGACAGAGCGGAACTACGCGGAACTAACAGAACTAACACAGAACAAACAGAGTGAACGGGGAACAAATGGAACAAATAGGGAACAACAGGGAACTAATGGAGGGAAAAGAAACTACTGAGCCTGCAGGAGGATGATTGGGCAAAGTCGGACCAGGCTTGTGTCTGGTACTTGCTCCAGGTCGTCGGATCCAATGTCGGGCATTTTGAGCAGAACTCACGGGGGTGGGAACATTGCAATGAGATCAGGAATAGATTCAGGAAGATATTTTAGACAGTGAGTGGAGTACTGGGAAGTACTCTGTAAGTGGAAGTGGAAGTTGAGTCTATCAGAAGGTAAAAAAACTAAGATCCCATCTATTGCTACCTATATAGGAAGAGGTTCCAGGAAAGCACTATGCTACAACCAGGGAGGCTGTGAGATAAGGAACCGGTTCTGAGTAGCGGAAGGATTCATATAAGTATCATAACACATATGAAATGAGATAGGAACATGTTAGTAACATGGGGAATGTAGCTAGTACTCACCAGTGAGGATGGAAGGACAGGGACAGGATGGGGGAAGACGTTCCAAAGGCCAAAGGGATATGATCCGCGTGGTACACAATTGTTCCGCTGGGTTCCACTTGGTTCCATTTAGTGGATGGTTCAGGGAAGATGCAGATGGGTAGCGGAATGGTGGCAAAATGCATGGGAAGATGGTGGTAAGGCATGGGAATTATATGGGATACAGGCCTACAGTGGGGACATTCCCCACAGCAGGCCATAGGGTCCCTAATGTACGTGGCCACAAGTACATGCCCTGATATTCCATTCTCAGTTGCAATGCTATCACAATTCATGTGCAACCCCAGACAAGCACACTGGGAAGCCAACAAACACATTTTTAGGTACCTTAAAGGTACAGCCAATCTTGGACTGACCCTGGGAGGTACAGATGCAGGAATAGAAGCTTACATTGACATGGACTGGGCATCCCAGCCGCACAAACTCTTGATGTCAGGCTATGTGGTCATGCTCAACAGAGGACCAGTTGCATGGAGTACGCAAAAACAGCCTTTGATAGCACTGTCAACCACAGAAGCTGAGTATATTGCACTTACGATGATTGCCCATGAAGTCCTCTACTTACAGCTACTCTTTGACAAACTCTACGCACCAGTAGAACTTCCCACCCCAGTCTATTGCAACAAACAGGCTGCCATAGCCCTTGCATCAAACAATGAGTTTCATTCACGAACCAAGCATATCAACTTACACTACCACTTCATTCATGCACATGTCAAGAACAGCACATTCACACTTGTTTACTGCCCGATGGAGGACAATGTCACTGATGTGTTCACCAAAGCTTTGCCATGTCCCCACCTCCAGAAGCTACACACTCAGATGAGCTTGAACGATTGCGCTTGAAGGGGAGTGTTGGAATCTGGCAAAATGAGAGAATCAGGAGATGAACCATAGAAGATGAAAGTGAAACAGTACAAGCACAACAAGCATGTACAATGAAGCAATGTGTTGATGTCAGCCAAGGCTCATCAATATTGGAATGTCTATCCCTATGTTACAGTCAATTTACTTATCTATGCTAACCGTACTATAAAGAACCAGTTGAGTCATTAGAACATCTCAGGTCTTTTCATAAAGCCTGAGATGTAAGTCTCATATTTTCGCACTATTCTACAAGAGCTAACATACCATTAGATATTTATTCTACTAGGTACTTTTCCTGCTCTTAAAGGTCTTTTCATAGAGCCTGAGATATATTTATTCTATGTAAGGACTATATGTCCTTTACGCGCCAAACCGACTTTAAAGCGAGACGCTCGAACTTACCATACGTTCAGTGCAGCCACATGACTCACTGATGTGAAGAGCTCAATTCTTCGCATCCGAGTTACATGGTTACATTCCTTCTTACTCTATTCCATCATTCTACCATATGCTTGCATTCCACCATCTCCTTGTCTCGCCGACTTATTTTCAGTTCCACATGCTACCTACTCAAATCTCCGTTTAATCGTTCGATTCCCAAACACTTATATACCGCGCCTGTGCACTCGTACTATAGCAGAATCTCAGACGCTGATTCCCTGCTCCAAGCTCAATCGAAAACTATCGCAGAAAGTCCTCATCTTATACGTTTCCTCTACTCGTCTCGTTCGCCGTTGTGCTCGTCACTTATCTACTTCGTCTTGTTACATTTCCCCTTCGAACTCACAACTAGCCTTACATCTACTAGCTCACTCTTTGTGAGTCGCTCACCTAAACTCGCTTTAGAAACATGACAAACATGTGACACAATGTGCAGGGAATTGGAGATGTCTGCAAGTGGATGGGAAGTGACGAGAATAAGGAGGTTTGCCAGGAACTCGATCAGCCATGAGGGCAGCCTGCCAGCAAGCAGACTAAAGATTGGCTCCTGGGAACCTGCCTCATCACTCGTCCAATGCATCAATAACCATCAGGACAGGTGCAGTGACAGCTTTTGAAACCATGCCTATTGGTCGTGCAATGAAATGTTTCCATTGCCCTCTGATATCTATGGTATTGTTGGCATCATGAACTGCACATGTGAATGCTCTCTGCATGACAGGATCACACTCAGCCAAATTGCATACAATTGTGGTGAATATTTTCTCATAGCAGCGATCAGCTCCTGATGTGCAGTTGAAGCAAAAGCAAGCTCCCAAACCCCCATAGTCATTAAATCAATTGGCTATTGTGTGGGCAATGGCTGATTCGCCTTTCCCTACCATGCCAGACAACCATAGGACGTACAGCACATCCTTTTCGGTGCTTCCGATCCAGGACTTGATCTTGGACAGAAGGTCTTCCTGAGTATCTGGGAGACAAACCTTAGAGCTGTTCAGTACAGCACCAACCACACATCCCATGTCGCTCAAGGCCATGTCCTGCACTCAAACATGGGTCGTGGAACATCAGTGAGGATCCAGGGTGAGAGGTCGACCCTTACACGTATGGTAGACGATCACATTGTCATGGGTCACTTTTCTCAGAATTGCTGCACAAGACCAATCAGAGCCTGACTGTAGCTTTGAATTGTGGCATCCATTTCATTGGAGATGTTCTTGCCAATTTGTTTCCCTGTGCAGAGGCTGCATTTAGTTTCAGGCGCCAAGCAGTGGGATTGACTCTTCATCTCTGGGTAATGGGTAATAAAATCAGCGTACTCCAGCATCTGTCGCACTATTTTTCCATATATCGCTGGCATGGATGGAAACTTGACCCATGCCATCTCTTCCTTGATCAAAGAATATACCTCCGAGATCATCAAGAGCAAACAGGAAACAGTAACATCACTGTCTACATGATCCAGGCTCATCTATCACCAATACATTATTATTAATCTGCAAAGTTGAGGATACAGAAGACAAGTGAACCTTGGACACACAAGTCAAGATACTCAACACCACCTTCACATGGGGATGTACCTACACATGAAGGTCAGTCACACAACATACAAACCAGGTATAAACAATCTACAATCCTGTCAGAAACGGAGTTAAATGCATTCAGAGGCTCAAGAACAGTAGAGGTGTCTATGAATTGTACATTGTTGATCCTTGGAGTACTGGGAGTAATTCCCAGGATAGTACCTTTGGTGGCATCCACGTTTCTTTCATCCCCAAACTTTGGCTCGTGTGGTCCTGCCTAAATGTTTTATCTTAGTACACTACCAAACAGGGGCAGCATCATTCTGGGCTACACCACTTGAACATACCTTGACAAAGTGAACAGAGGATGAATTATCAAGGTTCATGACTGATAAAGCTGGGTTGGAGATGTTTTCATTTTCTTTGGGGACAAGAGCAGCAAGTGGTAGAAGATCCTGCAACTATCATTCATTTCATGTGGGAGAGTCAGAATTGCACCTACTTCACTCATCAGGACAGATAGGGGATCCTGTTCACAGGAACTGGCAGCCATGAGTACAGTGTTAGAAGGCTGTCCAGTGGTTCAAGCAAAACTGTCCTTGATCAAATTGCTCCAGAATTTGTGAAACAACCCACTGGGTCATTCAGTTCATGGGGGTGTGAGAGAGGACAGCTGGAACAGTATTGAAATAGGAAACAACTTGGCAGACAGAAAGGCAATGTTCCATTCTTCTCTTCCACTAGTAGTGGCTGTCATGGCATTCTCCTGGATAGATAGGAGATAAAGAGACTCCACCCCCAGTGCTTCTTTCACCATGACAGAGGCTTAGGATTGTTCATCGGATAAATTGAAGTTGAAGTAGCGATGTGCTTAAAATAGAATGATCATTGATGGGGGCACTCAAGCCAATCAGACACGAGAAAACCTGTCTTGAAGTTCTGCTGGCACGGTGTGGGTGAGGATAATAGACTCTGAGTGAATCAGATATCTAACAAGGGTGTGAGACTAATACTCATCCCAAGGGGATTGCTACTGGGTAGCGAGTCCTCAAGTAAGTGCAAAGAAAGCAAAGACTAGGCTCTGTCTAGCGACCCAAATGGTTCTGATCCTTACTAGGATCAGAAACACACAGATGCAAAAATGCACAACAAGCAGAACAAAGCATGCAACTAGTGGAACAAAGCGCACAACAAGCGGTGGAACTAATGCACAACAAACAGAACAAACACACAGATGAAAGTCATGGATACAACAGATGTAAGAAGAAACTATGAGCCTATACAAGGAAAATTGGGCGAAGTCAAACCAGGATTGTGTCTGGTACTTGTTCCAAGTTGTCAGATTCAGAAGGTCAGGTGCCTCGAGTGGAACACATGGATGCGCGCACGTTGCAATGAGGTCAAGAATAGATTCAGGAAAATATCAAACAGTGAGTGGAGTATCGGGGAAGTACTCTGTAAGTGGAAGTGGAGCCGAGTCTAACAGAAGGTAAAAACTAAGATCCCATCTTTTGCTATCTATATAGGAAGGTGTTCCGAAAAGCACTATGCTACAACCGGGCAAGGCTATGAGATAAGGATCCAGTTCGGAGTAGCGGAAAGATCTGTATAAGTATTGTAATACATGTGTAATGAGATAGCAACATGTCAGCAACACATCAAACATAGCAAGTACTCACCAGTGAGGATGGGAGGACAGGGACAGGATGGAGAAGGACGTTCTGAGGCTAAGGGAATATGGTGTGCGTGATGCATGGTTGTTCCACTTGGTTCCATGTTTGTTCCATGTGGTTCCACATAGCGGGTGAGGCAGATAAGAAGCAGATAGGTAGTGGAACAAACAGAAAGATACTGGCAAGGCTTGGAGAATATATGGAATACGGGCCTACAGTGGAGACATTCCCCACAACTGGTGCAATTTTATTGGATAGGTAGCGCCCACTGCAAGCGAATTTGGTCAATGAGTTATTGACAATGTGGATTGTCTGAGATTGCATAAGGACCTGTAGCCTTAGGCTGTCATGCAGGGCGCAAGAGGTAATGATAGTATAAGAAAGGATGTGAGCCAGTTGCAAAAAAAAATTACACCAGGAATGATAACATGAGCACGCCAGTCAGACTACCAAGGATAGATGAGCCATTGCTTGAAGCATTAATATCCATTGTGTTTAGAGCATTGTTGTTGACACCATGCAGGCAGCCAAGGCCAAGGCCTACCCTAGCTAGACCCAAATGAGAAAAAAAAAAAAAAAAACACTGAACAGTCATGACTTCTTAGTTATGTTGAGGGCCGAGCCAGAAACAAGTGGAAACAAGTGAATGGTAAACCTGGTGCTACACCTTCCACCATCTCAAACACTGCTGCTTCATTCAATCCACACTTTGATCCTCTTATCATGACATTCACCTACCCCCCTCCACCCCCTCTTGCCAAGATGGTCGCTGATGTCCATCGCCATCACACTCATCTCATCAACCAACTTGAGCTTGCACAAACCGAGGCCACTGCCACCCTGGCTGAAGTCACTCTCACACAGGTGGAGCTCAAGGCTGAAATGGAACAGATGCAAGATTTCTTGAACCACATGGCATCTGTTGCTGGGAAGAATGTTGTGCATAAGCTGATTGGGAGTGTCAACTGAGCAATGGAGAATGGCGACAACTCAGAGGACAAGATTCAAGATGACAAGCAAGATGCGGATGATGAAGATTCAAGCTGTGATGATGATGATGAGCATGAAGTGGATCAGCAAGACAAGAATTTGAGTGATGATGCCAGTGAGAGTGAAGAGATCCAGCAAGCAGGCTACACTGTGCATGCATAAGGACCTAGGATGTAATGGAGTCGTCATATCCTGCACACTACCCCCTGCTACCACCCCTTCATCCATGCGCAGCATCTTGCAACTTCTTTCGGACCCAAATTTCAATTTCTCTCTCTGCATTCATCTGCTGTTCTCCATCTGCCACTAGTCTGTGACACCAGTAACGTCCCAGCCTTTCATTCCTGCCCCTTTGCTTGCCTTCACCAGCACACCTGCCACCTACTGCTGCCACAATGGACCTGTAGTTGACTGGAACCACCCTAATATCAATGAGACTTTTTATGTGGTTTTTCGTGTTCTTCTCGTACTACAAGCGGTGTTCTGGGGTCCTTAGACTATGATCGTGTTCGATCATCTGCACAAAAACGGATACATACAATTTTCACCACGTGCTACCCCTCTCGCTGGTGCATGGGTGCAAAATTCTGTTACTCGCCAACGCGCAGTACATACCGACGACAAGTGTATTCAAGCACTTCGCTGTCTACCGTAGCATGGAAGACTTACTTTTTCACCATGGTTGATATCCGTCGTGCTTAGAGCATTGTTGTCAACACATTCAAGTACCCAGCAGGAACTCAGTTACAACTAATCATCCATGATCATACAAAGCGAGTGATGTAAAAAATTCAGTAAATGTTGTAAGTTAGCTACGACGTGCGTAGCTAGAGGCGATGCGAGTGCGAAGGGGGTAGATAGACCGCTAAAGGAATGATGATAGTTAGAGTTAGCTTCAAAGGAGGACGACGGTTACGAGAGAGATCGTGCATCGATAAGAGAGAGTGAGCGCGTTATAACGATGATAAGAAAAGATAAGGAAAACGAGTTCTTCGGGACGTTCTTCTGGGGGAATCTACTGTTCTATTCTGCTGATCATTAAGAATGTACATGGGCTACTTATACTGTAGGATGAAGAAGGGTCGTCCTGGAATAGTTAAAGGCAAGGGCTCAGTGTACCGTCGGTGAAAGCGGTGGCTGAAGGGAGTGGCGTTGTATTTGATAGAGTAGCGAGAAATGATATGAGTTGTTGACAGGGTGAAGACGGCGGTGTTACGAATGGAGGAATAATGACGAAAGGAAGGGTTTAGCGAGTGATAGGAATTGAAAGGGTAGATGCTAATAAAAGGGGTCGGGTATCGTGCTTGACAAACGGTCCAGGCGTTGACGTTGTGGTTGTGGTGAAAGGAGTATCGGCATATTCCGGCGGTAAACGTTTGGTAATCCTTACAATGTTACCGAGCTAAGGACTACTTCCGTTGTTCAGAACTTCACCTCCCCACATGTTTCACCAGCATATGTGTATCCCATGTGGGCCCGTAACATGGTGTTATGCTTTCCTTTGGCGAAGTTGGATGATGGGTGTGCCCACTCAAGGTTCGCGCCCCACAACTCGAAGAACTTATCTATAGTGGCCTGAGGCTGTCCGGAAGCGAGCAGATATTGGTACACCGAACGCCATGCGCTGTCCAACGCACCGACGACCCACCTGGTTACATCGCCGTTTAATTGTAATCATCGAAAAGACCAAACTGCTTTCCACTTACGCGTGACGGGTGCTGATGGCCTCTCCAGCGATATGCAACCTCTTGTTGGCATTTGGTACAGTGAGAGACGTGTATAACTCCTGGAAATCTCCAGGCCCGAAGAACGCATTGGCACCTGTAAAGACAGTGAGCAGTGATTGGCTTATATCAGCATTCGCAGACTTACCCATGGTGAGCGGGTCGTGGTTCCAGTCCCATGCAAACATGTCCACGAACTGATCCGACAGGAAACTAAAAGGGAGGCCGTGTACTTCTGCGAGATTGCGCAGTGCGAGTTCCTTCAATTGCTCATTGTACTCTGATTTACCGGTGTTGATGAGCGCTCCCAAGCGTTCTGCGTCATTTGTCCAACAGTAGCTCACGATCATCGAAGTGGGCGGCGAGCTAGAATCGACTCCGTAAGAGGGGTAAACGATAGTTCGGATGGGAAGGTCGGTGAATGATTGGCCTCCTACAATACCGAACTGGTCTGTCCACCACGCTGATAGGAAGCGCATACCAATCTTGATTGCAGGACCGTACTGCAGCTTACGCAAGGCATTTCTCTGCATCAGATTTAAACCAGCAACGGATAGGTCAATCGTCCGCAGGCACGCCAGAGGGATAGTCGATATGACGTGTGAATATGTGCGCGGGTTAGATTCGCCCCGTACATAAACCGTCATGGCGCTGGTACCAACTTGTGAGATGCGCGTAACGCTCTTGTTGAATTGGATTAGATTTGATTTGGTGCCTTTAGCAGTAATGTATTCCGTCATATAGTTGGTGAGCACTTGAGAACCGCCTCTGGGTACGGAAAGTATGAGGATGAGTTCGGGGACAACACGAGGACTTACCTAAAACACTTCCATTCCACGTCTCCGAAGGTCTGCGACCCGACCTTGGCGAATGCCAGTGCCTCAAGTACCGTTTCAGTTAAACTGCGGTCATACCAGCCAGTGCTCTTGTCGAATGTCTCGCACCAATTGATGACATTGGTGGGAAGGTGCGTGGGCGGGAGTTCGAGGCTAACACTGGGAATGTACTTGAAGGACATGTATGCGCGAAGCGAGTATACGTCGTTCTCCTTCATGATTTCCCAGCCCTTTTCGGTTTGTTGCTCCATGTCCTTCATGATCAGGTGGGCGAATGGCGTAACGACGTCGGCGATAATCTTGTCAACTCCCGCATTGACGTACTCAGACTCCACTCTCATTTCCTGGGCGTTGAAGTCGGGAGGTTGCGATGTACCAGAGATTTGGTAACGTTGATTGTTGAAGTACATGAAAGTGCCTCCTGCCTTTGCCGCGAAGTAGTAATCGATCAGTTTGGATTTTAGAGGTTCCTGGAAATTACTGTCATTGAGCTTCGAGTAGTCGATTAACTCGCCCAAGCGCTTCATAACGCCGGCCTTATATTTGCCTTGATCGTCCTTCTTCGGCAGAGGGTACCTCATGGCACCAACATCCTAATTGGCGGAAAAGCCAAGGGGTTACATGGTGAGCATCTTTGTGAATGAGTGACATACGTAGTAATCGTATTCTTTGCCATTCGGGAAATGGTAGGTGAAAAGGCGGCCGCCGGTGCGGTCCGATGCCTCCAAGATCTCATATTTGATGTTCAACGAGTCTAGCATGAGGGCGGTATATAGACCACCAACCCCTGCACCTAAAATCCCGACTGTACCCGTCTCGCCATGGCCATCCCTAGGGAGCGGAGGTGGCTGTGAGGTCTGAGGTTGAGAACCACTCTGGGACACTGCAAGCAGCTGAGGGAATGCGAGGTCATCGGGAAGCTTTTTGAGGAAATCACCGTGATAATCTTCAACGATGTTTCGACCCCAGTAACCTAGCACGTCTCCTTCGAAATCCATGGTAAGCGCAAGTGGTATTGAAGATGGGATGTGTAGAATACGACTTGTCTTGTATGAACAGACCGAGAATCACTTTATATATTGTGCTTTCGTCGGAGAAAACAAGGACTGCGTCAATCTGTAACCGCAGAAAGCAAGGAAGTTTCAGATCGGAGCACTCACACATCCTTTCTCCGGTGAACTCTAGAATTCGGTAGTCCTAGTAATAGCGTTAGAATGTTGGATGCAATCTTTTCCATTGGCCAAAAGTCCCGTCGTGCCATGAAATACGACAAGGGTGCTGTAAACAAGTTCCAAGATGGCTAGAGCGCCCCGAGGACTTGGTTTGAATATAGTAAGGAGTTTTCATGGCGCTTGAAGATCCGACATCAAGTAGCCTCGTTGGACCGGGATTATCAAAACACGATGACCCATGACCAGTTGGAACTACGCTGTCCCAATGTACTGTCTCTAATTCAGTCTATCTGACAATCTCATTTATCAGTCACTTACAGACACAAGGGAACACAGCCGAAGTACTTACATGCCCAGTGACCAGTCCCTGGCAGCTGTTATTCTTCTCAGGATTTCTTCGTTCCCAGACGCCGGTAACTTTTAAGTCCGAGCCTATTATAATCAGATGATCTGCTCCTATGCTAGTCTACCTCAAGCTTGTGTAAGACCCTGCAAGACCCCGAGGAGCCCATCCGCGTTCTTAACACGAAGTTGACTGGTTAGGATGGGTCCCTGTTGAGCCTCAACAGATCCGGTGAGATGAGGCACACGCAGCTTGCATTGTCCTGCGAGACCTGTCAGGTGTATATAGTACGGGTGAGGGAAACACCCCTGCCGTAACCCGTTGCTGCATACCTGCAAGGGCTGTGCATAGCATCTGACTGAAAATTATTTAAGACAGCAGTCCTACCTCGTCGAGAAGGTGGTTTCGCGCAGTAAGCATTGGTAGAATTGGAGTTGATGCCAAATGAAAGTTCAGACTAGCGGGTGTTTTAGTCGTAGAGAAACTATCGCATGTTACGGTGTCACAGTTGACCCGATGCGCTTTCTCATTGCTATTTGGGGCCAAGTAGAAGGGGAGGCGATCATCTCGAGTGGAATGCATCTGTGCCGCTTTCCGAACCACCCCAATAAAGGCCCTAGAAATAGAGACATCAATCCCCCCCATCAACCTCTTCCTCGAACACGCAAACGATAACGCCGCCACTCGACTACTCAAACTCCCCTCGTTCAACCCAATCCTACAGAGACTTGATCAACCCTGGCGACAATTTAACCTCGCTGACCCCCCACCCGCTCTTCCCACCGACAAATACCGTCCTCGCAGCCGCAAACCACCAAAATCGACCAGACTCACCCGTCTGTCAAAACGAGCATCCCCGAACGCGGAACGCATCAACATATTTGCGCTGCCACCTTGGGCAAACACGAAGGAAACGTACCGCGGCCGCCTAACGATCTCGGACAAGCAAAGAGGAGGCAAGAAAGAAGCCGCCAAAGCGCACATACAAACCGCTCGTAATCTACGAACGGAGGACACGCACCTTCTCGTTTACTCAGACGGATCGAAACAATCAGTCAGAGAGGAGGAAAGAGCTGGAGCAGGATGGGCCGGCTATCACAGAGGAAGAGAAGTCTTCTGGGGTCAGGAAGGAATGGGTCCCAAAGCAGAGGTGTATGATGCAGAGATGGTAGCGCTCCTTCGAGCAATATCGCGAGCTATCAGCTTCGCGCAAAATTCCCAGGTGACCCATTTACATTTCTACGTCGATAACAACTCTGTGGTGCAGGCTGCATATGCAGCTGCACCCGGACCCTCACAATACATTGCATTACAGATCAGACGCTCGATCGAAGACTACCTAACCACATCCCCCCTCCATCATGTCCAAATTGCATGGATCCCAGGACATCACAACATCATCGGCAACGAACGTGCCGACGAGCTTGCAAAAGAAGCCACTGGACGTAACGACTCGTACCACTCGACCTATGCAAATGCGCGCCGAAGAAACAAGGAAGGGATCTTGCAGAAATGGACAGAGAGTTGGAATAGAGACGTGGCAGCACAGACTGGACGCTTCGCTCTCGCAAATCGACTCCCACCAACGCTCAAACCCCGCCAACATTTCACTCACACTCCTCGAGAAGTATACGGCCGTCTTATACAATGCCGCACAGGACACGGATTCATGGGAGAATACTACGCTGCATTCGTTCCAACCGAACCCACCCTCTGCCCATGTGGAGAACCACGTCAAACACGAGAACATATCATACGTGACTGCCCACTATTTGCGCGACAACGCATCCATCTGCGTGAGGTATCACACAACATCATACTCAACGAAATTTTGGGTACGGAGAAGGGCATAAAGGCACTAGCGAAGTTTATTCAAGAATCCAGCGCATTAAAGAAGGTCGCACTGGAACGAGAAGGAGACTGGGAAGAAAGGAGAGGGACAGAAGCCTGAGTAAGGGCAAAGAAGGAAGTGACGAGGGAAGGAGGAGACGAGGAGAGATCAGAAGGAGGAGGAAGGAGAGAAAGTGTATCATATTATACTAAGCCTGGACACCAAACGAGCCCACACGCACACCAAAACTCATCAAACGCGGACCGCTTGGCTATTCGTACTATACCTACATCCCTCACCCTGTTACAACACTCCCCAGCACAGCCCTAACAGGGCACCGCGTCTTAACAGCTCACTTTGTTTGTTGCGGTATATAAATATAGAATTTCTCTCTCTCTCTCGAGTGGAATGCGACTCGGGTCGGTAGAACGCGCCGGCAACGCAAACTTCGTGCCTTCAATTTTACACGCTGTAATTAAAGCTACCTTTCGAAGGTTTTGACAAATAGACGGTCAAGACTCAACATGGCTGCCTCCACCGTAGCTCTATGTTCGTCAGCCACCTAATGGTTCAAATTCCTTCGGGGGGCCCCACAAGTCTAATTGACGTATTGTTCGGTTCAGTTGAAATTCTCCCTGAGGTTGCATACTAGCTGAGCGCTGAGGGCCGAGCCAGAAACAAGGAATCAGCACCAAGGCGTTTGGTGAGGCTTCTGCCAGAGAGCAACCACATCCAGTACGATGCTATAATCTTATCTTATCTTATCTTTGCATCACATGTACCCTAATTTTACGTTTGTTTTTCGCGCTATTTTGAGTACGGCGTCGAACAGGCCTCAAAACACTACCAAGTATGCCTCGCCGTCGTCCATCCAGTAAGAGCAATTCCCACTCTAAACCACGGCCAGTGGATCGCAAAGATAGCAAAATTAAACGGTGGAATAAAGCTTCTGATATTGAACTAGACGAAGAGGACCAATGTACGTCCCATACCCCAGGCACAATTACATGTAGCTGAAACGATGGTTAGTCCATGTATCCAGGGATAAGATCCTATTGAATGAGGACGGAGATGGTCAGGATGACGATGGGGATGAAGACGAAGTTTTTGCTCTGGAAGGCGTGTCAGACGAGGAGGCAGAAGAAGACGAGGACGAGGACGGAGTTGCGTATGCTGAAGATGAAGACGTCCATGAAGACCAAGTCGTCAACAAGAGAAAAACCAAAACCAAATTGAAGAAGGCATCATCTCCTTCAGATACGGGATCGGAGGATGAATCCTGGGGTCGAAGCAAGTCAGCGTATTACTCGTCCAATGCCGCCCAGATCGACTCGGAAGACGAGGAAGCGAATGAACTGGAGGAACAGGAAGCCCGCAGACTGCAGGTGAAGGCGCGGGATGCTATTCATGAGGATGATTTTGGATTGGGCGAAGGTCTCGAAGCAGAACCCGCTGCTGAGGTCGAGTACGTGGTCTCATCTACTTGTTATGCGTGGCTTACACTGTTTTCAGAGATTCATTAGAGGAACAATCGCAGCCTATACTTAACGTGGCCTTGAGTGACAAGAAGGCCGTCTTGCAGCACCTGGAACGAGAAAATCCTGAAGCTCTTGCTTTAGCCCGTGACTGGGATGATACAGCCCGTAGTCTCATCGAAATGCAAGCAAAAATTGCTGCGTGAGGTTTCAATTCACTGCCGTCCAACATTCATGCTCAATTTTTGTCCAGCACATCGGAGAAAGAAACCGACGGAATTGAACTCGGACTTCTGCACGCGTACTATCGTCAGTTCTCATCTCCGGTTTATTTTATTTGTGATGCATCACCATTTCTGACCAACCAGTTACGTCACAGAGGCTCTCCTAACCTATGCTACCACACTCGCGTATTACCTTCACCTACGCGCCTCGGAGAAATATGCAGCTCGACCTCTACTCCTGAGACAGCACCCAGTCTTGAATCGTCTGCTCACTCTTAAGCAATCACTCGTTATGCTAGAGAACTTGGGCGTCGGCACTGACTCGCAGGACGAAGGTGACGAAGATGACGAAGACGAAGACGGCGAAGATGGCGAACTAGTATCTGACGCGACTGACTTGTGGAGCCTCCTGATGAAGAAGGGTCTCGAATCCGACGAGCTTACAGAACTGTTGATGGACGCCGATGATAAACCGAGAGCGCCCAAGAAAAACAAAGTCGAAGCAAACCCTCCGAAGAAAAAACGCAAGACTTCCAATGACGCCGAAAAAGACAGCCAATCTTTGACCTCGTCGAGCCAGACTTCGAGGCTGCCTCAACTTCCGCAAAGAAGAGGCATTTGGTTCCCATTGACGCCAGTAGCACAGACGCATTCGGCGAAGCCACGTTCCTACAGCACGCTGACGCTACCGACAAACAGGCACGCAAGAAGAGCCTGCGCTTCCACGTGTCACGCATTGAAAGCGCTAGTGCGCGGCGCCAGAACGCTCGTGTCAATGCAGTGGGCGGGGATGACGACATCCCTTACCGCGAACGAAGGAAACAAAAGGAACAGAGAATGGAGAAAGAGCGGGAGCGAAAAGCTGGAACGCTTGGGATGGGCGGAGATGATCTAGATGATATGGATACCGAAATTACTGACGCAATCAGCCGCAGCAAAAAGAGACGGAGAGACGTAGATGTCGAGGGCGATGATGATAGTGACATGGCGGAAGCACACGGCTATTACGAGCTCGTCAAACGGCAAGCCGCGGAGAAGAAGAGCAAGAAAAAGACAGACTATGAGGAGGTTCGGGCGGCCGAGCGGTAAGCCCCACGTTTCATACATCCTGGGCGTTTCTCACCTGCTCCATATAGACTCGTCTTTAATGAAGACGAGGCATCTGGCCCGCGCTCGGTCACGCGGGCTATCATGAAAAACAAGGGTTTAACGCCGCACAGGTCAAAGAGTGTCCGCAATCCCCGTGTCAAAAAGCGTCAGAAATACGAGCAAGCCAAGAAGAGAGTGTCATCGCAGCGTGCAGTTTACAAAGGTGGTATTGGCGATGCCTCGAAATACACAGGCGAGCAGTCTGGTATATCCAAAGTTATCAAGAGTGTTCGCCTGTGATGAAAGGGTATCACTATGGTACTGAGTATCCTGCTACAGTACATCGTAGTATTTAGTCTGCATATACAACATGATAAACCAAACAGCAGGCTTGAATTAACTACATAATGGAAGATGTGAGTCCATGTGGATGAAGAAGTGCTGGGAGAAGGCAATCTAAAAGTAAAACAACAACCCGTGGATAAGGGGACAACAAGTGACTGGTTTGCGAGGATGAGAATAATATCATACAGGACTTGTAGAGCCCGCGGCAACACTTTATATTGACATGTACTGGCACATCACACATGAGCCTATCACCTAGGAGAAGTAAAGAAAAAAAACTCACCGTATTCCCATGGTGCTTGCCGTTGCCGTTGGTTATTGCGTCGACGCTCATGGCCTCTGCATGGAAGGCACGAGCAGAAGGGATGATGGCGCTAGCCATTTCATGGAAATTATTTGGACCCTTTTGCAGTGCAACCTCATATTCACGGCTGATGTCCCGCGCATGTTCCTTGGTCTCTTCGTACGCATAGCTGTATTGTTCCAAAGCCTTGATGCATTGGGACACTTCAGGACGACCTAACCGAGCAAGCAAATTTCCTGCGTTGATACAACTAACATGCATGACCGCGGGGTCCAGTTTCTGAGGGGATTTAGTGGATACAGTGGTAATTTTGAAGACAGCATACCAAGTAGCCGTTTGAAGTAAGGACTCCAGCCTAAGAAAAAATCAGCGGTAATAATTTTCTAAATGACAGTCACTCACGAGCGCCGCAATGCGCAGGGAAGCTTGCAGAGCTTCTTCCATTACTTTACGTTTTGCAGTCTCCACCTGATTGATACTACTTGGTGTGAAGGCATCGTCGCGAATGCCAAATTCATCCATCGCAAAGAAAAGGGCTACCCAAGTGACGTGATACTGGGCATCACTTGCACCTGTGAACACTAGTTTAGATTCCACACAAGAATCAGACTCAACTACTTACACGCAGAGACAGCAGATACGAAATCCCAATTGGCCTCCAAATTAGGAGGCACTCCAACCTTGGACAAATGAGCATCTCTCCATTTGCTCAGATCCAAGATGTACGACAGGACAGAATCAAGAGGAATGCCGTCTTGGTCGGTAGATGGCCTCCAGAGTTGGCGAGCAATTGTCCGTGAGATCCGAGCAAGGGCGTGTGCAGCTCGGTAGTACCCCTGTAAGTTGTAAGCACATGTCAACAAGGCACTATTTGGAGTCGACCGACCAAAAACTAGGCATGATGTAAGCATAAGGTTTTTGAATAACACGACCCTGAATCTTACCTCAAGTTGTTCTCTGGGGGATGGTGCCGTAGGGTCGGTAGCCTCCTGGGTATTCTGATCCGCCGTGTAGAAGTCGATATCGTAGTCGTCGTCATCACTACACGGGCGGATATTAGTGTTCGATTAAAGAAACACTTTGTTGAACGTACAGCATAGGCTTCCGGCGGTAGTAAAATGAGGAGAAGGCGTCTGACAGACAAGCCATCCACCAAGCGAAAATCATGGTGCCGCGCGCCTCGGGATCTTTGATATCAGCCATCACAGATTTGTGATTGATCTGCAAATGATTGTTATTAGAATGATTCTCGAATGTAAACATTCTACTTGCTTGTAGTCCAAGCAAATTACGTATCCCGCTAGTGAGCCAGAATCCATGGAAGCCTGCTCTTTGTTAGCCGCAGACATGAAAACAATAAGTCAATTGTTACCGTTGTCATGTCGTGGGTCCTCTGATGCACAATGATGAGCAAATGTAAAGCCAGCGAAAGAAGGTACGTACGACATTGCAGAGGCTCGATAAGTAAAGAGATGACGACATGATGTGGATTTGGTATGCGATGTACTTTTAATGACTCGGCCAACTCTCGGGTGCGCTCGATGAGTGATCTGGCGAGCAGACTTTGTCCACCATTTCTTTCGCGATCTGCCACAAGAAGGGGATGTTCAGAAAATTTTGCACCCCAGGCAAGTACCGTTGCGATAAGGGCTGGGTGTAATGGTTCATCCTGCTTTGCAATCGCGGGCCTTTGTTGCGTTGCCTGGAGATTTAATCGCGCGCGAAACTGTAAGGGGTTGAGAAGAGGAAGACGGGTATGGACTATCTGGAAATAAACTTCAACTAGGTCGAGGGCGAACCTGTCATCAGAAGTAAAATCAATCACATTAGTAACGGCCTATTAGGAACGGATCGATACGGCAAATGAAAAGGAAGTGTAAAGGCACTTTGAAGAGAACAACCATCACGGGACGTGATAACAGTTTGACGTACAGCGCGATAATTTCGATCGTTTACGTAATTTAGGTAGGAAAGGGGTAGATGCAACGTACTCTGCTCGGAAGGCTTCATCTTCAAGTTTGGATGCCATGTCTCCCCATGTGGCGTAGCCTGGTGACCGTGATTTGAATATAAAGGTGGAGTCGCTGACGTGACGTGACAATCAGTCAGCCAAGTGACGCGAATAGAATACTACATACCTTTCAGGCGGAGCAAGCAGGTGATGAAGAAGCGTTGGAGTAGTGCTTTGCATGTTGAGACCGCCATAACTTGGCAGGCGCCCTGAATTCCATGGACCAAATGCGGCTTTAACCCAAGGGGGGCTGTTATGTTCACCGATGGGCGATGAACTATCGACCGATGTTAGAGCTTGCAATAATGCATCGAATAAATGTCATACCTAGCAGATACAGGAGAGGAACTGAATGAAGTGCGGGAAGGGCGACGGTAGCGATGAAGATCGCACAGAAATAGAAAAGTAGCAGAAAGATCGACAATCGAATGAGAGATACAGTGAATAAGCGAGACGAAATAGGAGAGAATCCGAAGCTAACCTTGAGCTTGTTGATATATTTCTCGGCCTCCGAGCGGCAGCGCTACGCTTCTTTTCGCTAGTTGCCTGTTGGACGAAATGGCTAAAGCGTTGGTCGGCTCACCGCTCTTTAATTAAACATAGAGAATCACTGACGTGCAAGGATAGTTCTTGGACAAGCAATGCTAGCGTTTATCTTCAGCACCTCGCGTTCAAGTATAGAAGGAAAAATGTAATCACTTGGCACTGAAGGAATCGAGAATAATTTAGCTGCTTGTCGGCATGGTTTACATACTACCTACCTTGTCTTGGCCAGGAAGTCTATTGCACTTGACCTTCCGGGACCTGTGGTGATGGGAGTGAATAGGTTGGCAGATGCAGATCACAAGTACGCTGCGGCAGACCTGCAAGCATCACAAGCTGTATTTTGCTTCCTTGGAGGCGGCAGGGTCTTGGCTAACTCATGGATCTGATTCTGGACAGATTGGGTTGGGAGAACGAGGCCTGGGGGAGGTGTGACGTTGTGAGAGGGCGAGTCAGTGATCAAACTTGAATGTATTCACCAGGATGCGAGAAGGAGTGACCGCTATCGGTTCGGACGTGGTCACCGTTCTGCATATTAAGATGCGTTGGTATAGACTGATATTATTAAGAAAGAAATAACAGGAGGGACAAGGAGGAATCGTTTATATTGGGCCACGCATAGTACTTATATTATAATACATAAGTCACTTCCCCCGCAATAGGGATATTGAGAGCGAAATTCCCAATCGAATTATTTTCCCTTTTTGGAACTAAGTTTAGTTACAAATTCTGTTGATTCAGTAAGAAAGATTCCGTTTATGGGCAAGACGGATTATGACAAAGTGAATTACAAACTCCGATCGAGGAATTGCCGGCACCGAAGCCCAGACTCTCACGTCGGCTGTAATTTTTCTGCTGTGCTCACGTTTGTGTTCAAACCATGGTCAAAGTCGAGATTGTCGAAGAAAAAGACGCAGAGTCCTCGGGCAATTCTCCTTATGCTTCCTCATCCTCGTCACGTCATTCTTCTCAAGAATCTATATCCTCGATCTCTTCCGAGCTTTCTGCAGAAGAATCCTTGTATGACCGCATAAGCGCACTGGTAGACATAGTGCCTCCCACAACCAGACATAGCATTTCTACCAAGGTTTCAAAAGCCGCGTCATTCTTCAAGACCAGCGGAAAAGTCGTTGGTAACATAGTCTGGATTGTCACCACTTCTGCTCTTCTCGTGGGGCTTCCCCTTGCGTTGAGTTTGGAAGATGAGGCAAAGATAGTTGCGCAGGAACGTGAAATGATGGCACAACAACAAGGCGCTCAGCAGGTGAGTGTTTGGACAGTTGATCATATTCTTCTGTCAATTTGCTATGACTTGTTTACTGATCACTGATGCTTCGTTTGTTGCAGATGCTTTCGTCTGGATCAGCTTACCCACCGCCACCCGGCTCAAACCAGGCACCTCAAAAGGGTATCGTGCCGCCCGGTTTCTGATCAAGAGTTTGACTTGCAGCCCGTTTTTAAGCCGCTCCTTCCGCTTGCTAGCAGTTAAACTCAGATACTTTGTGCCCACGTGTATCCTATACATACTTCTCTCGCGTTCCGCAGTATACGCATCCCCGGCAGAAACACATCATGTCTCCCAGTGAATCATCACCCACGTGCTATCAGATCATGCTATAATAAAACTCTACTCAGTTCATTAAGCAGTTCACTCACGTATGCTTTCATTTCACTTAAGTTCAGGTGGCATTTGAGCGACTTCTTGGCCTGTATTCAGCGCCATGAGAATAGGTCCAGAGGTTCACCCATGCTAGTGCATCCTAGCAACGCTTTCATGAAATCATTCATTGCTCCAGTATGGAACAATTGGCAACGCCCATGAAGATCCGATATGACTCTATATATTCTACGGCGAAGCTTGATGTCACGGCCCACGAATCGTGAGTATCGGAAATGACATTGGCCTAGCTGGACCGCGCAGGGAAAACCACCGGTCGCACGAAGTTATCTCTACAAGGCAAAACAAAATTTAGCTCCTCGGGCAACGCGCAGTCGACATGATACGTACGCCGAACGATACCTTCGTAGGTACGTGATTGCATGGTTCTCGATTTCGTCAGGAGTCACGCCTACAGCTTCCCAATCGCCTGGAACGTCCACGTCATCTAAATAGCGCCTCTCCACCTCATCTGGACTAATGAGCGGCCACCACGGTGCCTGGGCAACCTTGGCAAGTGCCAACGCAATAGACTTAGGCAGCACGGGTGCACTCGATGGTGGGATATAAGTCAAGGAGGACACCAAGTCTAAGAGATACTCCATCGTCAGCGTCTTTGGTCCAGGAAGGGAAATTGTGCCGGAGATTTGGGGGGTAGTCATCAAATTGGTTAAAGCTTGAGCGACGTCCATAACCTGTCAACCCACGATCAGTTTGAAAAGGACGATCATGGCTATGACGGGGTCGAGATTTACGTGAACGGGGCGCGTTTTAGTTTCTCCGTGATTGAGCTTCCACCAAATAGGCCAACCTTGACGAATTAGTCTGGTCAACATGACAACGATGAAGTAGACGTCTAAGACCCACTAGCCATGTTATTCAAGAACTTGTCTTCGCAACCATACATAGAGCCAGGGCGAACGATGGTGGCAGCGGGAAAGGCTTCCCTGACCCGTTCTTCGCCCTCAGCTTTGGTCCGGTAGAAATGCGACGGCGAAGATGTCGAAGCATTCAGGTGAGAAACATGTACAAGGCGTGGTACTCCTGCTTGGGCCGCGACCCTTGCAATCCTTTCCGCTCCGCTAACATGAACGTCAGAGTATTTGAAGTTCCTGGGATGGTTCAAGTGGGGTGAGTGCGTGCGTCGAAGAAGGAAATTAAATTCAAAATATACTTTGTTTCATATTCTCGGCCGACAAGGTTGTATACAATATCGGAATGCCTTAAGCACTCAGCAATTTGGTTTTCATTCCGGATATCCCATTCCTTGAATGAATTTAGGGCGGACTGTCATTGGTATGGAAGCAAATGCAACACTACCATGGAGACTATCTGGCCGAGATCGCCCATTGGTTTGAGGTGTCTTTTCTCATCCTCCTCGCGGTAAGGCACGATGACCTGCGTACCCATTCGAGCTGCAAGAGTGGAGCATTAGTTGACCCCAGAACCTTTAGGTGGGCCTATTTAAACATACCGAGTTTCGAGACGAGATAGCGTCCGAGGAATCCAGTGCAGCCAAAAACAGTGACAACATGGCCGCTCACTGCACTGTATCCAGGTGTTCCATACGAAATAATGGGTTTACGGTCAGGAAGCGTGACCAGGTCATGTAAAGCACGCTGGAAAGTCAATTTAGTTGTTACAAGTCAAAATATAGTCTTTTGAAAGTACACTGACCTTCCCGCGTGATACCGCTACGCGCTGGACGCGTAGAACATGGGATGCTGAGATCATAGCTGCCGCCGACGATGGAAAGAATAGACTAAGCCGCAAGCTGGCGGTTGAGGAAAGCTAACCGGAATTTTCCGGCAGCTTGTTTAGCGACCCGATAAGTCCACACATAACTCAACGACAACACACATCTTATCAATGGTCCAGGGCAAGACCAAAGGGCTTCAGAGTAAGCCTTCATCTTCTAGGCAAGCTGCCAAGGCCGCTGCGAACCCGAAAAAAGGGAAACGGTATGTTCCACCCAAAAAGACCGCTCTGGTCAAGCAGGCCTCCATGAGGCAGGTCAGTCTCCGTCTTCTTTCCATGATCTATGAATTGCGGGTTTCATTGACCGTTACATTGGATGCAGTCGCTAACGGCCAAGATAAACAAGTCTATTGAACAACAAATGGTGTCTGCTGCATCGGCGGGCAAACTCACGATCATGAAAAACACAGCTGATTCGTATGCCAGTCAATCATAATCACGACACGCATAATATGAATTTGCTTGTTTTTTTCTTGCAGCGAACCCCCAAAGGTGACTACAGGCAGCAAAACCTCAAAGTCTTGACGATCCATCCATACGTTGTTGCTGGTACGTCGCCCACGAATGTTTTACGAGCGTTACTTACCCGTCCTAAAATAATTCAGATGTGATTTTGCGGCTTCGAGCCTCGAGCATTCCCCAGGGAAAATATGTCTCTGCGTGGCTAGTCGACATACGCAGCTCCCATGTCATCTGACTGATTTCAAGCGCCACAGAGAAGTTGATGGACCACAGTATATTATAAATGACTATAGCATGCTTGAACGATTGCAAAGTATAACGATCAAGCAATAGTACACAGACAACTTAATGTCTCTGCATTGCAAGTGAGCTAGGAAAAACAGCAGAGAGTCCAAGAGAACTAGGTGAATGCAGGGGAGATGTATCAAATGCGAGGTATGACATGCAGATACGAGTATGTACTGAGTGTGAATGCAAACACGAATGAGACCTACGAGAGACATGTAAAATGGTGATGCTGATCGTGTAATGTCGGGTGAATGCAAGGCATGGGAAGATGATTAAATGCATGTAAGAAACACTGGTGAGAGGTAAGACAAGAATTTTTTTTGCACGTGGATGTGGGATGGTGTGCCGGGTCTCCGGCGTGAAAGAAGCATCGAGGGACGTCCGGAATTATCTCCAGGTACGGTCGAACGGCACCCCACTTCCGAGTTGGAAGAGTGTACATTTGATTTCGTGGAGAACGTCTCGCTGTGTCTGTGACAGGAGATTAGGACGAGAGTCAACAAAGCCTATGACTTTATTAATGGCATCCTCGGCTTCCCCGATATTAGCAATGGTATCGCCCGCCGTAATAGGAGGCGCAGGTTGGTATACAACAACCGGCTCGGAATATTGGGAGCTGGGATCTGGGTGGGTAAGCTGTACCACTTGCTGGGGGTCTGTAACCTGAAGATGTTGCTGGACAGGAATCGGAAGAGCGGACGAATTCATGTCCGCTGTGGCCGGATCTGGCTGTCGTTCCTCGTGGCGTTGGTGTACAAAAGACTGCTGAGACATAGGTTCGTGCGCGTTGCCCGACGGAGCCGAAGAAAGAGGGGCGCTGGGAGTAGGTAGATGGTCCGTTTGCAGGGTCCACATGCGTGATAACGGGAGATTGGGTCCCGGCGGTGCTTGGGACAAAGAAGGCCCAGGGTCGTTTTGAGGGTGTGGAACTTCTGGCTCATCTTCTGATTCCATATCGTCATCGCCATCAGCCATCGTCGAATGCTCCTCAGAATCGCGGCCATTAGCGATCTCAGAGCGACCCTCGAACGCGGGATTGAGGGGCGATAACACAGTATCTGTGGCGCCTCGCCTGTGCTCTTGGACACCCACAAGGCCACGAGATGCCCGTAAAACCTTCTCGTGACCTTGCCAGACCCCCTTACGGATGTTATGGCGATGCTTGAAGTTCTCAACCCATCCCGAACTAGCCTTGAATCTCTCGTCAGGAATCTGCAAACTGCGCGCAGTTTCCTTGGCCTTGGTGCGAATGAGATTATCAGAGAGCAGGGTGTTTTGTTGCTGCTGCTTCATTTGAAGTAGCCACTCGACGAGCGCCTCTTCGACTTCGGGGAATTTTGAGGGCCTGAAGACAATTCAGATATGCAAAGCAAGACTAGATACCGGGAGTCGTTACCTATGCTTAGCCACACGCATGTCTTCGTCTTCTGGGACGTTCATCCATTTTGTTTTGTTTTTGAGAATTTTGCTGATGGTGCTTCGCTCGACACCATAGCGTGCTGCAATATCTTCCTGCCGTGCATTGGGGTTGTCTTGGTGGTAAATGCAGATAGCCTTGCGGTCAACGTTAAAAAGACGTTGCTTTCGTTGCTTAGCACGTGGAATGACAGCGCCTGGAGGCGAGGGAAGGGGGAAGGCCGGGAAGGTCTGAGAGTTGGGGACGGATGTAGCGGATGAGATAGAGGTGAGTGCAGATGCGACGCTTAACGCCGGCGAAGCTGAGCGTGGATTGGAGTTAGAGTAAGATGATGTCGAACGTGAATGCGGGTGATACATGGGAAACGGGGAATAGGGCGACGCTGATACAGGCGTGTTCAGGTACCGAGGTGATTGCAAGGGCATACCGCCCGAGCCCATTGTGAATGACATTCTGTCAGGCAGCTGGTAGCGGTTTGGGTCGCTACTACTAGCAGGCGTCTGAGGACGTGAGACAGCGCTCCCCGGTGACATGTAGTAGGGAGGCTAGTATATGATATGAATGAGGCGAGGTGACTAAAGCAAGGCTTGTGACGTACCTCCTCAGCCCCGTGTAAATCAGACTGGGCGCTTGAAGGTGCGGATTGTCTATCTCTTCTGAGACCAAGGTGAAGGGTGGATTGTGCGCGTGCCTGTCGGCGAGTAAGTCTGGCAGGGCCGATGCTACCCGAAATTTGAGGAGAGAGAGCGATTGTCGCGGAATGATTTCCATCATCTTCGGGACGAAGACTGGATGGCTGAGAATAATTGGAATAAGAGTCGTTGGGCTGGACTTGCCCATACGATGTAGAAGGAGAAGTATAATCTCCGTGATCTGGAGGACGATCCACCGCGGAATAAATGGAGGAAAGTTGACTAGAACTCGTAGAAGAGTTTGAAGCAGACCTCTGCCCAGATAACCAAGCAGAAGACGCGTTTACGGTGTGATTATCATCCTCGTGTGAGCGTGTGCCAGGTGTGCTAGTGGATGAGTAGACGAGTGAATTACTGTACTGCGCTACGTTTTCCATCGATGGCTAAGCACACATCTGCTAGAAAAAAAACCAAGCCGTTGTGAGTGAAAAGGAAAGAAGATTGGGTCGAAGGTGAAGGAGTAGCCTTTTTATGTAGCCGGTAAGAAAAGTAGAAAATTGAACCGGCAAGGAGATTTGGATCAGCCCTTGGGGACTTGGATCGAAGCCACAAGGAATTGAACTGGCATGGGCCTGACCAACGCCTGTCAGCCCTTGATTCCTTTTTCGAACCCCTTTGGTAGCCTTGTGTTTCCTTATGTTTCTGTCAGCTGCTTCGTTTGTTACACTCCGTATCTTTCAAAACACGTTGAAATCGTCCACAATGCCCAAACTTGGTTCACAATATCATTAGACCATGTCCTTATGGATTCATCCGGGAGGCAACCACGCCTCCGCCTCTTGTTCTGCATCATTATTTACAAACGTTATTTCAACGTCAGTACCTCCAAGCTTCTCGTTCTTTGGTATTGCGGCAGGCTTACGATCTCATGACGTCGCTCACTATAATAGGTGTCCGCTCTCATGTCTATTGAAATCACTGTGACTACTTCTGGTTCCACATTGCGGCGGCTCCTCGAGATGAAATATGCCTTTTTGCGCACGATATACCCTGTGGGCTTAGTCTCAGATCCCACTACGTCTTTATACCTGTGCTTTCAATGGATGAACGCGTTTTCCTGCAGGCTTCTGCGCTAGCGATGCCTCATTGGTCCCCCCTTTTGTGCTCTCAGACCATGTTGTGCCCAAGTGCTTCTTTGCGTGAATTAATTATATGATTTACACACACAGGTCCAGATCTCCTTTATGTGACATTGTCACAGTGCGGTATCTTCGTGCTTCGTCATGGATACAACCAATAAAGTGAGTACATCCCTCCCGGTTCACTGCCGCTAACTCAAACAAAAAGCTTTAGATACTTTTGAAATGACCTGTCGCCGCCCTCGGAAATGAATCACCTCATGTTTTCTATCAAGGATGATCGTGGAATTGGAACCATATGGGGCCGCCATTTATCGATGGAGCGAGCTATCAGCATCTTCTGATGCGATCGTCTGGTGGCGGGTGTTCTAGACAGGGGTGATATTCCCTTGAGTTGCCCTTGACACTAGCCGCTGAACTCGCGGTAATGAAGTTTATCGTCGAATTCGATGTTTTTCCCGCACTCCCCTCGTCGCACTCTTGTCTACGTTCAATGACAAGGAAGCAATCCCCAGCGGCTTTCTCCCGCTCGACCAAGCCCAGATGCGGATCCCAGTCGCGCCATTGTCTTCTTGCACCCTGTGCTCTGTGCACGCTGCAGATTTAAATCACGTTGGATCTTCCATCTTCTTCATTAATGCCATTCGCGTTACTCGTAATTCCAGAATGGGGTATTTTCATGTTCGGTACATCTAAACTGTCCACAGCACTTTGCATTCTAGGCAAGATATGTCCCACAGTGGAGTCCTGATTGCCAGTATAGCGGATCATGATGCTGGGGTCTTCTTGTTGCCTGTCTTATGGTCAAAATCGGACAAACATGTCAAAGAAGTTTCTGCAGTGCCCTTTGAAAGCAATGTAGACTCATTCTCGCATGGTCTAGTTGTTGCCTTTCCATAGTAAAATAAGGGCAAGCCAGATACCGTACAGGCACACAAAATAACTCTGGCGCCTCTCTAAGCTCCATTGGACACGGGTATGCTTCCACTGATCAATGAAACTTCCATTTTGATGCGCATGTTTGTGACAAAATTCCGGTTCAAAATATGTGCGTGCATCAAATGTTTTCTCCTCGTGTTTCTGCACGTTTCCGGACCACGACAGGAGCTGTGGTCGGTGGGATAAATCTTATAACTAAGTGGAGAGTCTGGACTTGATGATGAAGCCCTTGAGCGTCAAGCCCCATCGGTCTGACAAACATACCAAAAAGCTGTGTGCCTCTATTAATATTCTCCGACGCCGGTGGTCTTATGAGATTCCGCCTGTGGTCATGCACAGTGATGGGCGCCGAGCTAGGGTGCCTGCAGGCAGGGTGGCTCAGTAAGCTTTGGTGTGCATTCTATTTAACGGATTCAATTTAAATTTCGGCCCTCTGCTTAGAGTCCCTATCTGATTGCTCTAGTCAAGGTTTGGCGTTGCGGTTTGTGGCCTCCGCCCTTGTTCTTGAGCACATGCCGTATCTGGTGTGCTGACGTAAGAACAGGCACCGTTTTTTGCACTATATTACAACCTCCATGATCGATGATCGTTCATAGTAAAGTACTGGACAATAATTCCTCAGTAGTTACTTTCAAGTGCGAAGTTTCGAAAGCTGAGTAGGACACGGAACAGAGGAGAACGGCATCGTGATCTAATTGTTCATTTTTTGAAAGTTGGCCCACGGCTCGCCTCGGATGCGAGTCGGAGCCATACGGGAAGTCAACTAACATAAAGACCGGCTTGCGCGCTCGTACGATGACTGTACAATATCGTTCTTGTTCTTAAACGATCTGACGCTCTACCATCTATGTCAAGCATGTTTAGGAGTGCCCTTATTTTCGCTGGCCCTGTCTCTGTTTGCCGCGTTGGAATCCTTCGCGCTGGATCTAGCCGAGCCCCTGAATTAGGCACTACGTTCGCCAGACGCGCGCTCATTCATACCGGTCAGCCAAACAACAACTCATTGATAGGGAAACGAATCAATGAAGAGTCGACTACTGGAACGGAGGGTTTCCATCTCAGTGAGGCTGATCTATCCACTGATGTTTCGCATGATTTACGCACCACAATGTCTTCGCAGAGGATTCAGTCGCATCTAAGCAGGGTCTAACCACTCCTGATGCGGTTAGGACGTTGCCTACTATCGTCCGAGGCGATTGGGTACTGTTCCACCCTGTGTACTCTCAGGAAGAAATCAAGGCTGTCGAGGTACTCGTGCACTTCCTCCCTGACCACGGTGTATTGAATGCAAGTTGGTAGGTGCTCCAAAGGGAAGCGAAGACTATATCAGACAAAATTGCATGCAACCTTGTCAAGCTCACGAGGTGAGACAGTTTTTTTAGTACCGTGAAAGTACTCATGTACATTTCAGATGGGGATTTGACCTAGTGTCTGGTTACAAGCACAAGCCAATCCCCGCTGATAGCAAGATGTCGCTCGAAGAACTTAGGAAGGGCGGATATATCTTGGACGAGAAGGCGTGGTTGAGTGTGAGCATATTCATCTTTAAGTGTTATTTCCGTTGTTTCATTACCGCTATTTAGCGCATTCTTTTCTTGGAGACAGTTGCTGGAGTGCCGGGAATGGTCGCGGCTACGCTCCGTCACCTCACCAGCTTGCGTCTGATGGTCAGCCAGGCTTCTCTTCTGACGATCACATCCCTAATTGTTTGATAGCGCCGAGACTCTGGTTGGATACATACTTTGCTGGAGGAAGCCGAAAATGAAAGAATGCATCTAATGTGATTGGAATATGTTCGCGAAGCTGAACACAAACTAAGGCAAAATCATTTTATAGGACATTTATGACCTTGCGAAAACCTTCGTTATTTTTCCGAGCCATGGTTTTAGGGGCGCAGGGCGTGTTCTATAACTTATTTTGTGGGTGATATGGGATCCCGATCTCTAAATCATTACTGACTCTTACTGTCAGTCCTATCCTACATAATATCGCCGCGCACATGTCACCGATTTGTTGCGCACTTGGAGGAAGAGGCCGTCTTGACTTAGTAAGGACTGCTTTATCCTGTCTTCGTGCAGAAATGCTCACCAACTCAGTACTCGATGCATCCAGGAAATGGAATCAGGACGTCTACCTGAATGGAACAATATGCCCGCCCCGGAAATTGCAAAAGACTATTGGCGTCTAGAACCTGACGCCAAACTACTTGATGTCATTTACGCTGTGCGGTCTGATGAGTCCACGCATCGTTTCGTGAACCACAGTCTTGCCAACCTGAACCCCGAGACTGACGTAAACCCTTTTGCTCTCCGGGAACCAGACATGCTTGTCAAAGGGCGCAAGCTTGGGTACGTAAATTATACAACTTCTTATTGCCCTCTCATCTGATGTTGAACAGATTCTCGAGGGAGGAAGCCGAAAAGTACGTGCAGGAGTCGCACCAGCTGCTTGAGCACGGGAAAGCCGACTCAAAATAGCCGGCTTGTGGCAGTCTCGGACCACGCCGCGGACCGTCATCCGTTAAAATGTTAGACCCCCACTCGATGTTACATCTTCTTACATACCTCAGTTAATTTACATAATGTTAATAGCGTTCATAGACTTTCAGAGAAAATCAAACCCTAAAATGAGGTTAGGGTTTGATGACGTCATCCATATTCGCAGGACGATTGGGTCTAGCGAGTTCTAGTCAGCCGCTCAACGCCCAGCACCCGACCCCCTTGGTTCATGGCCTCGTCGCAGTCTCATCAAAGTGAACTGCTCTCGCGTGGCGTCGCATTGACACGTCCTGACGAGACCCTCGCCAGTCATGATCATTCAAGACGCCGGATTTTCATAGGCCCCATGCCAGAGAAAGTAGTCTCCAATACAGACATAGATTTGGCCAACAGGAAGGTTACACACCAAATTTTAAGCTGGCTGCATTCAAGCACCGGAGAACGTGATGAGGACGACGAATCGTTCAACTCATTCCTGCACAGTCATGCATACCACAATTTCCTTCATCAAGGTGGGAGAATGGAAGACTGGGGACGGCAGGCCGAGACGGATGAACGACAAAATATATGGAACCGGTGGCAAGAAAGCGAATGGGGCGGAGCTCTGAGACATCGCAGAAAGGAAGCCGGTGCTACCACGCAACGTTGGGTAGGAGGAAGCTTCGAAGTTGGGAACGTTTTAGGTGTCAACATTCTCGACGACTCCCCAGCATCGCTTTCGCAGCCTGATCAAACCTGTCCAAACGATCAAACTGATGGCCCCTCCACAGCTGAGCCCCCTTCTGTGGTTGACGGCCCGTCGTTTTTCACGGCTAGGACAGCGTTCTCTCTCGGCGCAGTTCTGAACCCTGACACATCCCTATCCCCTTCCCCGAGTTCTGAGCCCTCTTCTAGCACGGGTATTCTCACTGCTGCTCCCAAGTGTCAGGGCTCCACTAATAGCATTAATGTTGCACCTCCGGAGGGCCCTCAGCGACCTACTATTTTGAATGGAAAGAAGTCCTCAGCAGATATAAACGTAAATAAACCAAGGACGTCATTCTTCATTGAGGGTCGTGTAACTACTCCAGCAGACTCTCCCACACGAGTTCGCTCGGACAAGGGGAAGGGGAAGGGGAAGAGTTTTGATCATGCAAACGAGGGGACTTCCTCGAGATTGCAGTTCACAGCTGAGAACGATATTCCTGCACCTCCCGCGGCTGTCCTTGCAAGAAGTGGGAGCGATGTGGATGAAACTAGCGCAGGAGTTACCTTGGATGAGACTCCCTCACGTGAACGATCTGATAAGCGAGGGGATATCATACTCAGGGGTCGGTATCTTCGGTTTTGCAACTCGGAGGCGCGTCCACTAAACATGATGTGGTTCTTAGATCGAATGTTCGTCAGAATCAGCCACACGAAATCAGAGTCATTGCCTTGCCACTTTGACGAAGTTCAGAATCGTATGACTCCCAATCTTAATTACGAGGACTGGGCTGAATTTCTGGTGGTCTGGCGAGGAGAGCGGCTTGAAATTTATGAAGATTATGTAAGTCTATCCTCAACCTGCTGAACTATGAAGTTCATCCCATCAGACCTTACCAGGAAAAGAGAACATCACTGGACATAAGCACCTCGCATTCATAATACCTCTCCGATCTCAACGCACATGTTCATCACTTTATTCTTTCACCGACTTCACTTTCTGTATCTTGTGTCGGCCCACACCGGTCCGTAATAATCAATCAAAAGCCCGACGTTTATTTCGCCGCGCGAACGAAGGGACAAATGTGTTCGTTTTCAAGGCAAAATGCCGTACGAGGGCTATGGACTGGTATTGGCAGCTATGGTGAGTATTACAGCGACTCAGGACACAGCTTTTGATCGAGTGTTCATTACAGGCGTCATCTGGGCGGCGAAATACCTGCTTCTATCGAGCTTAGGTGTCCGGCCATTGGTACACGCATTGATTTGGATGTTCCTGTCGCCCACGCAGTGAATATTGACAATGCATACCACATGTTCAGCCGTAGGAATATCATTGACATCGTCCGGAAGTCTCTGGGTTCATCTTGCAACTCCCATGAGGTTATATCTCGTGACTGGAAACACGTGGTAGAACGTGAAATTGCAGCAGGCACAACCCTCGAGTTAGCATGGAGCTTCGAGGCGAAGCTTGACTGGGTTTGGAAGGAGGAAGACGTGATGGGCCAGTCTAGACCGTGGGCCGTTTTATGCGGGTTGGCGATGCAACAGGTAAACACGATGGGAGACTCCTGACTCAAGATTCAGCTGACGTCCTAGTCAGGGAACCAAACCAGCGCACCTTGAGCTTCGACTTGGCCAACACTATCCGGCTACAATTCACCTACCCGATGGGACAAAGGTACACGAGCCTCCATGTGTAGAGGGGTATCTCGATCGCATTAAACCCAGCAGTCAGACTAAACAACATATTTACCTTACTTCGCATGACGGCCACCTTTTTGCCCTTTCGCCCTCAAATTCCCACCCTCCTGTCCCTCCGAACGTTCATTTATCTCGTGCCCTGTCAGCACGCGATGATGAAAGACTAGAATACACACGGGTTCTTCGTGAGGCCGAGGTCGCACGAGGAGCTGCTCAAATTGCAGCCGCGTTTGAAGTTTTCGACCTGCGGAATATCAGGGAGATCCGCAGGATAACCCATGGAAATATCGATCTTGATACTAGGACCCATGTCACGGCTAATGGAGCTGGTGGGTCTGTGGGAAGCCAAGACATCTCGACTAGGGACGAAGATGATATCGGTGGAGCCGAGGGTCTAGCACAGGCTCATGACAAGGATCAGCTCCGTGTCAGTCGCTGCTTCGAAATTGTCTTGGTATCTGGGCGCGTGATCCGATTCGAGGTACGAGTTTTTGGAGTAACTGGTTCTCACTTACTCCTTGTTTAATTTTCTCACTAGACGTACTCCTGCCAGACGAGTCAAGAATGGGTAGATCGACTACTCGCACTCGTCGGGTACTGGACACAGCGACATCGTGTTGATGCTCGGGATGAAATGGACATATCCTACTCTACACGCCATCGCCCCCCCATCACTCCCCGTGTTACTAAGCATGCGTTCTGTAATGAGAAGAAAAGCCCGACGACACCCATTGTGGATGCAGAATTTATGCCTGAGTTGAGCTCATTATATCATTGGTGCACGCTGGACAACTGCAGAAGCGTACTCAAGAGTGGCCGCGCATTCGCACGAAAGGGACTCCAGGGACAGTATAAGTCAGTGAGAATCGCCTCATAATGACAGGTCGCGTATTCATAACTTCCCATAATGGCAGGCTCGTGCACTTGTTTCTAGTTTCTGGACGTCTCCTCCAGTACCATGTCTCGCGCAATTCATTTCTCCGTCATAGGAGCAAGGAGATCAATCTAATGGATTCCTATGTTTGTTCAGGGTATCTGGCTGCCCTTACCTTGTGGCCAAGCGAGTACAACCCTGAAACTCCCAGTGTTGCTCGTCGTTACTTTGACGGGTTCGAAGCCGATGACCCAGAAGAGGATATGCTATTCGCTATCTGGTACCGCAAACGTAGGGACGGAGATGCGGACAGCGTGCCTTCCCTCTCAGCGAAGCACAAGGTTGTTGTCTTTAGGACAAGAAGTAGGGTTGAAAGGGATGCGTGGTGTTGGGCACTAGGGTGCGAAATCGAGAAGCTTGTTAGGGCAAACAAAGAGAGGGAGGCGAAACTGAGAGATGCGGGAGGGCTTGTGGAAATATCTGTTCTAGGAGACTGAAGATTTTTACATGACGGATATGATATTGCACTCTGCATCACGCAGTCGGAGGTCATGCTCCTCAGGAAAACCCTTTGATTAGGATCTTTGATCAGGGTAAACTATGTACAGATGCCAAGATTAGTCGCAGAGGTTAATTTACTCTATCACCTCTCCATCATCAGCGTCGCTATCATATTCGTCCCGCTGAGCTCTCCTTGCCGCAAGTTTGACCCGCTTTTCAAGACTACTGTCGGCAACCAGCATGGCCATAGTGAGCCTTTCACTGCAGCCTGCAGCAGGGCATGACTTCCCAGCAGGAGGGCATCTCGCCAGGTAATCCCGGATAGCATTTCCAGAGAAGGCGTGGCCACAAGTGGAGCTGCAAAAGTTAGGTGATAGGGAACAGTCCAGTATGAACGCACTTACGATTTCATTGGATTTTCTAGCATCGTCAAGGTGATGGGACATTTAAAGTCCTGTGTAACTCCTCCGATCTCTAGGTCGTCGTCGTCGTCGCTTTCATCTCCCTCCTCTAAAGACCTTTGTCAGAATTCGTGACACGCAAGATGAAAAAGCAACAACCCCGTGGTATAAAGTCATTGATGGGGGGTATGTTCACGCCAGGATTTTGGACTTCCTATTTAAAAGGGCGAGTTGAGGTCAAGGAGCCTTTAGTTAACGAACAACGTACAAAGATGCCTTGCTTGAACTGGACGTATTGATCGTTCGAGCCATACTTCTTTCGAGTAGTTCTATCGTTGAATTCGTTGATCCTCTTCTTTACCTCTTTATCGTAGAGGTCTATGGCACCCTCCTGCTCGAGGAGTCAATACTGCCATATGCTCCATTTGGGACTACTTACTACTGGCTCGCCACGCATAAGTTGCTGGTACATCCCGCTGAGAGACTTCTCATGTGATTGCATCTCGTAGTCGATGTCAATCAATTTTTTCATTATCTCATCGACCTCCGACAAAGCCTTTGAGCAGTTCAGGTGGTCAGAAAGCGTCCATAGTAGTCACTAGTGACTTGCCTCATTTGCGTGATCACCTTCCAAGACGTCTGCGAGGGAAGTAGCCACCTCTTTCGCGAGAGAGAATGAACCCTGATGGATCTGCTTCCGGATCATCTCCCAGTCCTGCGCAATGCCAGAGAGTTTTCCGCTTTCCTTCTTGTCTAGGGGCTGGTCATAAAAGTTCTCGATGTCAATGCGATCATCTTCGTCATCAACCACAACGCGAGGGGGATCGTTGTCAGACTCAGAGTCTCTGCGAGTTTTCTTTTGAGTTTTCTTTTCCTGCTTTACCCTGCGCCTAGGCTGTTCTTCCTCATCGTCTCCGCCTTCGACATCATCGTTGTTACCAGTCTGCTGAGATGGATTATCCTCCTCTATTCTGTCTTCAGAAGGTTCCCTGCGAGAACGTGTGCTCTTTCTCCTTGAAGAACTGGCCACCGGCATTTCTGGAGCTCTGATGGAACAATATGACGCGTGTCGCGACTCGCGAGTCTAATTGGGGGTTGAGGGCAGGCGTATACGCGGTGCAGTCCTGATTATGTCAGCGACCCAAAGCTTCTTCAGCCCGCAAACTGGTGTCGAAAACAAGTCGAAAATGCTGTCTGCACTGCGAGCCTGGAGTCGAATATCTCAGCCATGTAGGCTAGCTCAGCTTTCTGTGGCTCCTCTTGCTACAAGGTCTCTTCTCGAATCGCGTCTTTTCAGTTCATCACCTTCTTTGGCCATGACACTCAATCAGACGATGCGGCGGAAGCGTCCGCAGAAAGCCAAAGACCCCAAGTCACCGTTACTCGAGACCTGCCCTCAGAGAAAGGGTGTCTGCTCGCAGATTTTTATAATGAAACCCAAGAAACCCAACTCGGCGAAGCGGAAAGTCGCGCGTGTCAAGTTGACTACTGGGAAGACTGTCATGGCGTACATCCAGGGCGAGGGACATAACTTGCAGGAGCACAGTGTGGTGACAATCCGTGGTGGACGTGCTCAGGACTTGCCTGGTGTCCGGTGAGTCTCTCCTCCGGATACATATGATCGATGTGCACTTAAACTCTTATCCTAGTTATAAGGTCGTCCGTGGATCTTTAGACTTCGGAGGAGTAGTCAACCGTATGACTGCACGGAGTCGATACGGAGGTAAGCAACGGTGTTTGCTCAGGAGCTCGCTACTAACCGACGATCCAGCCAAAAAGCCCAAGAAATAATATACCTCACTAGTTATTTGGTTTCACTAGTTTGCCAACAGCAACCTAAACCTAGAATTCACAAATTGGCACAAGTCCTTACTCCAATCACTGAATCTAGAGCTCAGCAGCATCTGACTCTAATGAATGAGCATGGCGTTTATAAGTTGCTTCGCAAAACTAATCCATAAATTGTCTATAGCTCGTACGGTCGTACGCAACTTGGTAGATTCTAGAAGCAGCCTCACAGATTTCACTTGATAAAGTCAAAATTGAAGGCCTTCCAGTGACAATCACGCTCCTCGCCGGACGCCCGTGCAGTTTTCGTTGTTTGCCACTCTCGATGCCACGGAGCGAGCCATCGATCACCCGCCTCCTTGTATATGCAGGATATGCAAATCCAGAGAACTTGGACGTAGCCTGAGTCATAACCAAGCCGCGCTCTCAGCGCAATGAATCACGGCTTGGAGTATGACTGACAGGAAGTAATTTGAGTTCGGATGACTCGCGCGAGTGTGCTCATTCGAACCCATCTGAATATTGGCGTCAATTCTAGTCGCACGTATACACCATTGGGACACCGTCGATTTTTTTTTCGTCAGTGAGGTATCTAGTCTTGCTGAATGTCAGCACGACTGGGTGGCGCATCCATTCCTGCGAAGTCCTTTTGTTTCACATGTAGATTCCCTCAAACGTGTAGAACTTCTAGACAACCGTTAAGCTCTGCTTCTGTTTTCAGAAGCAAAAGCACAGTTTAACAACCGTCTACAACTCGACCACACATCTGGTAAGTGATAAATGTTGACCGTCCTCAGAGTTACCTGAGGCATGTGGTTCACACAGTGACACATGATATGATCACAAACTACTACGCGTCTAGTCTTGAAGTGAAGCCCCAACTCAGGTCTTCGATGTTGGCTAGTAAGTAGGAAGATACCAAGCTTCCCAGGAGTCTTGTCTCGAATATGGCATGTCTAGCAAAGCAAACTGCACTGATCGTCCCTTAGAGGCCAAAAAATGCGAAATGCAGCAGGAAACCCTACTTGGTATGTGATCTTTTTCGCGCTTTACTTGAACTGATCTCTGTGTTAGCGGCAGCGCGTGATAGCACTGATGTTACGCAACACCTTCTGATATCTTATTGCCAAAACTCACGGTGTGGCTCTGTACAAGCAGCGCAGTTGGCAGGTCCTCGCAATATTTATTTTTTGCTCGCTATCAATGTTTTTTATTCGGTTCGCATTCGAACCTCCCAAAAAATCGAACCTGACTGCTCCGAACCGTTCGCAAAGGGCCAGTTCGGGGTTCGTCAACTCTAATAGAACCGAGCCGCAGTAGCACTTCGTGACTAGCAATGAAATGAAACGGCAAGATATGTTGCGTGCTGACAGGATTACCAGACTGTCGAATTAATAATAATACTAATGCCAGCTGCCTTTGCCAGTACCATAATCATAGCCCCAACCGGTGGTCACGTGGAGATTCTCCATGTGTGTGCTTGAAGTACACATCCAGCTCGCGCCGTTTTACATATAAAGGACACGACTCGCAGATTGGATCGCCATTCTTTCTTCTCTGCGCTCATCCCCTTTTGCGCGTCCCTCAACGATTTTTGTCCATCCATGTACCTACCACCCTTTCTTAGCTATTTCCAGTGAGGCGGTCTAGATCTGCATTTTGGATCGAGTCACTTTCAAGGTTCGTTTTCTTTTGATCCCACCCATCTCCAGCCCCCTTCTCTCCTCTCACCTTCACTAGCCCATGGCTATTTGCTACTTTCCAATATTAGTTCGCATACACCTCCGGACGCTAACTAATATTGTTCTTTTTTTTTATCTATATCCTCTCAGACAACAAAAGCACCTCGCCTGCCTGGAACCCTACCAGCCTTCTCAGACTGCCCCCACCCGCCCCAACAACCCTGCCCCTGTCCCCGCCCTGCCCAATGGTCAATCCGGTTCTTGCATGCAGTTGAACTAGCGTCTTATCAATGCGTTAGCACCACCACCTCATTGTGAAACATCCCTCTATGGGCCCATCAATGGCCTTTTGGCGACCTACTTCCCTCTCGCCGATTACTTCATTACGGAGCTGCCGATGCGCCCGCCCACCCTGTACGGCGCGCAGGGACAGACAGAGGTGCAGCGGGATGATAAGATTCCAAATTTTGTCGTGTCGTCTTGCGGGAGCGATCTCCATAGCGATCTCCCCTTCTTGGTTCTTGAGGTCACCAGGGACTTCAAGGTCGATGAACTTCAGAGATCCAAATATTTTAATCAGATGGTCACGAAGCGTCGGTCGGCCCGCTTAGGAGGTCAGGGCAATCTTCCTAACTTTTGGCTAATGTACGCGCGCGGCGGCGGGGCAACAAGTTACGCGTGTGGATGCCAAAACCGATGCAGTCACGGTACTGCCATCTATGCCCGCCATATCTGACGACATGCTCAACTTGTTGCTCGATATCCGGGCTCATGTTTTGAAGTAAGTGAATCGCCAGTTCCAGATATATACATGTACTGACTAAGGTGGAAGAAGTAGGATGTAATTAGCAGTTCTTACTGCATCCAGCATCCGGGAACTCTTAAGTCCCTCGGTCATCCACTCCCTCTCCATTTTGACAGGCCGCGTCCCGAAGGCAGTGAGTTCATAATTGTCTGGAAAGGTTACCCATTATACGCCAGTGGCGCCGTTTTCCTGTAGCCAATTCTTGACCAGCAGATCTTCCCCATCTTCCGGCCATTCGTAAGTGTAACAAAATTGGGTAAAGAAGAAGACGCGAGGGCCGCGGCAACGGTCGAACGGCCAGGTGAGGCACGCATTCAACACGTCCGGCTTATTATCAGCTAGCTAGTTGTTGATCAGGAAGTGCAGGTGACTGTCTTTGAACTCGCTGTCATCGATACCAAGAGTCCTATTGACGACATGAGCCGCGGAAGGGGACATATGATATCCGCCGAAGTTAATTTCTGAGCATCATAACGTTAGAACTTAGAAACCGCAGATCACGCAGAACCGTTGCCCACTCAAGTCATCGAGTCTGCTAGCAGGAAGTCCGTTCATAAGTCCAAGATCATTGATTTCCTTCTGGGCTGCGTTAAGATGAAAGACGCGCAAGACAGGACGTGGACGAGCGTTTGAGATTAAGGGGGTAAACAAACAATAGGGCATGCGTGATGGATGGGTTAGCCCGCTTATCATGATGACTGACGATGACAGTCGGAGAGTATAGGGAGATCGTTAGGACGGTCGGAGAGTGTGCATAGGAGTCAGACGTGACGCGACAACTCTGTGGCTGTGTTTTCGCACCAGATTCATGACACACCTGCTACATACATATGGCAGACATACAAGTAAATCGCGTCATTAATGCTTGGGCAAGGGTATATAAAACCAGGTAGCGGGAATAATACTTTCACCCAACCTGTCAGCACCAGAATTTAGGAAACTGAAAGAAAGGAACAATAAGCCGAACTCACTACAAATACTTACTGCAAGTGCGGATCCTTCAGTGCGGCAGTTCGAGACTCTAATCCCAACTCCAGAGTGAGCTAGTGATGTTAACGGTGTTGATAATTCAATGAGAGACGACGCTGAGGAGTACGTATGTGATCGATCGATCGGCGACAAAGCCCAACTTCGGTTTGGAACGTCGCGGCAGTTGCCGCAGCAGTAGTGGCGCAACATTTTCGTACCCGAATTCTGTGGAAGACATAAACGATGGCAACAATTCTGCAAGCAGTTCGGCCTCTGCGAGCTGCTCGTTTGCTGCAGTCGGTGCGCTGGAACTCCAATGAGGTCCCACTCATCGACCCTTCGCGCATGATTCAAAAACCTGACTACCAACCCTCCACTCGCAAGTCAAGAGGTGCTGCCCTAAGGCCCCATCTTGGTGTTGAGGTAGACCCAAATCATGGTCTTTGGGCATTCTTCAGAAAGAAGGAAGTGGACGGGGAGATGAAGTATGAGAGTATTGAAGCAAGAGACACATTCCAAGATGATCCCGGTGAGTCGAATGTCTTCTTCGTGTATCTGTCGCAGGTTTCTGAGTTGCTGTCCGCAGGAAGGGCATGGAAAGCCGCGGAACTTCGGCGAAAGAGCTTCAAGGACTTGCATACGCTCTGGTATGTTCTCTTGCGAGAACGAAACCTCCTTGCTGCCCAGAAAGAGGAAGGAAGACGACTTGGTATCAGCAATCACGAGAGTCTTGCTGGCAGTAAGAAAAATCTTCAAGTAAGTACGCGGTTTTCACGCTTGGACTAAAGGCCTTGAATATTCTCGCAGTGTCGGAAATCTATGGCACGCATAAAATATGTGATTAACGAGCGGAGGTTGCTTTATGAGAAATACGCTGCAGAATTGGAAACCAAACGGCAGCTCCTGGCATCCAAGTCGACGCCCGTGACAGCTGACGTTCAGCCGTCTCAAGATAAAGAAAACGTTCCTCGTACGCGTGCTGAGAGGCTGAAGGCTCGGCGGGCCAGGAAGCCGAGTGCACCTATTACTGTATGACGCATGGAGGCAGTCGCGTCCAAGGCTTTTGTACCATACTCGTAGTTACACCTAATGTTGCTATCACCGCGTGCTACTATCTCTTGCAAGGTTTGGTATCTAATCTGGCTACTGAGAAGCTGTCCGTGATCCGTGTCGGCTTTGCTCCCAATCACTCATGGCTTGTGATATCTGGCAGTCTCTCACAGAGGGCTGTTCGTACATTTCCAGCTGCCTTTTACCACGACGGAGAAGGTGCTCTATAGCCGCGACGTCACGAGGCGATACAGAAGATGCTTGTGTATGGAAGTTGTGGCGCACGAAGAGGAGAAATTTTGGCTGGGTTAAGGCTGGTTTAGTACGGACCATGCGCAATGCACTGAAGAATTCGTCAAGAAGGTCTGCGTTCTGTTCTGACTGTCACGTACCGTCTATAGAGTGCTAGGACCTCCTTTTGAAGTCCCGACTTTCTTGCAGACATTGTTGAAGAGTAGCCTCTATAGTTTGGACGTCGGTGTTAACGGACAAGCATAAGTACAACTTCGGTAACTCAAATTTCTCAGTTTAGTTGCCGGATCATTTTACATTTTGTCATGAGCCATGACGGTGCCACCTTCACTTCGTCCTCGCCGTCTGCAGGCATTTAGCTTTTGTCGTCGGCTTCATACAGATTCAGTTTTTCGCTCTGGCGCTGGTATTTCGAATCCAGCCGAATACTGCAAAGACTTCGTACGGAAACATGACCATGAAGGTTATTTAACGTCCCAGCTATATCCTAAAAAATTTCAAGGTGGGTACTTCGCGCTTAGGGCATTCTATGTACGTGGTACGCTTTATTGACAGTAACTCCCTCTGACTCGCGTCTTAGATCGAGCTTGCCACGGTGCGAGAAGCGGTGTCCCAGACTACCTTAGGTCAGGCTCGCTTGATGTTCTGGAGAGATGCCATAAAAGACATTTATAATGTAGGTGGTGCTTCCTTGCATACCACAATCATTTGACTGTCGTTGTTAAAGGATAAGCCTCCGCGTCATCCCATTGCCCTTGCGATCCATGAAGCAACACGGCATAGCCATTTACCTCTATATCACTTTAACAGGATAATAGAAGCAAGAGTGAGCGTTATCCATAAATTTACATATGATGCTTACGGCCATCCGACTTTAAGGAACAAGAACTTCACAACCAGACACACCTTACTCTGGATTCCATGACCTCACATGCGGAGTCCACTTCATCGACTTTTCTCTATCTTCTGTTGGCGATGCTGAACCTCCCCTCCTCCACGCTTGCACATGCCGCTTCGCATCTTGGGGTCGCTCAATCATTGACGACGCTTCTACGAGCTTTACCTTTTCATGCTTCCAAAGGTGTTATGGTCATACCCGCGGAGATCACTGCCAAGCACGGTGTCAATCAGCAAGAAATTTTCAGCAAGGGGAAATTATCCCATGGACTGGAAGACGCGGTGTTTGAACTTGCAACTACTGCAAATGATCATTTGCTTACAGCACGAGACATGTTCAAGGAGTCCGGGGGCATGGTCCCACCAGAAGCCATGCCTGTGTTTTCGGCAGCTGTGCGTCGGATTTCTCGGACTGCCATCATTTCTGACGAAATTTTCTCAGATACCAGTAGTGTCCATTCTACGGACGTTAGAGGCCATCAATTTCAACGCCTTTGACCCCTCCTTGCAGATCCGAGATTGGAGATTACCGTGGCAAGTCTGGAGGAGTTACTATAAGAGGACTTTCTAAAACGACCCAGGCCACATGCCGGCATTGCATCTCAGCACAATGTAGCGCCTGTTAAAAGTGTAGAACGTTGTCATTTCACGCATCTTTTTGCTCTGGAACGCTTTGAGCTTCATGATGTTATACTTTGAGGAATATTGTGACCACCTAGGACGAAATATTTGAACGAAGATGCAGTGGTGGTTACGAATTTAGAAGTCCGATGAAGTGCGTTCACCGGCTGCACACCTCTTGACACCCAACCACATCATCGTAAACGGAGACAACCTCGCCAAGTCTCTAACCCTAGTCGTTAGCATCCTTGGACGGAGCCAAGCTGGTAACCAGTGCTCTTCCTGAGCATTTTGAGTTTCTGCCTATCGCAGTCAGAACCCTTCTACCGCACGCCATGCAACGCCTATGTGGTATGTTTTCTGATCATTTATTTTCCCACTTATAACCTGATATTCGGATAGATGAAGTCATCGAGTTAATCTTCTATGAGCTCGACGACCCAACCGCTCTAATACTAACGTCGAAACACTTTCACAATGTGTCTCAAGACCCATATGTCCGAGCGCACTACTTTCTCAACCGTTATGGTCGCTTGGATGCTATGTTTTGGGCTTTGGGGAGAGGGAAGATTATGACTGACAAAGTCATCGACGTTCGTCACCTATTTCTCTTGCTGTGTCCCAGCGCTTCGTGGAGTCCCACTGATTATATGCGCCTCCTTTGTCTAGATCCTAATCAGTAGTGGCGCATATGTATCCAGATATCTTGTCCAAGTCGCCATACACCATTATTTTAGGTCCGCAAACCATTTCATAAAGACCGCATGGGTTCGCAACATGTCGATTGCCGTTTTCGCTCATTTCATGAAGGTCGCTTGCGGGTTATTCGATGAAGTGCCGTTGGGGAAGAACGAGGATGATGGTTATTTCTTCCATGTGTTTTTGAAAGAGAGCAGGCTTCCGCCAGATATGAAGAGCACCAAGTGGGAGACGGTGCGGGATATATTTGGCAAGTATAAGGTGCGCGACGTCGGTTTCCTCAGTAGTGCGGTTTCTTATGATATGCTTTAGTTCATCCCGTTCAGCATGAAGGTTGGTTTCTGAAATTTCTTCATTGGTTTGGGTATGCTTACGGTGTCCTCCTGCAGGACCCTCTTATGGTTCAATTGCCGATCGCTCTCGCTATTGAGCCGAGACTGCTTCCCTATGCTGAAGCCAATGGATTCCATATGGACACCAAGGTAGTCTTCACTGCTACCGCGTTCACTACCAATACTTAAGAATTCGATAGTACCGCGATTTCGTCTTCCGTAAGATGTTTGAGAAGATGGCGCTTAATAACGGCGAACGCTCCGATGACATTCTCAGAAACGTGCGTGAGCTGCGACGTCTTGATAGTCGGTGAGAGCAAGCAGTTTTGTCACAACAGCCTTTGCATGCTCAGATCTGTCTTCGTATTTCGTGATGTGGTTTATCCCTTAGGATGTTCCTGAGTCGCACAGTAGCAGCTGAGATCTGCATGGAATCAAAGAGCAATGAGTCGGCTTACCGTGCACTCAAGACCCTCGACCGTACCAAGGAGTTACTATTCGATCTCTCGTACGTGCGCCACTTTTGAGTTCGACATTTATTTACCCCTCTTTGTTACTTAACCGACCCATAGCACCGTCGTCGCCGAGTTGATCAAGGTGAGTTCGAACCTACCGAGTGTTGACTTGACTTGAGCGCTGCTGTTAGCTATTTGCCAAGACACGCTCTATCACTTCCCCCTATACCATCAATGTCCTCAGACATCTTTACGCCGACTTCCCTAGTACAGACCCAACAGTCCGCATCGTCATGCTCCTGACAGCGTGTTTGCTGGATAACGTCCTGGTTCAGCCAAACCCCTCAGGCACATTGAAAGGCAAACTAGAACCTCTGGGTTTACTCCCGCTGACGAGAAAGGATATTGTGGACATCTTGACGAATCCATTCGTTGAGAAACATTCAGCCCTCGTTGACTTTGCGAAGGATGAAATGAATCTAGGGTCGAGCGAAATCAAAGACATCCTCCAAGAAGTTGCCGTGAAGTGCCTCAAGATTGGCAGTAAGGTGTGTGTTTGACCCAGTGGCAAGCTATTTTCTGACGACTTTGACAAAATAGGGGAAGACGCTCAAGAAACTCGTCGACTGTCATCCTTATCTTCATGCGGTATTGCAGGAAAATGCGGTCCGGCGATATGCGATTAATCTGGACGATCTTCCTCGGTATGACGACGAAGAGGCATGTGCTGCATATGAAGCCCCACTATGTAGAGACTTCAACACCAACTCGAAAGCCACACGGAATAACTCTGGGATGGCTAGCGTTAATTCGGCAGCCTCAAATGCTTCGGGGGTTCCTGCTGAAATTGGGGATGGAATTGCTATGGATGATCGTGAGATGTACGAGGATGAAAGTGGGACTGTTGAAGCCGAAACCGGGGATACGTCAGAATTGGTTAGTGCGTCGTTGCTTTCAACGTTGAACGTTTGAACTCATTTCCGCGCAGGGGATCATCGGTCAGGATACATTGTCCTCTATGATTCGACAGGACGAAATGGCTCCCACGCGATCTCGCAGGCGGTCTCTTTATTTCAGCTACTTTGGACCTGACACTACTGGAAAGCTCGGATACCCAATAGGTAATGATAGAACGCCCGTGCCATACAACAATGGAAGTTCATAATCCATCGCAGATTTCATTCAAGTCGGTCGATGGGTCAAAGAACGATATCCCGTCCGAAGTGCAATGGCTGCCACGTTCCTGACCCACGCTGTGATCAATAACAATACAACTGTTGGTGCTATGATCGCTCGAGAAATGATTTCTCTGACACCGCGACAACACAGCTCCTCCATGGATTTTTCACATGTAGTACCCCCTCGACTAACTATGTTTCAACATCACAACATGTACCAGTAACACTCAAGCATTTCAGGCTCCTTGCACGCCTTGGTAAAGCACCAGTAGGTTCTCGTTGATCGTAGGGTGTAAATTCTGCTAACTGTTCTTCAACCCTGCCAGAATTGGTGTCTATACCATGAGATTGAGAACGGCGCTGAGTTCTACTTTTCTGAAGACGACTATCTTTCGAAACAACCACCAGCCTCGGAACCGAAGAGGTATAGCAAGGTGAAAGTCAAGTCGAAGGAGGCCAGTCCCACCATCCCTCGTTTCTTCGGCCAATCTGGTCCTTCAAAGGTGCAAGTGTCTCCACGACCGAGTAAACGGAGACCGCGGCGCTCTGCGGCGGCTGTTATGTCTTACGTCATCCCAGATTCTGATGATGAGGCTATCGTTGAGGATGATGACGACAATGCCGTCGTCGTCCTGATGACAATGCAGGCTAAGAAGCGGAAGGTGGAGTCGAATCTTCAGCGGTGGATCAAGCATTTGTCAGTGCTACTGGCCGAGGAGCAGAAAAAGGTAACGTTCCGATTTATTGCGCTTCATTTCCAATGTCGACGTTGTTTCATCAGTACAAGGAAAAGCGAAAGCGCCTTGAGAAGAGTGCGCCGGCCGAGGGAAGACGTCGTGTTGCGAAGGTACCCAGTCATTCTTCTCTTGACCGTGGACTTGTCTAACAGACGTTTAAATTTAGAGCGAGTTTCATAAATCATTGATGGTCAATCTTCGCTCTCTACGGAAACTCGACCTAGATAAACGAAAGCAACTTTACGGTCCAGACGCGGCGGAAGACGATTATTTCACCGAAGATGATGGTGATGATGAGTATCGGCAACGGACAACGCGCGCTAACAAGAGGCGGCGTGTGACTTCGTAGCTATTAGTCTCGGAACTCTGCCCATTATGTTTATATCACTATATGTGTGCTCGTCGCACGTTACGCACATACTAATATCGCATCGCATCACACTACCAATTACCTTACATTCCTTCGGAAAGTCGTTTAATTGATGCTTAGATGACACGGAGCAATATGTTCAGATTCGATACCTGTAGCGTACAGAGCGATCGCCCAGCCTGATTCTGTCTTCCTCGGTTTCTTCCTTTGCTTCGCCCTTTGACAACAAACGATCTCGCCTCCTGTTTTCCCAACTCATCATGACCCATAAATATGTGGTCATCGCAATGGCGAACAGGAGATAACCAATGGCTATGAGATTGGGTTTGCGGTACAGGTGGCCGCTTAGCGTAGGTCTGTAGATTAGACAGCCTGCAATGGCTCCGATGTCTCCTACGCTGATTTGAAGGGCCACCGCAACTGCACGTTTAGCCTGACCAGAAACGTTCTCCCCAGGCCAACTGTGAAATGATGTTGGCTAGTGGAACACGACTGCAGTCACCTGGACAGACCTTAGAAGAAGCGAATTGCCCGTATATACTCCAGCTGTATCAAATTGAAAACATAGGAGTTACACATGAGCGACAAAGTTTTCTGTGACTCACCCGCTGCGAGGTGTACTCCGAAGTATTGAAGGCCAGCTGTTACGCGTGTAAGCACACATTTGATCATGACGTGGCCAAGGAAGCTTACGACGTGTGCAAGTAATGAGAAGGATGTATCCTTGATATTCATAAGAGACTTGAAGTGCGTGCCACGAACAACCTCACCAATGATGGATACAATTGCAGCTCCTATAATGAAGGGCGCTCTTACATTGCACTTGCTTGAGAACCATACCGTGATCCATATTGAAAAACTTGCGAGCACATTTGGGGGGACAGTCATCCTAATGGTGGGTGTTCATATCGACATCTGATCAGGGGGCTGAGGTCGAAGGGACTTACAGTTGTGCCTGCCATGTCTGAAACCCAAGTCCCGCGATGATAGTAGGCTAGAACGAAGAGTCAGGGACCATTCACAGTCTCTTCTTTTCAATGGCGAACATACCAGGAAAAGGCTGAGAGAGTATAGCACAAAAGAGAACCCATGGAAAAGGAATGCATACGCCCAGACCAAGTGATCGCTAAAAGCATCTCGGACAGACGACCATTTGAAGGCTTGATCAGTTCCTGCATCGGAGTCTGCTCGCAATCTATCTAGCAGGCGCGTTTTCTCTGCTTCGGATAGCTGCGAAGGTTAAGTTCTTGGGTGACAAAGGTGGAAGAAGGAAACGAACAAATTTGGCTTCATGAGACCAAGTGGGAACGATGAAATATGCGATGAGGGAAACGCCCGCGGTGAGGATTCCCTCAAGAATGAAGATCCTTTTCGATGTTGGTTTAACGAGGTGATATGTAGGAATGCGAACGTACCATTGCCAACCTCGTCTTCCGCCCACACCGTCCATCAATCCAATGCAATATGCAAATATCCCTTGAAAGATTTAATCGAACTGCAGTGACGTCAACAACATCTAACATACCTCCAAATGCCCCCGCCAATGCCGCACCACCGAAGAAGATTGCAACTCGCCAACTCCGCTCACGTCTATACATGTATTCAAAACCTGCTAATGCATAATGCTCATTGTGCCTCTTACCTCACGTAATATACTGAGAAGACGTATATTACACCTGGAAACAGGCCAGCTTCCGTGGCACCAAGTACTGACGGCGAGTAAGCAATCATCAGCAGTGCCCTTTATACACATAAGACAACATACAGAATCTGATTCCAAACAACCCGGCTTGGTTTTTGACAAGGCCTTGGCCAATAGAGACTATACCCCAGGCGAGAGTCAATGACGGCAGCCAAACTTGTGGATTGCATCTCTTCAGTCTGCAGACAATTACAAGTCAGGATTCCCTTCGCTAGGTCAGCATAAACGGGGATTGATATCACATTATCTAGGGGAAATGGCATCAGCTCAAGGGACGAACTAGATTTCGTGGCACATACATTGGCAGGAACTTCGAAAATAACGTAGCCAACAAAGTATATTGCCTAAAGCTGTGTTATAGCTGGCAGCAGATACGCCGAGATCCTATGATGTGGAACGGACATCACCGTCAGGCCTGAGCGTCGTATCACGAAAAGCGTAAATCATCGCACAGTTGTCATTCCATCAATTCTGTACGTTATCTGGATCGTCAGCGCAAAACTTGAGTATATATCAGCTTTGCTTACTTCGCATTCCCGATGTTTGACCTTTGGACATTATGAGCTCAATCACAATCATCAAACAGAATGGCACAAACCTATCCAGGAAGCTAAGGAGGTAAAGCAAAGTGAAAACAGGCAGAAGTCTACGGTCAACCTTGCGCAAAATTCTGTGATCCTCTGCGGAAACCTTGTCCTTCTCAACCACCGAGTATTTTTCGGATACAGACATGGTAACGTCCAGAGTCCCCAGACACAGGGTAACATCTTGCCCACCCCCACACGAACTTATATACTGTGGGGAGTATGCGCAACTGGGGTGCGCAATGGCGTAATGAGATCAGAGACAAAAATATCACGAATCTTTTCCACGAACTGCAACGAACTGCTCTTCGTTCAAGCCTCATCGGGCAGTAGAGTCCAGATTCCAGTCGTGGTTAGTACCTGAGCATATGATCTAGTAGACCAAATACAGTGATCGTGGAAGCAACCTTCCTTTTATGTCTCAAGCCTATTAGAACATGGTGCAAGTCGCGCAGTACTACTTTCAGTGTCACAAGTGGATCATTCAAACCAGTAATGGAGAGTCTCTTCTTTAACGTGGGTATACGATATCGACATGGTCTCCGAATCTAACAGAAATAAGCCTCTAGGTGAACAACGGCTTCCTGGAAGGAATCGTCCGAGGCTACAAGTCTGGTACCCTCACCCAAGCTCACTATGCCAGCTTGACTCAGTGCGAGACATTGGAAGGTCAGGAAGGGAAGAAACATAAGCTACTTCCTTGCTCACGCGTGCTCGTAGACTTCAAAACCCAGCTGTCCGCAACTGACTACGGAAACTTCCTCGCCAACGAACCATCTCCATTGTCCACCGCAACTATAGCGGACAAGGCAACGCAGACTCTCGTGGACCAATTTAACTTTCTCCGCAGCAATTCTGTTGAGCCTCTGAGCAAGTTCTTGGATTACATCACGTGCGTAATGATCAATTGTACGTTCACGCGCTCATAGATCGTAGGTATGGGTACATGATCAACAACGTTGTCCTACTTATAACGGGCACACTCCACGAGCGGGATACCCACGAACTTCTCGAACGATGTCATCCACTTGGCATATTCGACACCATGCCTGCATTATGTGTGGCTACCAACGTCGAAGAGCTTTATCAGAGCGTATTGGTAGAAACGCCTCTAGGTATTCATCTGACATAACCCCTACTCCAAATACTCAACACCATGATTAGCACCCTACTTCCGTGATTGCCTGTCTGCTGCTGATCTCGATGAAATGAACATCGAGCTCATCAGGAATACCGTCTACAAAGCGTACCTCGAGGACTTCTACAACTATGTCTCCACTCTTGGTTCAACGACAGCAGAGGTCATGCACAGCATCCTCGCCTTCGAAGCTGATAGACAAACAATCAACATCACCATCAACTCCTTTGAAACCGAGCTCTCCAAGGAGCAGCGTGCTAAGCTCTTCCCCGCCATTGGGCGATTGTTCCCCGCAGGTAACAACGCCCTCGCCAAAGCAGATGATATCGACCAAGTCCGCCAAGTGTGCGAGAATGTCGGTGAATATCGTTCATTCTTTGACAACTCAGCGTCAGCCCAAGACAGCGGTGACCTCGGGGACTTTGGAGTAGCTGCACGGCTGGAGAATCATTTTTTCCGCATGGAGGTGCACCTGAACAAGCTCTCTTTCCTGCAGCAGTTCCAGTACGGCGTCTTCTACAGTTATATGAAGCTGAAGGAACAGGAAATCCGGAACATCACATGGATAGCAGAGTGTATTGCGCAAGATGCAAGAGACAGGATACATAACTTCATACCGATATTCTGAGCTGCACTACCTATTTGTACACTTTTCACCTAATTTTCATTCCAAGTCATTCGAGTACGGTTTGAAAAGATCCCGAACGCGGCAACACGCATACGATTGCTGATCATTTAAGCGTATCCACTTCTTCCGGGAACAATTCCGAACGCAGGGCTCCCCTTTGCGAACATCTTCCGCACATCTTGAACAAGCTCCTCTGGCCGTTCAGTGGCAGCAAAATGGCCTCCTGTCTTATGATGGGACTCCAAAACGACTTTGTTCGACCTGCGCAGCCACCTACGCTCTCATGTTAGCTTCGTAGCCCCAAAGCTACTTGATAGAAACGCACGCTGCAGGTAGAATTACGAGCTCCTTGGGGAAATACGACGCTCCCATAGGAATAGTGGGGTAGGGGCCTAAATCCTCGAAACTGCCAGCCAACTCGAAGTAAATGCGAACGGAGGCAGCGGGCCCGGCACGAGAGAACCAGTACAATGAGATCCACGTTAGCACTATTTCAAAAGCAGGTAAGCGATTAACCGAAAAGTCACAATGCTGCTACCTTCGTCATCAGACCATTGGTAATTGTCGGTCCAACAGACCAGTTTTTCGTAAATCCAACCAAGCAGACCAACAGGGGTATCGGCAAGACTGTAACCGAGTGTCTGCGGCTGCGTGCTTTGCTCCTCAAAGTAGCCACGCCCTTTTGAGTGGAACAACGCGGTGCGCTCAATACCTGCTTTCTCCTCTGCGGACCAAGGGGTTAGCAGGAATGATAAGAAAGACAGGGGCGATTTCCAGCTCGGTGGTTCGGCACTAGTCAAGGATGAGTTGACGTGCGTACTAAGCAAAAAAACAACATATATACATTGGCATGTTGGTGTGCCACGCCTTGTGATACTTCCCACCATACACAGAGGCCATTTTCCGAGTGATCTAAAGCATGTAACTATGAGGACTTATGGATTTCAAGAATAGAACGTTACTCACGAGGCCACCCCAGTCACCTCCCTGGGTAACTGTGAGAGAATGAGCAAATCCATCGTAGCGTATAATGTCGGTGGCGACGTACCATACTCGTTGTACCCGAGAGCAAGCATGAGTTTGTGAGCCACCTAATAGGTACGGTCAACATTCAGAGAGCTTAGAACGTGTAATGAACGATAATCACCTCAGCATATTGGTCAAGAGCAAAACCTTGGGTATGAGGAGCCTCCGAAAAGCCAAAACCAGGCAAGCTAAGCGCAACAACATGGAAGCTAGGATGTTCAGGGGACGACGCTGTCAGAAGAGGCAAAATCTTCCTGACTTCCAAGAAACCTCCAGGCCCTAGCCGAGGTCAGAAACATGTCTGTCTGCGCGGATACGACATACATCCGTGACAAAACAACAGCGGAATAGCGTCAACAGCTTCGCTCTTCTTGTGAACGTAGTGAATGTTCAGCGTGCCAAAACCATCCACGTCAATATCGCGGGTAAACATTGGGAGCTCTTGATTTAATTCCTTTTCATGCTTGCGCCAGTCGTACTCGTTTCTCCACCTTTCCGTGAGTCGCTTAATATCCGCTAGAGGTGCTCCATACTTCCACCCGGCGTCTTCTAGTTCGTCTGGGAAAGTGGCGAGTTCGAGTTTAGCATGTAGGGTGGCGAGTTTCTCGTCGGGGACGTTGATTTGGAAGGGCGATTCAGAGGATGACATGGTAGTCAATGTGCAAGTGAGCTTGCTTTAGTAGGAGGTGCCGCATAAGGAGGTCGAGGATGCTTCCACCGGTCTGACCCGAAACTGCGGATCTAGGTAACCATCTGTTCTCGCCCAGTGCACTGGACCCTGACTGACGCCATTAGAATGGGGTTCAGAGGTGACGTTACCAAAGATGCTCCCATTCATCCAGGCCTTGATAATTCATCGCCACACGGATTTGGCTTCGCAGTAATGATTAGCCTAACTCGAGCATAGTTTACTTGCTGGTGTTCTCCCGTATTCAAGCTGACTTGTGTACAGGGTCTGCGATTCCGCGTCTTCCTTGGCTGTTTACGCATCAGCACGGCTGTCGTGGACGAGGAGGACTTCCCCAAATGAGCATCATTTGCAGGTGATACCGTCTGCTGTGTCCTAGAGAAAGCAAGCAGTCGGCGGTGTCCTGCGGGTGGCTGTGGTACTGTGGGGAACGCATGTAAGCCAATAGGTGAGCTCAAAGTATGCCGCTATGCGCCGGACTCCCCGACACAGTACTGGCGGCGCGGGAAGCGAAAACATAATTAGTACTAATCACCAAAAATGCTCCAGTCACAGTAATGCATGGCTGTATCTCAATGGCTAATGTCGAGTCAGACCATAGACGAATGGAGATGGACGTTGCTTCTTTATGTAAGTTCTTACGACCTTCTTGCGCTTCCCGCGTTCACGTGACAGACACCCTCGCGGGGGCACTCATTTCGTCGGAGGAACGGAAAATCCGGAACATCTCATGGATAACAGAGTATCCAGATTGCGCAAGATGTAAGAGACGGGATACACGATTTCATACCGATGTACTGAACTACATTATCCTATCATTCAAGCCGAGTCATTCAAGCACGAATTGAAAAATCCCAAACGCGACGACGACACTGTCCTGTCACATACGAATATTTGCTGATCATTTAAGTGTATCCACTTCTTCCGGGGACAATCGCGAATGCAGGGCTCTCCTTCGCAAACATCTTCCGCACATCTCGAACAAGCTCCTCCGGCTGTTCAATAGCAGCAAAATGACCCCCTGTCTTATGATGGGACTCGAAAACAACTTTGTTCAACCTGCGTAGCCACCTGCACTCTCACGTTAGCTTTATATTAGCAACGCTGATTGATAGAAACGCACGCTGCGGGAAGAACTATGAGTTCTTGCGGGAAATATGACACTCCCATAGGAATGGTGGGGCTAGGACCTAAATCCTCGCAATCGCCAGCCAACTCGAAGTAAATGCGAAGGGAAGCAGCGGGACCGGCACGAGAGAACCAGTATAATGAGATCCATGTAAGTACTATTTCAAAAGCAGGTGAGCAATATACCCAAAAAGTCACAACACTGCTACCTTCATCATCAGACCATTGGTAATTGTCGGTCCAAAGGACCAGTTTCTCGTAAATCCAAGCAATCAGACCAACAGGGGTATCGGCAAGACTGTAACCGAGTGTCTGCGGCTGCGTGCTTTGCTCAGCAAAGTAGCCGTATCCTTTGGAGCGGAACCACGATGTGCGTTCGATGCCTGCCTTCTCCTCTGCAGACCAAGGGGTTAGCAAGAACGACAGGAACGACAGGGGGGATTTCCAGCTGGGCGGTTCGGCGCTAGTCGAAGATGAGTTGATGTGTGTGCTGAATAATAAATGACACATACACCGGAAAGTTGGTGTGCCATGCCTTGTGATGCTTCACACCATACACAGAAGCCATTCTCCGAGTGATCTGATGGGTGTTGATTGTTGGATAAGTCATATCTACCTATGAAACGTCACTCACGATGGAGCCCCAATCGCCTCCCTGGGTGACTGTGAGAAAATGAGCAAATCCATCGTAGCGAATGATATCGATGGTGACGTACCATACTCGTTGTACCCGAGAGCGAGCATTAGTTTGTGGGATACCTAGGTACATCAGTCAACATTTAGAAAGCTTCGAGCGTGTAATGTACAATAATCACCTCGGAATATTGGTTAAGAGCAAAACCTTGAGTGTGAGGAGCCTCCGAAAAGCCAAAACCAGGCAAGCTAAGTGCGACAACATGGAAGCTAGGATGTTCAGGGGACGACGCAGTCAGGAGAGGCAAAATCTTCCCGACTTCCAAGAAACTTCCAGGCCCTAGCTGAGGTCAGAAACATGTCTGTCTGTGTGAATACGACATACATCCGTGACAAAACAACAGCGGAATGGCGTCAACGACTTCGCTCTTCTTGTGAACGTAGTGAATGTTCAGCGTGCCAAAACCATCCACGTCAATATCGCGGGTGAACATTGGGAGCTCTTGATTTAATTCCTTTTCATGCTTGCGCCAGTCGTACTCGTTTCTCCACCTTTCCGTGAGTCGCTTAATATCCGCCAGAGGTGGTCCATACTTCCACCCGGCGTCTTCTAGTTCGTCCGGGAAAGTGGCGAGTTCAAGTTTAGCATGTAGGGTGGTGAGTTTTTCTTCAGGGACGTTGATTTGAAAAGGAGATTCAGAGGACGACATGGTGGTCAAAGTGCAAGTGAGAGAGAGGGGCACGTCGTCTTCAATAGTTAGGAGGTGCTGCATAAGGAAGTTGGACCGGACCAATCCGAAATCGGTCTGCTCAGTCTCGAGCTCTACTACGACACGTTCATTTTTCCATAGAACTTCGTAGCCTAATCACTAGTATCCTTACGATCTTAAGCTTGTATATTTGCTTTCTTGCAACGCGGCGGGACGAACTTGAAATGCCCAAACTAAGTATTACCTTTTTGCAAGGTATGGGACTCATAGCCATCATATTTCGCCGCTTTGTCGCCTCCGAAGATGAACAGGGCCCAGTGTTAAGTAGCGCCTGTTCGGGCCTCAGAATATAACGAGCTAAGGTTACGCTCCATTGCTCCAACCAAAATCCATCTCAATTGTCCAGATGGCGGCTAACGTCGACAAATACGATAATTTTTTATCAACCCTCTGTGGACTATCGTCCAGCACATGGACTGAAGCTCAGGAATCTGTAAGTGTTTGTATATTTTGAGCGTCCAAGAAAGGCTCAAGTTCGTCATGCTAGGCCTTGCTCGAGCCCTACACCTACATCACCGCCAACCCGGGCAAAAAGGTCGCAGATAAGCTCGTCGAAGGCTTCAACCTCTGGCTTAACGTCCCAAAGGACAAGCTTGCGGTCATCACTCGTGTTGTTGGTCTTCTCCATAATGCCAGTCTCTTGTATGTCTCTGCACGTTGTCGGACCGATCTCAACCCAACCTTCATATCTTCAGGGTAGACGACATTGAAGACGACTCTCAGCTGAGACGTGGGATTCCAGGTTTGTCTGCTGTGAGCGATACGCCTGGAATGGGTTTTGATATTATCTATTCCAGTTGCGCATAAAATATATGGTGTTCCTCAGACCATCAATACTGCCAATTACGTCTACTTCCTAGCATATCAGCAGCTGTCCGCTTTGAGGCCTACAGTTCGGCGTCGCGCTTGCACGTCAAGTGCATGTCCAAACACTAGGGTCGGGGATGACAGTCCCGCCGCCGAGACGAAACATATCATTCCCGATCATGACCTGGACCTTGTAGTGAATGGTATGTCATTTGTCGTCATTGTTACACAGACAGTCCTAACGTAAAAACGTGGATAGCTGAGCTCATGTCGCTCCACCGTGGGCAGGGCCTGGACATTCTCTGGCGTGATACCCTCCGCTGTCCCACAGAAGATGAGTATGTGGGGATGGTGAAAGATAGTAGGTTGTCATCATTATCTAGAAACCGTTCTGAACTTTCCCAGAAACTGGTGGTCTTCTGAGGATTGCCGTCAAACTAATGATGGCATGCGCTACGACCAACACGAACGTGTAAGTCTCATACGTGAAGTCCCTAAAATTTCCCCAGCTGGATGACTTCTGTCCTAGCGACTACGTCCCTCTGACTGATCTCGTTGGGATTTATTACCAGATACGTGATGACTACATGAATCTTCAGAGCAATCAGGTTAGTCTCTGATCTGATTTCTTTGAGACGTGATGAGATGACCTTAATCTGCTATTCAGTACACGGACAACAAGGGCTTTGCAGAAGATTTATCCGAAGGAAAATTCTCCTTCCCCATTGTTCATGGCATCCTTGAACAGCCCGAAAACAGACAGATCATGAGTGGGTTTATAAATTGATGTTGCTGGATCCATCTTATTCGATTTCATTGCCAGATGTCCTGCAAAAGCGCCCCAAGACTCCTACGCTCAAACACTACACCATAAACTACCTCAGAGACACTACGAAGTCATTTGATTACACCCTGGCGGTGCTCAGAAAGTTAGAGCGACAGGCTAGGGGAGAAGTCGAGAGACTTGGTGGAAACCCAATGTTATCAGCCATTTTGGACAAGCTTCATGTTGATGCATGAAATGCTATGCCCTTGTTCTGTACTGTATCGTTATGGCTAAGTCGATACTCGCGCATAGATGGTATGTGCTTGCTACTGTCGTACTATGGTGTGGATCTGAAGACTCAGTGGCCTCGAATGCCCTTCCGTTCTAAAATGCATAGGAACGGGCCGCGGGGGATGACGGATGGCCAGGCATTGCCATCGTTTTGCCGTGATAAAATAAGCAGCTATAAGCAAAATAATTCGCCGTCCACAGTCGGGCGCCACATGGATGTAAGTATGTGTGTATCACATCGGATGGTTTCATTTACACTGGCTAAATTAATCTTCACAGTCTCTGCTCACGCGAGTACCGTGTGGCTGTTCTAACTATAACCTTCCAGCGTCCGATAGCACTGGCAACAATGTTGCTTCTCTCAGTCTGGAAAGATCGCACACCTCGTTCAATTGATACTTGGAAATTTGAACTCCTTTGTTCGGGAGCAACTTGCACGTGACAGAATGAGGATAAGACGACTGGGCGGACAACTCATAAGGGAGTATGTACACACTCGTGCGTGGTGAGTGCCATGTCAGATGAGGAATGGATCCAAGAATAACCGGCACTTTAGCGCCTACAAAATTGATGCAACAACGTGGTCTCCCGTAGGCAGACCCGGATGTACTTAGGAAGAAAGGTATTCCTTCTGTCTTATTAAGGTGACGACGAAACCCAGTGAGATGAAGCGATGACCCTTCTCTGCAGCTCGGGTGATCAACGATCTTCGTCAGCAGACAGACATTACAAAGATTGTCATGCCGGGGAGGGCACCGTGACGGAGCGCGTGTCACGAAGGCGACGGGGATGGCCTTTGGTAGGTCCGCTACAAAAACTGCTCGAACGATCGACCAATTAGACTGAACGAGTTGACACACTTAATTAAGCAAGTTCCCTTAGCTGGTGCGTTTGCAGAGAACTTGCAGACGGGATCCCTTCTCTTGGCACTAGCCGTGGAGTCGTCATACCCGTTTATATATAGTACGCCATTACTCAGAAGCTGGAACGGTGTAGTGGCTTAGTGTCGCTGCCTCAGGGCTTCGCTGACTACTCGAAGTACTTAAACTGGGTCATGGGGCCCCAGGTACCGGGTGCGTATGCCCCATCTCACCTTCTTCACCTCTGTTATCCATGTCCACACCTCTCCCCAGCGATAAAACTGCAACTCAGGCATTCAAAAGCGCCTTGCAGCCCATCAAAAGCACTGGAGATCCCGGAGACGCAAACCACCTAGATGCGCAAGATTTTCCAGAGGGTGGCTTTACAGCTTGGGGTACGGCGCTAGGAGCGTAAGTTCTTGCGGCTACCTGTTGCTTCACATTTAATCATCGGCCTTCAAGATTCTTGATCCAGTTCTGTGGCTTTGGGTGAAAATGACTCAACATTGGTGGACCCAGATTGCTAACCACATTCCAGATACACCAGCGCTTATGGCGTCTATGAGGGCAAGATTCAGTGGATTGTGTTACAGAAAGAGCTGATAATCACAATATACAGACTTCTATACTCAAACTTACTTGACCAATTCCACCCCATCTGCAATCGCGTCAGTGAGCTCCAGACTCGGGACCGTTTCTTTGCTGGCAGTGTTTCTGACCTCTATGGTGGTATAGCTGGATAGGAAGTGTCAACGCATTCTTGATATTGTCAGTTGGTCTCATATCGGGAAGGATGCTTGACCGAGGTGCATTGTATGTGTGCAAGAAGTCGGCATAAAGACGTCCCTGAACATATATTCAGCTATCATGTGATGAAAATCGGCTGTCTCCTCCAATGTTTCTTCCTTTTTATGCTGTCCCTAGCGAAGCCAAATGGATACTATCAAGCAAGTCTCGTTTCTGTCACTGTACGACTCAATTTGACAACATTGTTAGATCTTCCTTTCTCAAGGTATCGGTTCCGGGTTTGCAATAGGCCTTACGAATGTTCCTTCCCTCGCTGTGGTATCTCATCACTTCCAGCGACGCAGAGCTTTCATGATGGCATTTGTTGTTGCAGGGGCGTCAATGGGTGCAATATTGCATCCTATCATGCTCAACAACCTTATCAACGGAAGACTTGGCTTTGCAAATGGTGTCCGTGCAAGCGCGGGCTTGATTAGTGGTCTGCTGTTCATAGCATATCTTCTGATGCGCACAAGGCTTCCACCGCAACCGAAGGCCGTTAGCTACACTCGTGTTCTGCAAAACTCGCTGAGAGATCCTGCTTATGTATGTGCATGTCTGGGGTGAGTGTGTCAATACTTGATGACACGAGCCCTTCAAGTTTCTTCAACTCCTAGAATGGCTGCTTTCGAAGTCGGATTTTTTTCCGAATCCTTTTTCCTTCAATTAGACTCCAGTTTGCACGGTCTTGGTCAAACATTTTCGTTTTACTCAGTGCGTGTCCGAGAGACTAGTTACTTAACAAGGAATTGCTTATCCCCTCCAACAGCTTACAATCCTTAGTGCTGGCTCGTTCATCGGAAGACTTACTGCAGGTATTATCTCTGCCTATGTGGGCATCCCAAATACAATCATCGGCTACTCCTCAATATCCTCCATTGTACTATTTACGATGATCGGTTTGCGCTCGGTGGCCAGTGTGGCACTGATAGGTATTAGCTATGGTTATTTTGCTGGAGGCTGTACGTAGGACTCTTAACGCTCCTCCGATACTTACCAAGTGTCAACTCAGGCATAGCAATGATGGCGCCATTGATATCATATCTGACTCCTGAAATCTCAGATATTGGGTAATTACTTGACGAATGCCTTTGATTCAATCTGACAAGCTACTCAAGCGTTCGAATGGGAATAGCATTCGCAATATCTGGTAAGTCCGGAGGTCTAGATCCGGTGACGTCCTAACATGCGTTCACAGGCATTGGATCTCTCGTAGGCATGTATGCCATTGGCTTTTCTCCACTGTCACTTATTTTCAGCTTAGGTGCTCCGATTTGCGGGGCTGTCCTGACCTCGCATTATATCTGGTGGAAGCCTGCTGTCTTTGCTGGGGTGAATTGATTATGCATGCTGCCCTTTTTTTTGGCTGACAAGTTGTACCTAGAGCATCGCGACTGGCGGGAGTATCATGTTCGCATCCATGCAATTAATACTGAAGAGCCGTCAAAAGACTGCAAGCGTCTGCTCCAAGGAAGCTGGCGTTTGATCCGTAAGTAAACATCAAGAAGGTCATGCTCGTTACAAATGTCCACTATCGACGTTTGTGTATGATACACATGCTACACATCTACTTGAACCTAGAATCTAATTAAGATCGACATCTATCGTATGGGTAACTGGACCATTGTGTTCCATCCCTGTGGAGCTTGCAGTACTCTGGGATTGGGCAACGTCTTCTGTCCTTTCTACGAATCCGGAGTCCTCAGTACTTCCCTCCCTTTTCCTTGCCTTCCTCTCATCCATCCAAGGTCCTGCGCCGCTAAGGTCGCAGCCTCCTTCACCCTTGCAAGTGCAAGTCCCTCCCAAGATTACTGGCAAGTTCTCGGCATCTATGACTTCGAGTAGAACCTCTCTATAATTCGAACCGAGGATGTCAACCTTCTCCACAGTCTCTTTGGCCAACCAGGGCTTCATTATTCCCCAGATAAAGGTAAATGAGGATGGTGCGTTGATTATCAGAAGTTGACCCATTCTAAGATCATAAATAAATCAATGCGGCACTAACGACGCGTATAGGACGTACGTTTCGGGAAAATAATCTTGTGAGATCTGGAATGACGCTTGCGCCAGTGATTTCACTTGCCAAAACTGCGAGAGCCTGGGCTGACGTCAGCTCATTGGCCAATGGCAGCCGGAAAGCATCAATGACGAACCCAAAACCTTTGAGGTCCACAATCACAATCCCTTGGTGTATATTCTTCCCTGCAGCACGCGATGCAGCTGGAAGCACTTCACGGGTAAGGGAATCTGCGTTTACAACGATAGCCTCCCAGTGCTTCTGCGGTGTGATATGCTTGTACAACTCCGGAAGGTTCAGCCCACCAAAGAATTGGATGTTCACCGGTCGGCCTTTCTGGAGGCAGCTGATCTTTAATCACCGTAGGTCTAGTACGGCATCAAGCACACCTTGTCTGTCTGAGATGGCCGTCGCGATCACTATCATTAGGGGTTCTCAGCAAAGGCCTTTGTGGGGAACTTGCCTTGTGGAAATACATGGACCAGGACTTGAATACTTCTTCCCGCTCAGGGTACTGTATGATATGAGGAAGTTTCACTGTATACTACGATCGTGAAGATGGACATACATCGTAGGGATCTATCCGGCGATATAACGCATCTATCCCGTCGCCTCCAACGGTTTTCCGCCAGTGCTGACAATTCTGCAACATTTTCTTTGAATCATTCAGACTGAACTTGCGTGCGCGAAGAAACCGACTGTAATGCGTACGATTACCAGTGAATGGTGTTAGTTCAAGTGGTGCCATACATCCTCGAGAGCGGGAAATAGAATTTCGAAAGGGCTTACAGTAGGGTTGCGTCATCCGTCCCAACTGAATCTCCTTCGTGAAGGATCTCCTCATCGAACACTTGTTTGCGGAATACTTCCAGCGTCTCCTTCTCTTGTGGAGTGAGCGATGCCACTGTCATTATAGGACCAGAGTATGCCAAGAACGAGGTAGAGACAAGTGCTAGAGAAGTTCGTTCCCGTCGTCCTCAAGTCGTCACTGACACAGCAACCGAATCCAGAGTCTCAGGCTGTTGATGAAACTCACGATGGGGCTTGGTTCAATCTGAACTTCGTGCATGCATGGTGGATTCTCACGTGGGCAATGTACATATGTATCGTTCTGCACCCGCGACTTCCGCGCCATGAAGTCCGACTCCGCAGATGCGGCTGGCACTCCAGGTCGATTCCCCTAGAGACCCACGAATTGGACGTTCCATGGCCGTGTAACGGATTCTTAGCGCTCAGCGCTCAACAGGTAAGTTACGTACATACTATGTATAGCATCCTCACGTCCTCCTGCAACCAGACGAGCGCCCACTTGTCCTTTAGCTTTAACCTCCATCCAGCAAGCTTTTCATCGCATCGAACCTGATTGAACCATTTCCCACTCCATCTCAAGTAGCTCTTGCGCTTCGAAATAATATTGTCAATGAGTCAAGATCAGTGTCAGTATTTCTATATTTCATCCATTCTCTCGCTTTCTGACCTCATTCACAGTTCCTAGTGATCCTCTATCATCCGAAGGAACTTTGCAGAGGCTGTTCCAGGTCGCTATCAAGGGTGCTGAGTATGACTCCCGTGAACGACAGCCCCATCCGAAATGTTTGGACGGGACCCGAGTGGTCCTTCTCAACTATATCCACAGATTATTAGACGACCGAGAAAAGAGTCGACTCATTTGGCTGCATGGCACGGCGGGCGTCGGGAAGTCTGCTGTTGCGTTCACAGTAGCTGAAAGGATGAGAGGTCTGAAAATGACAGAGGAGACGACAGTAGAAAAGCGACTTGCGGGGACATTCTTTTTCTCGCGCAAGAACACGAAACGCTGCACGACTGGTTATTTCTTTGCGACACTTGCCTGCCAACTTGCCACCAATTTTCCCAGTGTCCGGAAGGACGTGAATAGAGTTATCCGCGAAAATCCCGCCCTTTTAGACCCCGACAAGTCTCTTCGCGACCAAATGGAGGCGCTCTTTCTCCAACCTCTCCGGAAGCTTCGATTCAGACTACGCGAATGTCCGCCTCTAGTGTTTGTTGTTGATGCCCTTGATGAATGCACATCCGAAACCGAGCTGGCTGATCTCATCTCCCTGCTTGGCCACGCTCTTCGTGAACCTGATCTACCCGTGACTCACATTCTGCTCACGAGTCGCTCGGAAGAGCATATCCGTGAAGCCATCGAGGAAGAAGACGTGCGCGCGCTGGTGTGGGAGATACCGGTGAAAACTTCTGGGGAGGGTGGGGCTACCATAATCTCCTTAGACGGTGTAGATGTTGACAATGACATCTGCATTTTCCTGGAGCATTCCTTCGCAAAGCTACGACGTCGTTATTCCAATTTCCCGCAGCCAAGGAAGGGTGAACTTATGCGGCTGGCAAGCCGAGCGGGCAGACGTTTCATCGTGGCGTCTACGATGATGAAGTTCATCGATGATGGATATAATGATCCTCGCGATCGTCTTCAGCTCATGCTCGAGCTAACGAGTGAACTGCTACCAGGAACAGAGGTGTACAAGCTATACGACCGTATCCTTGCCACGTGTACCGATCCCACACGAGCATACCTGCACTTGTCTGTTGTCGCTGCACTTGCGGACCCTCTGCCGATGTCAGAAATCTCGAAGCTCCTTGGCCCTGGCGAAGGCAGGGACGTCGAGAAGGCGTTGGTGCAGCTACGCTCTGTCATGGATATCCCTTCCGATAACAGCCTCCCTGTGAATATCTATCACTCGTCTGTTCGTGACTATATTTCCAATCCCTCAAACTGTAGCCTCCCTCAAGCACCATACATTATACGACCCCACTCTCTACTCGCTCATTCCTCTCTTCGCTTGATGATGCACGATATTCCAGAAAGCACGGCTCTCCTGGATGCACTCTCAAATTTGAGGAGACAGAGCAAATTTATGCTACCCCACGACCCCCAGTTCTTAAGACACTCATTAGCTTTCATCATCCAGCCACCGGAGCCACTGCAAGTTCTTATTTGTCTGCTATGGCTTCGGGGAGATCGTGATTCAGATTTACACTTCTGGCTAGAGACCCTTGACGGGCGTGCCTGGCTGGAGACCCAAAGTGGGGGGGACTGGCTGCAGTTCTCGGGCCGGAGAGACTGGCTGGTGACCCGGAGAGGGCAAGAGTGGATAGAGACCCGGAGAGGGCAAGAGTGGATGGAGACCCTGGGCGGGCGAGAGCTGCTAGAGACCGAGAGTGGGCACACGTGGCTAGAGACCGAGAGCGGGCAAGAGTGGTTGAAGGGCAAGAATGAGCCAAAGTGGCTGCAGACCCTGACTAGGAAGGACTGGCTACTGACAGAGAGTGGGAGGAACTGCCCGCAGACCCTGGGTAGGCAGGACTGGCTGCTGACAGAGAGTGGGAGGAACTTGCTGACAGAGAGTGGGATGAACTGGCTGCAGACAGAGAGTGGGAGGGACTGGCTGCAGACAGAGAGTGGGAGGGACTGGCTGCTGACCCTGGCCGGGCAGGACTGGCTGCTGACTGAGAGTGGGAGGAACTGGCTGCAGAGCTTGGCCGGGCAGGACTGGCTGCTGACTGAGAGTGGGAGGAACTGGCTGCAGAGCTTGGCCGGGCAGGACTGGCTGCAGAGCTTGGCCGGGCAGGACTGGCTGCTGACAGAGAGTGGGAGGAACTGGCTGCAGACCCTGGCCGGGCAGGACTGGCTGCTGACAGAGAGTGGGAGGAACTGGCTGCAGAGCTTGGCCAGGTGGGACTGGCTGCTGACAGAGAGCGGGAGGAATTGGCTGCTGACAGAGAGCGGGAGGAACTGGCTGCAGACCCCGGCTGCGTGGGACTGGCTGCAGACCCTGACTGGGCAGGTCTGGCTACTGACAGAGAATGGGAGGAACTGGCTGCAGACCTTGGCCAGGCAGGACTGGCTGCTGACAGGGAGTGGAAGGAACTGGCTGCAGAGCTTGGCCGGGCAGGACTGGCTGCTGACAGAGAGCGGGAGGAACTGGCTGCAGACAGAGAGTGGGAGGAACTGGCTGCAGACCCCGGCTGCGTGGGACTGGCTGCTGACAGAGAGCGGGAGGAACTGGCTGCAGACCCCGGCTGTGTGGGACTGGCTGCAGACCCTGGCTGGGCAGGACTGGCTGCTGAAAGAGAGCATGAGGAACTGGCAGCAGACCCGGGCTGCGCACGGGAGGAACTGGCTGCAGACCCCGGCCGGGTGGGACTGGCTGCAGACCTTGGGCGGACAAGACTGGCTGCAGACCCAAGCCGGGCAAAACTGGCTGCAGAGACCGAGCGGACGAAGCTGGCTGCAGACCCAGAGCGGGCAAGACTGGCTACAGACACCCCACGGCCAAGCATGGCAGTCGACTCCTACGGTGCATGTGTCTGTCTGGATGACAATGGAAGAATTCTCGAGCACGATGGAAACAATCAACGAGTATATAATCCTCCCAGAATTGCCATCAGTGCCACTGGCTCTGCAAGCAATTCAGCAGTTCAGGAGCTTGCCAGATTTCTTGATATTTCCAGCATTTGTGGCATTAAGGCAGCAGGACCAGTCTACATCTGCATCACCACAATGTTGTTTTACGCCAGACATGGAGATCATCCATGCGATTAAGGCCTTTGCAAGTTTCGCGGATGAAGCAGGAGAACGAAGTCGAACAGCTTCTAATGCTCTTAAGTATGCATGTCAATATTGGGCCTTCCATCTCTCGCGCGCTCCGGATTTATGGGACGACAAGCTCAATCGAATGTTTAAATCTTTCTGGAACCGTCATCTCCTCTCCTGGCTCGAAAGGCAGTGGTGTTTGAAGGGTCTTCGGTCTTGCCTCGCTATTTTATCCGAAGGGGAGAAACTTGCAAAGGTGTGTATGCTTCTCGTGACTTTCATCCCTCCAAACCTAACATGTGCATGTAGGAACATGTTGTTCAAGTTCCAGGATCATCTCAGTGACGAATCTGAAGTTAGATGTCGTGATATCTTGTTATGGCACGTTGCTGCCATCTCCCCCACCTGTTTACAGCGCAATTGTCAAGTAACCAGCAGACCTACGCTTCCAGGACATTGGAAAAGTGACATAAAACACGCACTACATTGTCATCTCCGTGAGGCGCGCGCACTCCACACGAACAGGTTCTAGACTCGTTGCTTTGCTCGCATAGCTTTCCAGATTGACTCGATGCAGATCATATGAGCCACCTTTGCTGCCTCAGCAGACACTGCCAGAATGATACGGTCGCCGCTCAAAGATGGCGCTTATAGCAAAATTACTTCACAGGAGACGACATGTCTAGAACAGTTATTCATATCCCAAATCACAGATATGTTGCTACACGTATTACAAGGAATTACTTATGGAGCCGCAAGAGCCCACCTGTGCGTATATGGATCTCGCGAAACCCGGGAGTACGGTTATCCAAAACTCGGAAGGATGGAATGCAATGATGCGGCACAATGGTACGTTGACGTTCGTCACTATTGCTGTATGTCCGTAGTTAGTCCCCTCGAGGGATATCCGAAAACCAGCGATGAGCTTTTAAACTGCCTGATGAGGTCTCTGATGGCTCTGCACCGAGCCAATAAGTTTTCAAGCAACGGCACAAACGTGCACGGTGAAAGACTGGAATTAACTGTGGCTACCTGGAATAACCACGATGGCATTCCACCCAAACAAATTGAGGCTCTACTCTAACCGGTAGTATTCACGAGGGTAAGACGACGGTCAATCACCATATCCATGTAGAGTACTCGGATCTGTACTCATGCGTCGTTCCAGATAGTACCTCGAGCAAGGATGGAGGTCTTTCATTGCCGAAAAACTGTAAGCCACAGATGTTTGGCACTAACACAATCGTCGCGTTTCTGTAATTTATATTTACCCATATTCAGCGTCACCACGAAGGGCCACGAAGCTTGCGACGGGGCTGGCCAGCGGTAGGTCCGCTGGAAAAACTGCAATGATCGACCAGTTCTGAATGAGTTGGTGTACCATACGTAATAGCGGTATGTGAAAGTAACCTAGTGCCACCTCAACGGAGTTGGTACTTACGGTGACTCGCAGTTGAACATGATATCAGCGCTGGCTCCCTATGAGACTTTTAAACGCGATTCGCTTCAAAGATAAGTACACGAGGCTCTGTGTCCCGTCAGCGATCCCAGACTGCACATTCTTTGATATCTTCGCTGATTGTTACCTATAGCACACATAGGATATGGCATTGCTGGGAGCATGTCAAATTGGAGACCTGCTGGTGGTTGTGCTGGCGTTGCAAAATCAAATGTCGTTTAGGAAGAATTTCCATTTTTCTCGCGCGCTGCTAGGATGATTTTCGCAGTGACAGCTGTAAGCAAGTTCAATCGGCGGAGTTGCAGTGCGTTTGCGAGAAACTCGCAGACTGGATACGCATCTCCTGGCACTATGTAGCGCCCGTTTAAGTATAGTACGCCGTAACTCGGAAGTAACAACGATGATAATTTTGCTGCATGAAGAGTCAAGACTTCACTGGTTATTCGACCACTTAAAGTCCATCATGGGGCCACTTGTATCTGCAAATGCCCCATTCTTCGTTTTGCATGTCCACATCCACACCTCCCCCCAGTGATGAAACTGCAACGCAGGTTTCCGAAAGCGCCTTGCCACCTGTCAAAAGCACCGGAAACCTCGGGGATGCCAACCACTCAGACGCGCAAGATTTTCCCGAGGGTGGTTTTGGAGCCTGGGGCACAGCGCTAGGGGCGTAAGTGTTTTTGGCTACCTGTTGCTGCATACATCATCAACCACCTTCAAGTTTCTTGATCCAATTCTGCGGCTTTGGGTAAAGTTGACTCGGCATTTGTGGGACAAGATCACCACTACTAACCATGATCAAGATATACCAGCGCTTTTGGCGTCTTTCAGGGCAAGATTCAGTGGGCTGTCTTACAGAACGAACTGATCATTACAATATACAGACTTTTATACTCGAACTTACTTGACCAATTCCACACCATCTGAAATTGCGTCAGTGAGCTCCAGAATCGAGCCGTTTTTTTGTTGGCAGTGTTTCTAAACTCTGTGGCGGTATAGCTGGATAGGAAGTGTCAATGCGTTCTTGATATTGTCAGCTGGTCTCGTATCAGGAAGGTTGCTTGACCGGGGTGCATTGTACGTGTGCAAGAAGTACGCGTAAAGACGTCCCTGATCATACATTCAGCTATCCTTTGATGAAAATCGGCTGTCTTCTCCAGTGCTTCTTCCTCTTTATGCTGTCCCTAGCGAAGCCAAATGGATATTATCAAGTAAGTAATCTGCCTTTTTCACTGCGGGACTCGATTGACAGCATCGCTAGATCTTCCTTTCTCAAGGTATCGGTTCTGGGGTTGCAATAGGCATTACGAATGTTCCCTCCATCGCTGTGGTATCTCATCACTTCCAACGACGCAGAGCTTTTACGATGGGACTCGTCGTTGCGGGGGCGTCGTTGGGCTCAATATTGCACCCTATCATGCTTAACCACCTTATCAACGAAAGGCTTGGTTTTGCAAGTGGGGTCCGTGCAAGTGCGGGCTTGATTAGCGGTCTGCTTTTCATAGCTTGTCTCCTGATGCGAACAAGGCTTCCACCGCAACTACAGGCCGTTAGCTACACTCATGTTCTGCAAAACTCATTGAGGGACCCTGCATATGTCTGTGCGTGTCTAGGGTGAGTGAGCCGATACTTGATCACATGAGCCCTCAAGCTGCTTCCGCCGCCTAGGATGGCCGGTTTAGAAGTCGGATTTTTTTTCGAAGCTTTTTATCTCCAATTAGACTCCAGATTGCACGGTCTAAGCCAAAGATTTTCGTTTTATTCAGTGCGTGTCCAAGAGACTGGTTAACAAGGAATTTCTTATCAGCTTTCACAGCTCACAATCCTTCACACCGGTTCTTTCGTCGGCAGACTTACTGCAGGTGTTGTCTCTGCCTACGTGGGCGTCCCAAATACAGTCATCGGCTCCTCATTAATATCCTCCGCCATAATATTTGCAACGATTGGGTTACGCTCAATGGCGAGTGTGACATTGATAGGTGTTAGCTATGGTTATTTTGCTGGAGTCTGTGCGTGTAGCTTATCTCGCTTCTCGGATGCTAACTAAATGTCAACTGCAGACGTAGGAATGATGGCCCCAGTGGTATCGTATCTGACTCCTGAAGTCTCAGATATTGGGTAATTACTTGACCTATGCGTCTAATCAACTCTGACAATCTCCTCGAGCGTTCGCATTGGAATATCGTTTGCAGTAGCTGGTAAGTCCGTGTTTCTGGATTCAGCGACGTCCTCATGTTTGTTCGCAGCCATTGGATCGCTCGTAGGCACGTGTGCCATTTGCTTTTCTCGACCATCGCTCACGTTTAGACTAGGTGCACCAATTTGCGGGGCTTTCCTGACCTCGCATTATATCTGGTGGAGGGCTGCTGTCTTTGCTGGGGTGAGTGGATCATGTCAAGCTGCGCTTTCGTTTTTCGGATAACACGCTGTGTCTAGAGTGTTTCCACTGGCGGGGGCATCATGTTCGCATCCATGCAATTAATACTGAAGAACCGTCAAAAGACTGCAAGCATCTCTGGTGTTTGATCCGTGTTAGCTCAGTAAACAAGTAAAAATCAAGAAGGTCATGCACGTTGCAAATACCCCCCTATCGAGTCCGTGTATGATACACATGCATACACCTACACAGTTTGCCGAGAACGAGGTAGAGACAAGTGCCATATAGACAGTACCGGTAGAGAAGTTCATGCTTGGCTCAATCTGTACTTCAAGGTGGATTCTCACGTGGGCGATGTATGTATCGTTCTGCACCCGCAACTTGCACCTCCCGCACCTGTCCGACTCCGACTCCGCAGATGGGCCACCCTCGGTTCCCCTAAAGACCCATGGGATTCTTAATGCTTAACAAGTAGGTCACGCACTACGTACCGCATCCTCATGTCCTCCTGCAACCAGACGAGGGCCCATCCGTCCTTTAACCATCCAGCAAGCTTTTTCATCGCACCGAAACCAATTGACTCATTTACCACACTATTTCGTGCGCTTTGGAACAACCCTTGCGAATGAGTCAAGATCAGTGTCAGTATTTCCATATTTTATCCCCTCTCTCGTTTTGGGACCTTATTCACAGTTCCTGGTGATCCTGTATCATCCGAAGAAACTTTGCTGTTCCAGGTTGCTGTCAAGGGTGCTGAGCTTGGAGAATGTGGCATAATATTCACCACTGTTGCTGTCGTAGTGAGTCTCAGGGGTTCCGATATCTCCGAAAATCAGCGATGAGCGTTTCGAAGAATGTGCTGCCTGATACAGTGATGAGGCCTCCAATACTTGGTAAATTTCATTGACGTCCAAGAGTGAGAACGTGCTGAGCTAATAACTAGGGAGGCTTTCAAGTTTAGGTGCTGAAAAACTGAACTGTGACCACCTGCAAGGACCCTACCCCGAACAAAGTACCCAAAAAATGCGTTCTGCCTTGGCAGATGGAGGCATTTATTCATTCTCAAATAACTGTAACCCAGATATTTGGCACCGATATAATAATCGCGTTCCTGTAATCTACACGAACCTAAAAGTAAACATAGCCCAATATCAATAAATTTACCTAACCCACCCGTGGGCCAGTGACGTCAAGAAAGTTGTGAGGTTTCTGAGAACCAGTTCTTACCTGTATCTGCCGAGATAAAGGCCTATTAGAGACAGGCTAGGTATTCCAGCGTCGTCTAGATTGGTGAAATCACACCCTCTCACTGCTACATAGTCCATGGCAGCGATGCGTTTAACGTTAGAGGTAGTAGTCCTTGGACGTCTCGCTTAATCTGTATCTAATTGGTGTCCTGCTGTGGTCAATGGTCATACTTATAACGTCTTCAACATTACAAGCCTACATACATATAACGTACAACATACAACTTTGCACTGATAGAAAGCTGGTAACCTGATCACATCCTTAGCATGCGAGGCTATGTACGCTAACATGCTCTCCCAATTTACAAGACACGGTTCTTCCATCCCTGGTGCTCATGGTAACAAGCTTCTGTGATAGTCTGGGGAGCAGAGGAACACTGGAACCCGACCCTGATCGAAGCCTCCTTGGTGAGTCGCCCTTGCGCGTACAAGCAGGAGCTGTTCTCGGCTGCGGTGCCCAAGACCGCGCCTTTGACCCAACCTTTGCCCTGGGTGTGGCAAATCTCCTGCACCCTGCTAGCCACAGTAACGTAATAGACGCGAATCTGTTGATATTATGGCGAGGTGAGAATGAGATTATTGGGCACGGAACGGCTGGCCTCGAAGGCTCGTACCTCTCGCAAGTCCTTGCACGCCACCGCAGCGATGGGCGTGTTGATGCGAGCAGCGGGCATGCCGTTAGTGGTCAGTTTGACGAGGGTGTGGACCGTGGTCTTTGGGTCATTCAACGACATTTCAAAGATCTGGTAGTCTTTGTTCTGGAAGTAGATGCGGAATTTCCCTTCCTCGTTCTGCACGGCGGCCATGGCGGTCCCGACGAAGTTGATTGGCAGAAGGTCTGAGGCGTTGGACGCTGACTCGCACATGGCTGCTGATTCGGACATGATTGCTATAAGCTATGAAAATGAATGAATGAACCGTGGATGCGCTGCTGACTGGGACTCACTTTTGTAGAAGGTCGTTGATGCGATGGCTGTTAAGCTTGCAATGACTCTTGCTTTTAAACCTCCAGGCAGCCCCTGTCTGGAGCACATGAATGGTTCTCTGCTCTGAAGAAAATGAAATAAGTGGAGTCGCCGCAGTGCCTGCGCACAGAACTAACCAGGCCCAAGATGCGGCCATCGTGCGCCCTCCGTGCGCACCCAGGCCTGCATATAATCCAGGGAACCAAGTCTACATAGTCAGATGATAGTCAGTCAGTTCGTTCACGGGGCAATGCGTGACACACACTCTGGGCCAGAAGTGCTTCAAATTGCAATGAAAGCAGGTCTCGTGTCCATGACAAAGCGAATAGTCTTAATTCAGCAACTCGAGGCCCATTCCGCATTTCAACTGTCAAATCAGGGGTAATGACAATTGTCGCAATAAGCCGCCTCACATGAACGTGTACTACTGCGAACAGATCGTCTGAGTATACGCCGTCGCTTGGCGAAGCCAGAAGGAACTACAGGGCCAGGACGAGGCTGAGCCTGGGGCCCTGGACCCCCTATCGTTCTGGAAGGCGTTGACGTCGCGCTCTCGGTCCTTTTCAATACGCTTGAATATATATTTTTCGCCACCAGAGAAACGGGGCTCGGAGTTTACTGCGGAAAATGCAGATGTTGACTCTGCAACTAAGTGTCTGGACGAGAGCAGCAAGAAGGCAGTATTTTGATTGGTCACTAGAGCGTCCACGCCAATATGCTGGACACGGCGGTTGGAAGTTGAGCCGCAGCCGTGAGCGTGCAGACTCGTTCGCCACCTGCCTTGTTGCGTCCTCAATCTCTGGACCGGCGAGGGCTCTCCTTCTCTGGTCGTCTCCATCGATGTGGAACATACGTACTAGACCAAAAGCAGGATTATTGATGAGACCATAATCTTCGCCAAGATTGAATTCGTCATCGGAACGATTGTCAGGATCATCTTCCACCAAGAATTCTTCTTCTCAACCACGGGGCAGTAGTGCCCTGTAGGTGTCATTTTCATTGTCTGAGCTTAACAACGAGAACCCGCGGTCGCCTTCCTCCATCGAATCATCATCGTCATGCGCGAGTAGGTGAGGCTCGAACCTACATGCGCATCCAGATGTGATTCGAACTCTCTGTGCTCACCCAAATGAGGTCATCGAGCCTATGCTCTTGATCATTAAGTTAGCAATGTTGTTCGGAGTCAGAGAGTAACTCGCCTGGTTCAGGCGTGCGAGGGAGATGTAGCCAACCGGTGGGTAATAGTCAACTTTATGCTGCCTGCTTCTGCCAGGTTCTTTTCGCTCGCAAGAGTTTCAACCGCTTCAGCGAGAGCTGCATTCTCACCTCACGCGATCTTTTAACATCTCGCACGCTCGCAACAACGAGCTACAACCGAGTCATCCAGGTCAGGGGCAACGTTACTGCGGCCAGTCTGTCGTACCCGCATGATCTTCATGAGACAAGGTGGAGCCATGGGAGCAGACTGTCTGAGTAGTAGTTTCGAACTGCTGCCTAATCAAGTCTTGGTATTTAGCATAGTGGAATGCAAGTGAACTGGAGACACGGCCAACGATGTACGTAAGTGAAATTTCCTTTCCTGTCAAAACTTGCACGGTTGGTGAGACTTGAGTCCATTCCCTCTCGAGAACGCTCAGTATCACCAACTGGTCAATCAGTCCGACGCGTGGCTCCATTTTAATTAGTGCCCACCGAGATCAAACGAAAGCGAAACCTACTACCTGCTCTGAATTCCCCTTATCATAATGTCGAAATTCGCGCCTCACCGTCGGTCAAATAACAATCCAAGGGCGACCTCTTCGACCATTTGTCAAAAGTGTCTTGGTACAGGTGTGTGCTCCTTTGGTCTCTCTGCACAAGAACAGTTTGGATCGAACGAGTTTATGCAGGACACTTCATATTCGAATGCAAGTCCACGCGTCCATACGTATCCCGTCCCTCGCGGACAGAAATGCTGGAAAATCCCAAGTTACTTTCGAAGTTGAAGGCAGACGGAAAGCCTTCAGTCGAAGTGCCGGAGGAATTTAGGATAAAGTACGTCGACTGGCGACCATGAATAGTTGGAATTTGACTGACGCACTGTTCTGACAGGAGTGGAACGGCAAACCGAATTTTAGAGTCAAAGGAGCAGGAGCGAAAGGCACTCGAAGGATCCAAAGGGAAAGCCAAAGAGGAAGACCAGAGAACTCGAAAGAAAGCCAGAAGGTTGTTTGGAATTCATTTTTTGTGTCGGCGTGGGCTGATCATTCATTATAAACAGATCTTCAAGATCCTCTTCCTCAGATAGTTCAGACTCGGAGTCAGATTCAGGGTCTAGTTCATCTGACAGCTCTGAGTCAGGTTCAGATTCGAACGCCTCGCGTTCAGTTTCCAGAGAGCGGAGCAGGAAGCGACCAAAGCGGCGTGATTCTTCAATTCGCTCGCAGTCATCATCTCGCAGTAGATGATCCAGAGACTGAAAATGAACATCCAGTGTGTTCAGAACACAACTCGTCTGTGATCTTACTCGGAGTCTGTATTTATGTAGGAGTAAAATGTATGTAATGAAACATGGGTGGTCAATCGCAACTCGCAAGACCAGCGACCCTCGTGTTCATCAACAATGCAACTATGAGACTGAAATGTGCACAAGATCAGCAGGTGTAGGCAAGTATGCATAGAATACCCACCCGTAGAGCCCCAGAACCTCTGCAAAGATTAAGATGAGAATCATGGCCACAAATACTCTTTGCTCGTGAACGTAGGCCCGGACGCACTGCAACCAGTAGTAAGGTTCACGCATGAATTCAGAGTGACCCAAAATGCATACCGAATCGCCGACGTGGCCAATAGCATAACCCGCAGCAATACCAGTCATACCACAAGAAACGCCTGCTCCCAAATGAATGAAACCTGCGGCTAGTGTATAGTCTTTCGTTGGGGATACTGCAAACCAGTCAATCATACCACGTCGCACTAGAATAAACACTTACGATTTCCTGCGATGAGAACCGATACTACTAGCCCATACACAGCAATAATTCCTGCCATAACCACAGGCACGAGCGACTATATTCTGCAGCATGAAAGAGAAGGAGCCTGTCAGAGGGAAACACTCGCCTTCATGATCAGTTCAGGCTTGAACGTCCCTAGGCCTGCAATACCGATTCCAGCCTTTGCCGTTCCGAACGCAGCACCAACCGCTGTATTGGAGTGAATCAGACAACATTGAATTTGAGAGCTCAGAGCCACAGCGTACTGCTGAATATCATCTGTGGAGGACTGTTATGATGAATTGTACGCAGCACTCTGACTACGATAACTTACAGCTGAGGCAACGCCTGCAAAGCCGAAAAATGGCGCATATGGTGGGCAAAGTTCTGCTGGCATTTCAAGGAATGTCGCTAGATGGTCGCTGGATGGGCGAAAAAGAATATGTGCAAAACCAAGTGGATGTGACCAAGGGTTAGCTTGTGCAGGCGAAACTTGAGGAGTCCAAGTCACGTGACCGCCCATCGTGTCTAAACGACGAGCTCTACTACGTACTGTGTTCGAATTCTAAGTGTGTTCATTACCGTGGCACTATTATAAAATATATATGATGCCTATTGCATGTATGCAATGATATGAGCGCAAACCAAGCCACTGTACGAAACCAAAAGTAGGGTGCAGACTACTTCTTTTTCACAGACTTGATACGAATTTGTTCATCGCCGATGAAAACACCCTGTCCATGCATCAGTTTCTGAATTTTCCTGTACTGATACTTGAAGATATGCTCACCTTGCCTTTGTATGGTTCGGGCGGACGCCACTTCCGTATTCTTGCAGCAAAAAGACCAAGCAAGTGCTTGTCCGTGCAGAACAGTACGATTTTCGTCGGAGAAGGCACATCTGCCTTGATGTGGGCAGGAATCGGCACGTAGATGTTATGGGAATGTCCTAGCTTCATATTGAGCCTCTGGCCATTGCCACCATTTGTCGTTCCTCTCGGGTCGTCCTCCATAACAGCCCTGTATCCGACACCCACAAGATGTATGGGGACGGTGAAACCCTCCGTCATTCCGACGACCGCGTTATTTATGAGCGTCCGTGTAAGGCCCCACATTGACCGCTGCTTCTTCACCTCTGCATCCTCTACGGCAATTGTCAGCACATTCTCTTGCGGAAACTGCGAGCTTCATGTACGACTCCAGTGGGACGGACGTTGAGCCAAGAGGTCCTTTGACTTCGAGCGAAGTTGGAGATTGAGTGACGGTGACATTAGGTGGAATTGGGAATGGGAGTTTTTCCAATGTGAGAAATGTGCACGCATGCACGAGCAGAGGAGCTGAAATGTCGTAGAGTCTTGCTCAGCGTCGCCCGTGGTATCATAACTTCCAGTTGTCACTTGGTTTTCTCGCAGGTCGTCTTTGCCGTTTTTGCGAACGCCGCCGCGGAGCCTATAATCAACTTACTCACATGCCTTATTTGGTAACACTTGGCCATGAACCATTTTCTGCATACCGAGTTCCCAAGCTCTACTGGTCCTATCGAGGCAACATGCGTGGCAACTTAACCCACACCACAGAATATGACAGCCTGTATCATACGTAGCGAGATAAGAGCTCGGTTTATCCCAGGGGTTCATGTCTTCTTATCTCCAATTGCAGCATTAATATCAATCAGTTGGACTGGTGTGTCCTCTTTACCCCTCTATATATTTGGCAGAATGAGCTCCAACCCCACATTTAAGACTTCCTTCCCCTACAAATCTCGCCAAAATGGCTGAGCTTAAAGAGGTCGACCCTGTTACTGAGTCCGCCAGTGTTAGCCAGGATGACGTCCCCTCTCTTCACCAAAAAGATAATGTCCTGCTCCGAAAGCTTGGCTACAAGAGCGAATTCAAGCGCGAATTTTCGGTAACGCGGTTTATGCTCCTGCTTGGGCAGACCTGACTTTGTGCCCCAGCTCCTAGAGACGATTTCATTCTCGATGGCAATCATGGCTGTATCATGTGGAACCACGACTGGTTATTCCTATCCTTTACTTTCAGGTCAGTGAGACTCGGAGGCATGTATGAAAATGCTCACTTACTATTTCTTCAGGCGGCCATTTTGCCATGGTGTGGGGATGGTTCATACCATGCATATTCGTCATGTGTGTTGCTGCTTCGATGGCAGAGCTGGCTTCTTCTATGCCGTGAGTCCTTCTGATCGACGGTAAATTATTTTTCTATGTAATAAACTTCCTCCTACGGTAGGACAAGCGCTGGTTTGTACTATTTTTCAGCGAAAATGGCATCGAAGGAACGCTCTGCTCTTGCGTCTTGGATAACCGGATGGAGTAATATTACAGGGCAAGTGACCTTGATTTGCTCTATAAACTTCAGTTGGTTCGTGTGGGCTGTCATTTCTATGAACGATGGATTTATTTATGCCCTGTAGCACGGAACTCATTACCACAGCAATAGCAATGGGCACGGATGGCGCAGTGGTCTTGGGATCGGGTGCAACATTTGGCATACTGATGGTCTCGTAACTCATCCATCATTTTGCTCCATTGCTAACGAAGCATCAAAATCAGGCCATCCACCTCACACAAGCGATTTTCTGCTCGGCCGGAACTCGTATTCTGGCCCGCATGACTGTTGTGACTTTGGTACTCATTCGTGAGTCGCAAGAGCACGCGTTCTTGGTTTGGGCTCACAATATATGCAGTGACTACAACGATTGGGGCGATTGTCTCCTTGCTCGTCTGCTCCGGCGATCAGAGAGCCTCATCGAAGGATGCGTGGACAAAATTTGAGAATAATACTGGATGGAGCAACAGTAAGTGTGTTATGTCTGATGCGTTTCGGTGCCTGACTATGTTCAGATGTCTGGGCTTTCATTCTCGCTTTTACATCACCGATGTGGTCATTGACAGGTTGTGAGTAGCGCGGCAGAGCGGACATATAATTTGGTACACCCATACCTAACCCTGTTTCTCTAGATGACTCTGCCGCGCATATCGCTGAGGAAACCGCAGGAGCTGCACGCGCAGCACCAATTGCGATTTTGGTTGGGGTTGCCGGAACTGAGATACTGGGCTGGCTTTATTACATCGCCGCTTCTTATGCTACCACCTCGGTTCCAGACATCCTGCAGACGAAATTAGCGCTCCCTCTTGGTCAAGTATTTTTGAATGTCCTGGGGAAGAAAGGTGCTTTGACCCTCTGGTGCTCCATCACAGTGTTGCAGGAAAGTGCGTTTACTAAAAATGATGAAGTTTAAATATCTGATTTCCTGACAGTACCTTTGTGGATGCTCACAAGCTGTTGATGCTTCACGCGTCATTTTCGCGTTTTCTCGGGACAACGCTCTTCCCGGCTCGCGGTGGTGGAAGCGCATCAACTACACAACGCAAACTCCAGTGAATGCTGTATGGTTTGCGATGGTGCTCTCTGCCATTTGCGGGACACTAGTGTTTTCCACAGCAGCGTTCAACTCCTTGGCCTCGTACGTCTAGTGAGCTTCTCAAGTCACTAATACTGACTCTGTTGCTCTGAAGGGCGTCTGTCATAGGTTTATATATCTCATACGCGACGCCCATATATTGTCGTATTACCTGGGGGAAGGACAAACTACAACCTGGTCCATTCAATCTCGGTTGGTGGTCTTTTCCGATCGGCTGGACAGGTGTTGTCTGGGTGGCATTCATGGTCGTCATGCTACTCTTTCCATACACACAGATAGCCAACGTGCAAACCATGAGTGAGTGCTATCATATATAGTCAGCCCTTGACTCATCGCAACGTGCAGATTACTCAGTAGTGATTGTCATGGCCGTCTTCATATTTGCCGCAGGATCTTGGATATTCTCCGCGAAACATTGGTTCACGGGACCCATCCCGAACATCGACGCGCAGTCTGACTCCTCATCGTATTCGGAGAAGCCAGATAACACAGAGCAAAATAGTCTGGATATATAGAATATGTATTTGATAGACTTGGCCACAAGCTTCCTTAGCCGCATCTCTACAACTTTATTATCTATGATAACGATGCTCCAACGAAGTTCGGGGCGACGCAAACACCGTGTTTTGTACGAATCCTGTGAACTGACTTGGTTACCGGGTTGATCCACGCTGCCTCCTTCGTATCTAGTGTGGTGAACCCTGAGAAACCCGATGTATTAAAATTCGAGATTCTGGAGAAAAACAGTCTTTGTACCTGGCTGAATTGTCTCGAATATTTTCTTCTTGGGGTTCATTTGAGACAGTGGCTGAGCATCTGAACAAAACAATCTGAGCGCAGAGTGGAGACCTAGTGAAAAGTCGCACTTTCGTACTCGGGGCCCTCAAAGTAGACCCGTTCGCCTGGCTTGGAGCCTGGTGGAGGTTGGATTAGCTCGACGCCGCCGTCCTTCCCTTCCTTTGATGATGCCTGGCCGATGTCAGATAGAGATGCACCATTAGGCAATAAAATAAACCTACAGCTAAAACCATCGCAAAGCTCTTCACTCCACGCATGTTCGCGGGCTTCAAGTTACACTATGTGAAAGATCAACCTCCTCTAGCTTGGGCATAGCAAGAGCGGACTCACAATGCAGACAAGATACTTGTCCCGCATCTCTTCGATAGGTATGTAGTTCACGAGACCAGAAACAACTGTCCGTGGACCAGTCTCCTCACCAAGGTCAATTTGCTGATGAGAACACGTATTCACTATAACAGATCTTTGCTTTAGGGAATGGCTTACCTCGATATATAAGCTGTCAGCCTCAGGGTGCTTTTTCACTGTTGATATTGCTGATAAATAGTTTGGATTCTAAAGCATGAACCAGCTCACCGTCAACAATATGACCGATCCGCATATCAATCATTGAAGGTACAGGGTCACCAGCATCTTCAGCGACAGCCTTGCCACCAGCAGGAGCAGAAACCTTCTCTTTTTTCTTGCCTCCGTTATCAGCAGAGGCTGCATCCTTCTTCTTTTCCTTCTTTTCTTTGGGCTTATCTGCTGGTACATTGTCCTCTTTGAGTGTCACTGCAGCTGTCGGTTCAACCTGCTCCGCCGCAGCCCCCGCCTTCTCTTTCTTCTTCGGTGCATCAGCTTTCCTCTCGATCGGAGGGGCAGACGCAAGGTCGAAGGAGACAAAAGAAAATGCTGGAGACAGTGCACGTGCCGCAGCCACCACAGATGGACGCGTTTGAATGTGGTCAAAGTAACGCGTGAGTGCAGGAGTAGAGTAGAGCTGAGCGGGCTGTAGCTGCGACTGAGGTTCTGTGCATAAGTGTTGGTACAACCAGATACTAGAACGAACACGAACAAATACTGGGTGCAGCGCTCCATATAAAGCAACGTCTGCTGCAGTGAGATAGTTGCTCACAATATATGTGCGAGGGGCGAGCTGGGTCTCGAGATCCTGCAACAATACTGGCTCATCAGGCAATTTAGGCCATTTTCTTTCATACGACTTACTGGAAGAGCAGCTGTCTTTACGACCTCCCCCTTCGCAACCTTCTCAATCCACTGGGCCACTTCAGCCTTGTCGGCTTCATTCTTTCCGACATCTACTTGCGAATTCACGACGAGATCTTTAAGTGGGGAAGGGAGCCCGGACACAGAAGATTCGTAGGACATTTTTCGCGCTAAAATATGAACTCGCGTGATTAATCGTGTTGGCAATCGATGAAGAATCAGAAGATGGACTGATCGAGTCAAAGTATTCATTGACATCTGCAAATCGCACGTGACTCTGATAGCTTCAAGCTTGTGGTTCGCTGTGCTAAATGACCTAATAATTGTCTTGCTCTGGCCATACTATCATTCGATGGGAAATGCACAATTTTCACTTATTGCTGAATAGCAACACAACAACAACACATATTCGTATCGGATCTACTGTAGTGTATACCTTAGGTCTCTGCGCATAAGGCCCAACAAGAATTTATTTTATTTTATTGTGAGCTTGTTGCAGCGGCAGCACTGGAAGTTGAGATGTCGAAAACACAATAGAAATGCACAATTTCGTCACACTATGTCACGCGCGGCACCTCGGCCAATACACAATGATATCCAAAGTCCGACAGCGCGCAAAGCGAATGAAAGTCCAGTGTTGCCGAATGCAAACAAAGCGGAGACTCAACCAAGTCGAGAGTGTGATTTCCCAATCTAGCCTGACCGTCACGCTTTGCTCATGAATCGTGAATAGCACGCTGTGGTGGTGTTCTATTGACATAGAAACACCTGGGGTAGATTCAGAATAGTGTATTTCATACATGTTGAAGTTCCTATGTTGATAGGTCAATGGGATGTGGGTGGATCTTGGATTTAGTGTCCAAAAATCACTCATTTTGGGTACACTCGCACAATGTTTCATCTCGGGAAGGCTTCACAGCGCCAATTTTAAATATTTGATTTGACAGTCTTATTGAACATATGCTAATACTTGTTCTCCAGCTGTTCCGAATGAAATATATGTAGAGTGGTGAGCTCTGGAGTGCATTGTGCATTACCCATCGATTGTGCATTCCGGATCAGGTGATAGTAACGTCTTCAACACTACGTAACATTGCAAGCCTACATACAACGTACAACATACAACTCTGCACTGATAGAAAGCTAGCAACCAGATCCATATACTTGTTTCCTTGGCATACGAGGCTACGTACGCTAATATGATCTCCCATTTTACAAGACACGGCTCTTCCACCCCTGATGCTCATTGTAACAAGCTTCTGTGATAGTCTGGGGAGCAGCGGCAGACTGGAATCCGACCCTGATCGAGACATCATGGGCGTTTCGCTGTTGCGCATACAAGCAGGAGCTGTTCTCGGCCGCGGTGCCCAAGGTCGCGCATTTGACCCAACCTTTGCCCTGGGTGTGGCACATCTCCTGCACCCTACTAGTCGTAGTGATGTAATACACGCGAATCTGTTATGGCCAGGTCAGAATCATATCACGATGTATAGAACGGCTGGCTTCGAAGCCTCGTACCTCTCGCAAGTCCTTGCACGCCACCGCAGCGATGGGCGTGTTGATGCGAGCAGCGGGCATACCGCTAGTGGTGAGTTTGACGAGGGTGTGGACCGTGCTTTTTGGGTCGTTCAACGACATTTCAAAGATCTGGTAGTCTTTGTTCTGGAAGTAGATGCGGAATTTCCCGTCCTCGTTCTGTACGGCGGCCATGGCGGTCCCGACGAAGTTGATTGGCAGAAGGTCTGAGGCGTTGGACGCTGACTCGCACATGACTGCTGATTCGGACATGATTGCTATAAGCTATGAAAATGAATGAATGAACTGTGGATGCGCTGCTGACTGGGACTCACTTTTGTAGAAGGTCGTTGATGCGATGGCTGTTAAGCTTGCAACGACTCTTGCTTTTAAACCTCCAGGCAGCCCCTGTCTGGAGCACATGAATGGTTCTCTGCTCTGAGGAAAATGAAATAAGTGGAGTCGCCGCAGTGCCTGCGCACAAAACTAACCAGGCCCAAGATGCGGCCATCGTGCGCCCTCCGTGCGCACCCAGGCCTGCATATAATCCAGGGAACCAAGTCTACATAGTCAGATGATAGTCAGATGATAGTCAGTCAGTTTGTTCACGGGGCAGGTCATGACACACTCTGGATCAGAAGTGCTTCAAATTGCAATTAAACCAGGCCTCGTTTCCATGACAAAGCGACTAATGCTACTTCAGCAACTCGAGGACCATTCCGCATTTCAGCTGTCAAATCAGGGGTGACAACAATATCGCTATTAGCCGCCCCACATGAACGTGGACTACTGCGAACAGATCATCTGAGTATACGCCGCTGCCTCGGCGAAGCCAGAAGGAACACATGACCATGACGAGGCTGAGCTTGGAACCCTGAACCCCCTGTCATTCTGGAAGGCGCTGATGTTACGCTCTGAGTCCTTTTCAATACGCTTGAATATTTCGCTACGAGAAACGGGGGCGCAGAATCTGGAAGAGAGCAGCAGGAGGAGTTCTATCACTCCCAGTAAAAACAGTGTTATCAACCTCGTAAGTCGGTAAGGTTCTGACAGTCGGCACAAGAAATTGTGTTTGTTAGATTGATCGATAGTAAATTTCCCGTTGAGTAGGACTCGTCAAGAAACGTGATCGAGAGGTGTCGATTACATTTAAATTATCCTGAGATAGACTGCCGAAGTGAGCATTCGGGTATAGTGTCAGATATTCACCAACATTTGCAATAGTTTGAGCCTGTGGGCTGCTGCCTATCTGCACAATTGCTGGGATTTGCGGCGCCGGCAGTCACCACACACTAGTAGGACTTCTGACCCCGACTCGTGGCATATGTACGGGTCATAGGTTCACACTCAACTAGTCAAGGTTGTCAATGATAATACATCAAGTACAAGAGGGACCAGGATTGAGTACTGACATTTGGCCATATCGAATGCTGGGCGAGGAACGAGACAGACGCAGCGCAGATATCAGGCCGCGTTTAGAACTTTAGAAAGAATCTAAGGGATGGACCATGACCCCACAAGATATCTAGACCTTGTCACATACAAACCAGAATAAGGTATTGTGGTTGTAGATAAGTAGTAGTGGACAGCATTCCACCATCATGCTGTCTCCACGAGCATCTGACGAGCTGGGAGTGAAGTTCTCGAATACGAGGAGCTCGAGCTCGAGTTTTGTAAGTATGTGTTGGAGATGTCGATGAGCCAAGACGGTGCACCAGCTGGTGAGATACGGCTCGTGGGAGCATGAAGGAATAGCCGTCTATGGCATTGGTAGTAGGGGAGACGCAGGTGTGATTTGCTACAAACGATAACTTAGTCCCTGCGCAGACCTCGATCGAGCCATGGGCTCCATCTTCTCTCATGATTTTATCATGGCGGGCACGATACGGATAGACTGCCTGTAGCAACATTAATGCCTCTGGCCTGGGTGACTCGGAGATTCTAGCTTGTTGTTGCGAGGTTGCGAGAGGCCAAAGAATCGCAGCTCACGCTGAAGCGGTTCACTCTTTCAGACGAAAAGAGCCTGGCAGAGAGAAACAGCAGAACGTCGGCTACACGCACACGTTGGCAATTTGACATCTCCCTCGAGCACGGCTGAACCAGGTAAGTTACTCTCTGACTCTGAACCACATTGCTAACTTAATGATCAAGAGCATATGATTGACAATTATAGAGTTCGACTCTATTCGAGTTTCAACTGGATGCGCATCTCTCTCTTGCTGGCGCGTGATCATGATGATCTGATGGAGGAAGACGACGGCGGGTTATCTTTGACAATGAAGCTGACACTCACGCTGCACAGGGCACTACTGCCTCATGGTCGAGAGGAAGAATTCTTGGTGGAAGATCCTGATAACCACTCTAACGACGAAGTCAATTCTGGCGAAGATTATGGTCTCATCAATAATCCTGCTTTTGATCTGGTACATACTGTGTCCCACATCGATGGAGACGACCAGAGAAGGAAAGGCCTCACCGGTCCAGAGTGTGAGGAGGGAACAAAGTAGGCGGCGAATGGCACTGCGCGCTCACAGCTGCGGCTCAACTTCCAACCGCCGTGTCCAGCATATTGGTGTGGACGCTCTAATGATTGAGTCTTGACCAATGAAAATACTGCCTTCTTGCTATTCTCTTCTAGACACCTAACGGCAGAGTCAACATCTGCACTTTTCGCAGCAAACTCTGAGCCCCGTTTCTCTCATGGCGAAAAAAATATTCAAGCGTATTGAAAAGGACCGAGAGTGCGACATCAGCGGCGCCTTCCAGAATGACAGAGGATCCAGAGCCCCAGGCTCAGCCTCGTCCTGACCCTGTAGTTCCTTCTGACTTCGCCAAAGCAGCGTCATATACTCAGATGATCTATTCGCGGTAGTACACGTTCATGTGAGGCGGCTGATTGCGATGTTCTCGTCACCTCTGACTTGACAGTTGAAACGCCGAATGGGCCTCGAGTTGCTGAAGTAACACTATTCGCTTTATCATGGGAACGGGACCTAGTTTGAAGTACTTCTGGCCCAGAGGTGTGTCACGCATTGCCCCGTGAACGAACTGACTGACTGTCATCTGACTGTCATCTGACTATCATCTGACTATGTAGACTTGGTTCCCTGGATTATATGCAGGCCTGGGTGCGCACGGAGGGCGCACGATGGCCGCATCTTGGGCCTGGTTAGTTCTGTGCGCAGGCACTGCGGCGACTCCACTTATTTCATTTTCCTCAGAGCAGAGAACCATTCATGTGCTCCAGACAGGGGCTGCCTGGAGGTTTAAAAGCAAGAGTCGTTGCAAGCTTAACAGCCATCGCATCAACGACCTTCTACAAAAGTGAGTCCCAGTCAGCAGCGCATCCACAGTTCATTCATTCATTTTCATAGCTTATAGCAATCATGTCCGAATCAGCAGCCATGTGCGAGTCAGCGTCCAACGCCTCAGACCTTCTGCCAATCAACTTCGTCGGGACCGCCATGGCCGCCGTACAGAACGAGGAAGGGAAATTCCGCATCTACTTCCAGAACAAAGACTACCAGATCTTTGAAATGTCGTTGAATGACCCAAAGACCACGGTCCACACCCTCGTCAAACTCACCACTAGCGGTATGCCCGCTGCTCGCATCAACACGCCCATCGCTGCGGTGGCGTGCAAGGACTTGCGAGAGGTACGAGGCTTCGAAGCCAGCCGTTCTATACATCGTGATATGATTCTGACCTGGCCATAACAGATTCGCGTGTATTACATCACTACGACTAGTAGGGTGCAGGAGATGTGCCACACCCAGGGCAAAGGTTGGGTCAAAGGCGCGGTCTTGGGCACCGCAGCCGAGAACAGCGCCTGCTTGTACGCGCAAGGGTGTCTCACCAAGGAGACTTCGATCAGGGTCGGGTTCCAGTGTTCCTCTGCTCCCCAGACTATCACAGAAGCTTGTTACCATGAGCGCCAGGGATGGAAGAACCGTGTCTTGTAAAATGGGAGAGCACATTAGCGTATGTAGCCTGATATGCTAAGGATGTGATCAAGTTACCAGCTTTCTATCAGCGCAGAGTTGTATGTTGTACGTTGTATGTAGGTTTGCAATGCTACGTCGTGTTGAGGAAGTTATGACCAGAGCAGTTGAAATGTTAAGTAAGAATCGAAGCGACGAAAGGATTATCTCAGTCTTGGGTACAGAAGTCCAGGACTGGGAAAACATTTTTTGGGACAACAAGGGTGCACGTCAACCAAAACACTGATCGTCTCGCTCGTACCTTGATCTAGTACCAGCGGGTAATAGCCCCTAATATTGGTGTCAATACAGATGTTGAATAAGTTATGAACCGCATTACATAGTAGCCTCCGTGATACATCCGAGTGATCTTTCAGCATATTACAGAAATAATGATTACTAGTCATACTTCCCTTTACCTCCCGATGCGAAGTTGTTACCAACTTTCGCGAGCAAAAAATCGCCATATACAACAGATTGGTAGGTTTGTCCTACGTTTGAAGACGATTCTTTGTCTTGATCAGGCAAAAGACGCAAAGCTGCTGGAAGTGGAGCAACATTCGCGGTGAAGTTAGGCTCGAAGAAGAACGGTATCCTGTCAATACATCAGTAAACGAAGATATCGTAGAGCGGTAGGTTGCCACGCACGAGACACTACGCAAATGAATTAGACATAGCTCGACAAAGCGCTGCGCAACACATACCGGTAATTCGATCCTCTGTGGACCACTCTGTGCAGTGTGCTTTTGTACAATCCGTTTGTCCAGATCTCCCACACTGAGTGATTTGCATTAGCTAGTGAGGACGCTTGGAACACCAGCAACGTACTCTCGCCGATATTACAAACAACACAATTTGGAACGGGATCTGCGTTTATCCATATTCCTTCTTCTGTACCGTGCTCTGCCGGCAGGCCATCCAAATCTGATGCTGTCACGCCGGATTGTCGCAAATACACTTGTAGAGCACTTCGGGTGGGATCAGCATATAGGAAGCTTAGGTAGTCGACGTCAGGGATAGTGCTGAATTGTGTACCCGTGGCTCACGTTAGACAGCCGTAATCTCTTCCGTGCATGTGCATCAGTATATCTTGATAGCAGAAAACTAACAGCGTCTTACTTGTGTGCTCCGCAGGAGAAGCCGTCGTGGTCATTTGGAAGTGGAGGATAACCTGTTATATAGCTAAACACGACGATGAACTTCAGTCATGATGCTCACCGATAGTCCGCATTACCCAGAAGCTATCGTCAACCTGAGCTCGCAAGTCCATCCATTCTTCCATCGTCATTTTGAGTCCAACAGACATCCTATGAGAGAACATGTCTGGAAGAAAATCTCGTAGACTTAAGCAAGAACTTACGCTTCCATAACGATGAGACCAAGCTTCTTCATCTTCTCAATCCATCGTTCGTATTTATGCTTGAATCCAGGGACATCGGGCCACTGATTCTCCCCCCACAGTGGTTTGGATTTATCTGGGTTCTCGACAGGCTTGTAGAAATCGATTCCTTCGTGGTTATCCGCCTTGCCGTTAGTCACATTCTGCTTGAGCCTTTGGTATCCTGAATGTAAAGTTCAAGAATGATATTAATGGCTCGGCGATAGCTCAACTGTGAAATACCTCTAGCGTGATCCTGGTTCTCTAGGCCAATCTTGTTCTTCTCCTCCTGTGGTAGTGCGAAGAACTCTCTGGCTAGCCGGGTCAATTCTTCAGGCTCTGATGGATCTATGTACTGCGAAATGTCTAGATAGAAGAACCCGTACTCGACACAAGCGTTGTGTAGCGCGTCTGATGTGGACCGGCATTTGGTAAGATCACGTTTAGCCTCGAGGTACGGCGCGATGTCGATAATGGGGAGGCTTGCTAAAGCGTGTGCCATTGCGTCTACTGTATAGCTAGCTTAATGGCCTCAAACAAAAGTTTCGATGGTGTTCTGAAAGGAGCGTTCAAGATACGATCAAAGACGTGCAGTCCGACTTGGGAGATAAGATAAGGTACACGGTAAATCTACTAAAGTAAGATAGTCCTCACGCAGTTTCAGCAAACCTCACGTGATGTGATCACACCGTGACCTACCGGTACAATCAATGGATTGAAAGAATTAAAGATCAGTAAGGTTGCTGTAAGGGTTGAACGTTGAATACTCTATGTGGTGATATATGAAAATTATATGACAATTGTAAATGCGCTTTGCGGCCCAAGCAGCCTGCAACCTTTTTGATATGTATCCATAAAACGACAAGATCTAATGGCAAATCTTCCATTAGTGTCTATGGTTACTAAACATAAGGCTACTGCTTACCTTCGCATGCTCGTCAAGGGAATAACACCCAGTGCTTTAATTACATTGTCCTCCAGATCGCTTTCCTTTGTCGATGCTGGGTAGCAACGATAGATGCGTTTTGCGAACCCCCAGCATTGTTCGATAAAGTTCAATTCACAGTGAAACTTCGGAAGGAAGAGCACTTTGAATCCCCTCAACCCACACAAGGCTGTCTCTAACTTTGACTCGACACTGATGAAATATGCCTGATTATAGAGGATACAACGGTAGCAACAAGTGGTTGAACCACAGGTACAATCAAAATTCTTGCACTGTGCCTTTAATCTGCTGACATCGAAGCCGCGCTCCTCCAGGATTATTGCCATCCCCTTGAACAGTCCAGCACTCCGTCAAGCCAGTAAAACTCGTGAGGTGATCCAGATGAGTGCCTTTTTCGGACTACTATAGATCATCTTAGTACTCCATTATTCGTAAGACCAACTCTTCTTGCAACTCAACACAAATGACAATTTTAAAACGGACGAAGTACGAAGAAGGACACATTCTATAGATCTTCCGTTTCAGTTTCCTTCTCTTTGCTGTCGCAAGTGATCATCGGTTTTGTCACACTTCATCACACTTTAGCACGTGACGTTAACCGTAACTGTTTGAGGACTATCTTATGTCGTAAGTAGGACGATTTACCAGGTTATGACTGCGTCAAAGAAATACAATCAAGAGGAAACAAGGTGTGCCATTTCAACACATGCTACTGGTAAGAACCATTTTCTGGACGTGGTTGTTGTGAGTAGATAGTACGGCCGGGATTCTGACTAGTAATTCCTCTGCTAAACCCTCCATGTGGATCTTGTAGAAAGCCGCTTGCGGGGCCAGTGTAATGACCAGGCCAATTGGGTGCAAAGTCGTGAGATGACCGAGCTGTCTCCTGGAGGCCCACGGTTGAACGTCTGGGTGATGTAGCCGCCTGATATTCATTGCCCACGTCACTTGACATGTGCTCTTCTGGTCCGACATAACGATCCTCCTGCGCGACTCTCGTGCTTCGACTTCTTGATACAACACTGTCCATACCGTCCTCGTTCCGTCTATGTTCCCTCCTCGAACTTCCGTTTGCACTTGCACTTGACGTTTCTCGGCCATTATGGACTGGTGGCCTTGGCCTGGCTTTTGACTTCCCGTTTAACTGGGGTGCAGATACTGCTATGAAAGGAGGTGACTGTCGATGGGTGGTGGACATTGCCGGATTGGCTTCCAAGACTTCCTTCTCCTTCATTGCCCGTCTCTCAAGTGCCTCTGCTATGGATATTGGTTCAGGTATCGTGTCTTGAATAATATATGAGACGGAGCAAGACACACAAATGACACACAAACCTTGTAAAAACATGAACTCCTGATATTGTTGGGTAGAGCACGCTGACGAACAGTTATGGTCAAAAGTTAGAAAAAAACACTGTTTGCTCACCCAAATCTGCGTAATTCACAGTCCCTCGACGCTTTGCGGACGCCTGGCGCTGTCCAGCTTGTGCCATTCGTTTTATGAATTCCTCCTGCAAGTAAAGATGCAAATGTTCAGATCTACCGCAAAATGACTAACGGATTCCTCACCGTTGCAACTGACAAGATGAACACCGCTTCTTTCGACATCGAAACGCTAGCTAAAAACGTGGCTTAACGCGAGCTCTGAACAGTGTATTTTGAATCTGACGCACTATCCGGCTGAACCATGTTCTCTACTTTGGAAGCGGGTAGAAGAGTTGTACCGGGAGCACGTTCCCCCAGTCGTCGTCCGCTCTTCTTCTGGTTAGCGGAAGCGCTTGCGGCGAGCTCGTCTTCGGGATCGGTGTCAGACTCCAGTTCATCCACTTCAGCCTCATTTTCAGAGTCCGTAGGCAGATCATAGACGTTAACACTTGTGTTTGGACCGCCCTGCTCAGAGTATTGCCCATATGGTTGCAAGGCGGAGGTGTGGGCGACCACGGAACTGGAGGGAGTAGCGTAATATGCTGCCATCACCGGGTGTGTTATAGGTGAACTTTGGTGCGGAGTGGTGCAAGTGCAGACGGTTGTGGCAGCTTCGGGTGCAGAGCGGAGGAATACTAAGAGGCAATATACAGTAGATTCGCTCACACCCGACCATCGATTTATTTCGCCAACCGCACAGTTCCAGAACTTTCAATGGAATCACTGGTACTTGGGATACCCTGCCTCCGCGGTTTATATGGATAGACAAATCGAAGGCCATTAGGGTGTCATGCTCGTTCTGAAATCCAGCGACCACAGGCATCATATCCATTTTTCGTGGCCCGATTTCACTTTCAGCCTTGCGATAGTTCGTCATCTACTGCACAAGCATAGATTCCATGGGATTTGGGTTCTCAGATACAAAATGTAAGGTACGTAGTGGTAGTGCGTAGTCTGATGCACAAGCATGCACTACGGGCTCCGCTCAGCACAATAATGAAAGAACGACTATCTTCATTCTATTTGGTCCGCCTGGAGACCGTCTTTTTCGGGCTATTCAATTTCGGCGATAGCTGAAGCTTGGCTGCTTGAGGGTATGGACGACGGTACGTGTAGCATACTCAAACAAGCCATTTCAAGATATTACACCCCTCAGGTGAGCTCAAGTCGTGCTTCTACCGAGGCCCATGCAACAGCTCTGCAAGTCTCTAAGGGCGATGAAAAATTTCCGAACCTCACTGACCTGATCTCCCGGAGGTGAGGAGAATTGCAGAGAACATCGTCGGACTGGTGCGTCCCGCAGTCGGTCTATAGCTATAGGGAAATCATGATGAATCCACTATCGCAAAGTGGTTGTTGACAACACTAGCTTCGCAATTGCATGTGAGGCTCGTTTACAACCACATCTCACTGTCCGACTGTCTGACTTGACAGGGGTGTTCAGAGTATGGTCGAGAGGTGCACGGCGGGTAATATGGAAATGCGATTGCAATACACATATAATACAGTTGTGAGTGAGCTGACTGCTGTGACACTGTTACATTGTGGAGGTGAAGACAAATGTTTGTGCCATACAAATGTTCAATTGGTTGTGAAATTACTCAAGAGGAACCCTGATACTCTCCTGATCCTCAGCTTTTGGGACGGTCATGGTAAGGATGCCATCCCGGAGCTTGGCAGACACTCTGGAACTATTGATGGGACGAGGCAACCAGACTGTGCGAGTGAAGGTCGCGCTGCCCGAATATTGGCGCTCCACAGCAAGTTGTGTACCTGACTCGGACTTTGCCACAGCTTCGGAGCCTGAGAGGATGCGTCAGACGATGCAGCTCGGTCCGTAGATTCACTAACCGTCAGCCGCGCTCTCACCGGTCGCTTCCGCGCCCGAGAGTTCGCCATTGGTTTGGCGAGAGGAGGTTTTTCCTTGGATGGTGACGCTACGGCCAGCGTCACCTATCGTAATATCAACGTTCTCTTTTTTAACACCAGGAATATCGGCTTCTATGATGTATTTGTCTCCTACCTCTGTGACGTCAACTGGGGGACGCATGGCAGCAGGAGACGGGAAGAAGGGGTCGTCAAAAAGGGAGCGCTGATGGTACACGGGTGCTACAGCGGACCTCCCAAAAGGCTCCTCCAGCATTCGGAACAGAGGGCGGAACTCATGGAGAAGTTGTCGAGCGATAGACATGTTGGTCTTCAAGCAAAGTGACCTCCTGTCTGGCGGCATATATATAGGAAGTTCGTCAAAATCCAGAAAGTTCGGTACAAAGCAGTCACATGTTGAAAATATGGAAGAGTGTTCGGGGTCCATAACTTGAACGCAGTCAGACTAAACCCGGTATTCATCGATCTGCCTAGGGCATCGTGGACCTCTCAAGGAATTGCAGTAAATAGAGATACTTAGACATGTGATATAATCATGCTCCAGGCCATTCAACAACCCACTGTGCAGCGACAGAATGCTCTTGGTCATCGTCATCTTCAAACTTGAGCTTGTACATGGCAATGTGCTTTGCGGACACACCCTGAGTTGAATTGAGTCACATAAACACAGTAGAAGTTTGTATCTTACGCGTCCGATTGGCTGCACGTCTCTCGGGGAGGATATGACTTCAGCTCTGTAAAAACAGCTCGTGTCAGGATAGAGCGCCATGACCGTCGAACCAGCAGGGAATTCCTGATAGGCATTCAAATGTGCAGCACTTGTTGGAAGGGCACTCGGATCTGGTAGTGGTATAATGGCTCGGAGGGTTGTATTATAGCATCTGAAGATGATGTTTGTCATCAAATGCCTTGCTCCGTGTGATGAAGACGAAGACTTACTGTCCAGGCTGCCCGTCTTCTTGAGGTTCAACGTCTTGCACCTCATATCTGATACCGAATAAGGTTCAATCAGTGCAAGGACACATCCCTAAAATGAGCCCCACCGATTCTTATCCTGATTGATACACTTTGTGATAACGGCCAAGATCCATGTGTTTTCATCGGCGTCAGCCGTGCTCCCGTCGGCCGCCTTTCCCGCAGGTGGGTGGAATGCGACTTTTCGCCCTTCTCGTAATGGCAGCTGCTTCGCGAGAGCTTCTCTGCGAGCCTTTGGCTCTCTCGAAAATGGTATGGCGGGAGAGGGGCCGGTCGAGCTCCGCGAAGGTGCCGTCTGAGTCGTCACTGGCCTCGCGGCAGACATCAAGGGTGGCGTAACCGACACAGGAGTGGCAGTAGGTGATGGGGGCCGTGGGCGCTTGTTTCGCTTCTCTGAATAGAAGTGCATAACTGAGCAAGTGTCTAAAGATTGGAGAAAAAGTCACAATATTACCTTGTGAGGGTAACTCTGGTGCTTCTCGGAGGGCTATTAGTATGTCGAGTTCTTCAAGAAGACTGTCGATAGCCCTGGAAAAATATGTGACACTTCACAAGGAGACTGAATAGTCACCGTACTTGACTTCCTCATCGCTAATGTGTCGAACTTCTTTCAAGGCTGAAGATAGCCGTCTGTAATTGGTTTTCAATCCATCATACCCTTCAGCCGGAAGGACGTCATCGGTCGGCCACATGGAGATTAGTCTGTTAACACGCCCGATGGTTTCGACGCTACTAGGGCTGGCATAAACATCGGAGAGTGATGCCAATGACTTAGATGCATGCGACCAGCAATCTACCTCTGATAATAAGTAAGCAGTCCGCAGCGTTCGATGTTGAAAGGTTATGCAGTGAGCGTGAGAACATGCCTTCTGAGGATGCAGGTCGCGGTAGTGCGTGCCTTCTATCCATTTTTTCTGCGTTTAGTATATGAGCTGCAGATAATGTCGTTAGCAAGTACTTCTACTGGGTTTTTGTAGGGTACGAAACGAAACGAAAGCTGTAGAAACGTGGGATGGTCTAGGATGGTCTTGGAGATGAATACAACCAGGTGTCGCGGAGTTTCACTCCTAATGACTGAGGGCCCCTGCCACCTCGTCTCACATACTCAAGTACCGTTCACTCGTTGATAATTGCACTGTGCTGATGACATCTACTGTTGTACAGTTGCAGTATCCAATATTGACACAAGATTTTCGAATACTAAGATACATTAGAATTTTCCCTCATCACTGTTACATGTCAACGTGTTCCCTGTGGGGGGAGGTGCCAATTTTCGGAGAGAGACGTCATACACCACTAAAACAAAGTTAAGACTGGCGTACAGCACTACGCGACGTGAGCCCACCTTCTTCGATTTTCTTGAGATCATATTTCAGACTATCAAAACGTCGCCGGAGCGTGTCATTCTTTAGATTCAGCTGGACACCACCAAATTCATTCAAATTATTGCCAAAAATACACTTGAACTAACCATCGAAAATCCGGCAAATAGATCCTTCACAAAGATAGATATCTGAATAGGTGCTTCAAAGTTCCCAAGGGTCACTGCGTTGACAGCGAGACGAGACTACACAGGAAATAATGGCAAGTGAGTTGAACGCGTCGCTAGGGCAAATAAATCACCAAAGATATCGGCTAAAGATTATTGCAAGAATACATCCACTTCAACATTATCGGACTTACCAACTCGTTGACCAGGCTGATCAGACCGTGAAGATAATCTTCGACGGGCAGCACGAATCGGCCCTTCCATTCATCTTTGACTGGGGAGGTCCGGGACAGGACAAAGTATAGTTACTATACACACGACACAGAGGAGAAAGCGATGCTCACTCCCTAGAATCTGACTGACTTGTGGTAGGGAAATGAGTTTTCCTGTTGCAAGAAATTCTACCAAGGCAGCTGAATAGATTGCGGTGCGCAAAGAGTTGGACCACATTTCCTTCCATCGCCAGAACTGGCTGGGAGGGATGAGCGCAGCCATAGCAGCGCTAGTGGTTTGACAACTGTGCAAGATGGGGCGCACACAATCAAGGAGACTTGGAACTAAGATAGGCGTTGACAATCAGCAAAAGAGATACTCTAGTTAGCAATGGTACAACTTGACTCGGAAGGTGTCGAATGGATTTTGTTGAGAACCCCAACCATGTTGCGAGTCTTCTTATCCAGATCCGTCACTTGCTCCTTGATTTTCTAGAAGGGGGAAGTTTTGGAGGTCAGACCGATAGCGGAGATCAGCGACTTTCAATATTAATGTGTACCTCCCGCAAATCTACATCCTGCTCCAAGAGTTCGTTGAGACGTTCTACATCACAAGAATCCATATGTTATAGTGATGAGGCCTGTGGACTGTTTTTGTACTGAGAAGATCTTCAATGAGGTGGCTACTTCAGAAATCTGCCACGCTGCCATTTGCGCTAGCGCTCGTGACTGCTTTTGGTCGCTGCCGATTCAAAACCTTCAGACGAAACGTCCACCATCAGCCTGAACGTCGTTCATGACCTCCGATGTCGAACTCAGCAAAGTTAAGACGTTACTTACTTCAGCTCGCGACGCGCCAGTGCACACTGCGGATGCAACGGATGACGTTCTTGGGCCGATATATTCATATTTGATGAAGATTCCCCCATCCGCATCTGACCAAACCTACCACTGGTTCTGCAGTCGCGCCAACCAGCTTACTATTGGCGCCGCTACATTCTTACTAAGGCTATTTGCATACGATAGCCCTAAAGTGGACGCTTGGAAAAGAAGGTTGAAGTCTTGTCTTGCAGGATGTTGTCAATGTATCAAGGGATTGGGGGAAGTGAAGGCTAGCTCTCGGAAAACGTGAGTGGTTCGACGAGACAGTAGTACTCCATGTGGAATGCATATTTTATACTGATTGCCCCACAGCTATTTTGGCGCATTCTCTGACGATGTGATCAGAGGATTTTATAGCAAGTTTGATGATTGGGAACTATCCGTGGTCGTAGAGGCCCTCGTGCGTTCGGGAATAGACCTGTCCGACTCTAGATTGGCTGCCCGGACGCCTCAGGAAGTGCCACAACCTGTGTTATACCACATGGTCTCAAACATGCGCGTCTTTCGCGATCCTCGGGTCTTCTCCTTGATTCGTGCATGCCCACCTATCTCAGATTGGCCACTGGTTCCGCCTCCCCCGGGCCTTTTTATACTCGTAATGGATGGTTCCTCTGACGTTAGACAGTGGGCGAAGGCGCAAATCACCAAAAGCACCCAGGTTCCAATGTTAGAGCACCAGTTCGTTGCAGGACATGAATTGACGCTGGAGGCGGTTATCAGTGCCTTGACAATGTCATGCGAAGGTCAAGGAACGACGACGGACAGTGTATTACCGTACATGTTCTCCTCCGACTCAAGCGAACTTTGGGCTGGATTTAGCCAAATCCTACGACATCTTCCAACAGAGGTTCTTGCAAAGTCATCTGAAGGAATGGGCTGTCGGAGAATCGTGACAGGCCACCTACACGATATTGGGCGACGTGAGTTTATTTTTGTTCGCTACATTGAACAGTTCAATGAACATGGAGGCAGAGTTTTCTGACATCTTACGGTGCCTACTCTTCTTGCTCAAGCGTTTAGGCAATCAGTTGTGGCAAGGCGAGGGCCCAGAGTATCCCCAAGTCGTTTTTGATGCAATTAAGGACAACACTTCCTTCTGCGACATGCTGCAGGACCTCAAGTCAGCAGACGAGAAACCATGGTTCTTGTCATGGTTCGGGGAGTATCTTACATCAATATCCGATTCTGCCATGTATGCGGACGTTCTAGCAAGAATCGTAGATTTCCTTTGCGAGGAATTACAGCACGAGCGGTTTCAGGAAGCACGTCCAGCGGTCATGCATTCCGCCGTCCGAGTCAGTGGTTCTATCTTCTCATCTAACGTTGTACTGATGAATCTCCTTACTCGTAGTTACTGGCCTCCCAGGTGCGGAAAACTCAGTCGGAAGAGACGTCGCAACGTCGTATGGCAGTTTCAAGCGTGCTCGACATTCATGCCGAGGTCTTCATTTCGGTGGCGTTTGGTCGCTCATACGCAAATTCGCAGTGGAAAGAAGTACGCAGCGCTGCTCGTGAGCTCATCACGACTTCCTTGACTCGAGACGCCAGTGAAATCGCCAAATCTATCACAACCTCCTGCGAGTTCTTGGCAGGACGCACGAATGTGTTCCCCGTCTGTACTATCAGAGAACAAATGTGGAAGAAGACATATGAATCTCTACAGACAAATGATACAGATGGCGTTGTTGCCATCATTGCCATTATCGCCGAGTTCTCTCACATTGACTTCTTGAACAAAGTGGCGTACAGACATGTTCGTTCGAGCCCGGATGCCCAGGCCTTTGATGCCATCAATCGATGCCTCACTATCTCACGAAGCGGATTTCTTGATGTAGTATCCAAGCTCGCGAACTACAACCAGACGTCATTCGTTCTTGATGTCCTACATCGACCTGGAGTCGCACGTGATGTCATGGTCCTCATGCTGTCTCCCATTGAAGACCTCCAAGGCGCTGCAAAGACGCTTGTTGGTCAAGCATTTGATGTCGACATTCGGATTGATTGCTTCCGCGCCCTTTTCTCCAACCTCCCAGACTCTTCGTTTGAGGGCATTTTCAGCATCCTGGAACGATACGTTCATTACGCACCACATGTACCGGAAGCCTGCAGTCTTTCCAAGTCGCTGGTGCAGTGTCTCACCGACGTCATTGAGGTCTTGTGCTCCAGTCCAGAAGGACTGTTACACAATGACTTGTTCCTGCGGCCGAAAGACAAGGAAGGGCCAGCAACACAAATACCTCGACTGTGGAACTTGATGACACGGTCCCTCACCGTGATATTCAAACGCACACCGCTTTGGTCAGACTACTTTGAAATTCCGGACATGACGGTGTGGATGCGAGATGCGCTCATATTCGGGAGAGATCTGCTGGCACAATGGAGAGTAATGGAGTCTGCCAGCGTCACTGTCACAGATGAATCATCCTCATTAGTGACTGGCAGTTTTCGAAAACTTTCTCGAATGGGGAAGAACATGATGGGCGACCTGCAGCCAGTGGTTTCAGAGCTAGCACGGTGGATGCGGCTCTCTGATGAAGAGCTTCTCCATCAGTCCTTTGCGTTGCTTCAGACGGTCCTCGAATGTTTTCGGACAACTCGCGTCCCTCCATCGAAAGCTACCCTTGCCAAACTGAACAAGCACGTCGAGGATTTCCGCAAGAACACATCTGGCGCTGTAAAGACAAAACTTGACTCAAGTCGAATAGCCCAGTTAGAGGACGCACTGGCCTCGTTTGAGGAGGAAGAAGTTGAAGTTGTTTCCGTGGTTCGCGCGTCGAAGGCTCGACCTACCCAACCCCACAAACCCCCACCGCAGAAAGCACAGGCGGCAGCACGAAAGCCGAGTGACTTTGTTCCCCGGAAACCTGCTGAGAATGAACAACTCAAACCCGAGGTTATGAAAGGCGCGTTTCCCAAGTTCCAGCGGCTATCAACAAGCACGTCGACGAGCGTCAGTAAACCACCAATTGGGAGTAGTATTCTTCCCACAGCTCCCGCCTCAGAGGATTCCAGTGATTCCGGATCTGAGGCTGAAGGCATGCAGAGCGGTCTGGCCGCCTTGGGCAAATTCCAGCGATCACCAAAAGTCAAGAAGCCTGTGGAAAGACGCCAAGTGAAGTTGTTGGACATTCAAAACCAAGCCAAGAGTGCAACTATGGAGCGTCTCCAGCGTCGAGAAGATGCCCGTCGCCGGGCACTGCGTTTAAAACCAGACACCACCGGACTGCATCGTACTCTCCTATCTTGGAATTACGACCACGATGGTCCTGACCCTCCCACCGTCGGTGGGAAAACTCCGTTGCTTCATGTTCCTGACACCTTCCAGGACTATCAGCACTATCTCCGAGTCTTTGAGCCCTTGTTACTCCTCGAGTGTTGGTCGCAAATTGTCCAATCCAAAGAAGAGGTACAAGGGGTGTATGATTGCAGAATCACTTCCAAACAGTTCACCGATGATTTCGTTGACCTTGACGCAACTATCTCGGAGCCTGTCCAGAAAGACTGGCGACTAGGAGAGACGGATGTTGTGTTGCTTCGGCACCCAGAGGGTAAAAAGTCAATCATGATGAAGGTTCGGAGCTTTAGGTCCAGTCCATTTGGATCGCAGATGAGTCTCCGGTGCTTCATGCACCCCACTATGGGCGACATAGGTCTGCAGATCAACACTGTTTGGAGCCTGAAGAAGATTTTCAGGTGCGTTTCCCCTATTTGTATTGCAATAGCTTGCTTACCGCTCGATAGCTTGAGCACTCTTCACCGGGAGTATGGCGCTCTCGTGGCACTACCTCACTACGATCTCTTCCAAATGATATTAACTCCGAAACTCTCTGCTACGCCACCCATTGAGCAACGCGAGGTACAGCACACCATGTCCGCGTACAATGTCAATGAGCCACAAGCACGAGCTATAATAGGCTCACTCAAGGCAGATGGTTTTGCGCTCATTCAAGGGTAAGTTCTATCTGGTGTCAGACTGGCACTTTGAATGAACAATCTTCCGCAGACCTCCCGGAACTGGCAAGACATCAACCATCTGCGGTCTCGTCGAAGCGTTTCTTCATAAGCGTCCACGTGCTGTGACGTCCATTCATGTTGGGAAGACCGCAGCGTCTTCAGAGCCCGTGAAGAAGATCTTACTCTGCGCACCTAGCAATGCTGCCATCAACGAAATTGCTAGCCGTCTCAAAGAAGGATACAGAGGCCCTCAACGGAAAGCGAGTTCCCTGAAAGTAGTCCGAATTGGAACAGAGAAGGCTATCGACATCAGCGTGAAAGACATTTCCCTCGACTACTTGGTAGAACAAAAGCTCAATGGCCAAACTCCCAACGACACTTCCAAGGATGCGAACAGCGAAATCAACGTGCTACGAGGTGAAATCGAGCAAGTCAAGCAGATCAAACAGCAGAAATTGGATGAGCTGGCCTCTGTTCGCGACAACAATGCCCGGATGGTGGTCCTAGAGGAAGAAATCAAGAAACTAAACTCTCGACGGATGACGCTGACACAGCAGTTTGACCGGTTGAAAGATAAACAAAAATCGGATTCTAGGACACTCGATGCTGTACGGAGGCGCGTCAGGACGGAGGTTCTTCAAGAGGCAGACGTCATTTGCAGCACTCTGTCAGGTGCAGGCCATGAAACGCTCGAACAACTCGATTTCGAAATGGTCATCATCGACGAAGCAGCCCAGTCCATCGAGTTGAGCTCATTGATACCACTCAAGTTTCGTTGCCAAAGGTGCATCATGGTCGGTGGTAAGTGACACTCATTCGTACCCCCGACACCCCACTGAGCCTTGTCTAGATCCACAACAACTTCCCCCCACAGTTTTGTCCCAGGAGGTAAGCAGAGCTTCAGCAATATCTGTCGAATATACGCTGATTGTCATTGAAGGCTTGCAAGTACCAGTATAATCAATCGCTCTTCGTGCGCCTTCAGAAACACCGCCCGGATGCCGTTCACCTCCTCAGGTATGCCTTCCGTCTTTCACTAGTAACTAGTGCACTCATGGTTTTTAGCATCCAATACCGCATGCACCCTGACATTAGTCGTCTTCCTAGCAGGATTTTCTACCAAGGCCGGCTCTTGGATGGCCCCGACATGGACGTCAAAACAAAACAGCCGTGGCATTCGCATCCTAAATTTGGCACGTATAGGTTCTTCAACGTTAACCGGGGACAAGAAGCCTCCACAAAGCGGTCATTCTCTAAAGAACACTACGGAGAGTCAAGTTGCCCTCGCCTTGTACGCACGCTTGTGTAAGGAGTTTTCCGCCGTAGACTTTGACTTCCGAGTTGGCGTGGTTTCCATGTACCGTGGTCAAGTTTTAGAGCTTCAACGAGCTTTTGAACAACGATTTGGGAGAGATATCAAGGACAAGATACACTTCCATACTGTCGATGGATTCCAGGGACAAGAGAAGGATGTGATTATCCTTTCTTGTGTCCGTGCTGGTCCTGGACTGCAATCTGTTGGTTTCCTGTCGGGTATGATGTTCCGAATCTGTATATTCGCAAGCAGCTAATGGTGTACAGACGTTCGGAGAATGAATGTCGCTATAACTCGTGCACGTTCATCTCTCTTTATTCTGGGCCATGCGCCTACTCTCGAGCGAAGCGACGAGAATTGGCGCAAAGTGATCCAGGATGCTCGCGATAGGTCATTGCTGACGGAGGTCTGATATTGACACGCTTCCTCGCGAGACCTCGTACTAACTGAGAGACAGGCGAATGTAAGCTTTTTTACCACCCAAGCTATGAACACCTCGGTTCGCCGGCCTCCATCACCTGCGAAGCCCAAGAAGCAGCCAGCCGCGACCGCCCCACCTAAACCAGATGATTTAGGTCACTCCTAAGAGCTTTGCTGAGTCTAGTCGTCGGCCTCCCTCCTCAAAACCTTCCCAGACAATCGATGAGCAACCGCCGATAAATGATCCTCCTGCAGACCTGGCTATTCCCAGCGATGTTGGACAGAAGCGTCGTTTGGTTGAAGGTGTGAATGGCGAACCTTCCACCTCTAGACCACATGAAACCAGGACAATGCAGCCACCCCAGAAGCGCTTTAAGAAGGAGAAAGGTAGCATCTTTATACCCAAAAAGAACAAGGTAAGATTTCCGTATTTTTTCGGTAATCGACTGAGTTGCTCACGATCATCAATCCACCAGCCTGGAAAGCCATAGGTTGACTATTACCAACATCGTCATTGAATTATACGTCACCCGCACTTTCTTTAGACCTGCATCGCATATATATATAGGACAACACAATTGTACATTAATCACACGTTCACGGGAGGTAGCTCCCACTGGTCTGGCCCAAACCGTGGTATAGACATCATCACGCCTGCATTGTTTCTCGAAGGTTTGGAAAAAGTGCACATACTCTCTTTTCCAAGACTCGACAGCCATGCAGGATTTACGACCGTTAGTCCTTCACGATCGTCAGCGTCTAGTAGACTTGCAGTGGCGGCAACAGACCTTTGATCCAGGTTCGTGATGTTTGGACTACCTCAGAAAATACGAGATAGTCTGGCGGAGGGCGATCCGCAAGCACAGACGTCGGATGGATGAAAACATCCCCAGAAATTCCCACCGCCGCATAAGGGACGCCTTTAGCAGTTGAAAACTGCCTTCCACTGGAGTTGTCTTGTATTAAATCTTTCCGAACTGCTACTTGGTCGATAAAGGCAGCGGTGAGCAGTTGACGAATAGCTTTTAGCTAAAATATGACGTCAGCGCAAGGTAGAATCGCATGAACAGGAAGCCTATTACCTGGATGTCGTTGGGAGGTCGGATATTTTTGTTGAAGCCAACTTCAGCACTTTGGAAATTTGCTTGCGCGATGCTACTTAGTTGGGCTCGCAGTTTGTGTATTTCTTCCATGGCCTGTAGTCTTCCATAATGTTGCTGCGGGTTGGCATAGCTGGCCGACGTACCTTAGGCCTTACAAAGTGGTCCTTACAGAATTGGCGCCCCCCTCCAGAATATTCATAGGCCCCGACGACTGAGAGGAGTCTGAAGATGTCACTGTTGGAGTTACCCAGCGATCCATGGACCTGTTCCAGTGCTCAGGAAAATTTAAGGCCAAGAGACGGAGGACAAACCTGCTGAGACTCAAAGAATGCCCGCCGTCGGGTCCTCCTCACCTCTTTCGCTCTGATGGAAGCGTTTTTAATGTGTGCCAGTCCTTCATTGTCACTATCGGAGTCGCTGTCACCATCTAACCCCTCTTCACGAAGGAAAGGGTCCCCGACCGACATAGCTGCCACAATCGAGATCACATAGGGTAGACAACCATGCTGTTGACTCCCAACGAGCATTCGAGAGAAGCGAGGGGAGAGTGGGAACAAGCTCATTGCTTTCCCCAGAGGCGTCACTTGACCCCCGATTGTTGACATGGACACCCTCGCTTGCGATACGAGAGGTATACTACTGAGCGCGCCAAGACGAGTAAGGAACCGTCTCAGCCTTTTTCAACACCTGCCTATCTGGAGGAGTTGGGAAAGGGAAGTTGACAACCGCGTCAATGTTCATGCTTTTCATCTGCAACACGACACCTTCAATCGGTGTGCGCAAGATTTCAGGCTGTGAAAATGACTCGAAATAATGCTCATAAAGAGCGGAGGAGTAGAGTCTGTAGCAATGTCCTGGACCCGTACGACCCGCGCGACCAGCTCGCTGCGCGGCAGAGGCCTTGGAGATCCAACCCACCTGAAAGGATTGGATACCGCTTGCGACATCATAATGTCGCTGTAAACGTCGTCAGAGCACGTCTCTATCGATCGAGATGTTCGTACCTCTTTCGCTCGTCCACAATCGATTACATACCGTATATTTGGGATGGTAAGCGAGGTCTCCGCAACGTTTGTTGATACTACCACCAAACGATGGCCTGCTGGTGGTGAATCGAAAACTCGCATTTGTTTCTCGCTCGGCAAAAGCGAATACAGAGGGACGACATGCATTGGGACTAGATCCATGATGCTTGAGCTCGTTGAATATGAATACATTGAAAATTTTACCATCGCACTCCTCGGCATCGATGCCAAGTTCAGCGTTGACGCCATCGTCGTCGTCACTATCCAGGCCTTCAGGATCTTCCTCTGTGGGGTCTCCGTCTACGTCGAGTGCTAACTCCTGCTCACGAACGCCAAACTCGATATCCTCCGCCTCAATGTCGGCTGTGAGTCCTTTTGAGATGAAATCATGAGACGACTGCTTGAAATTCCTCACCATGAACCGAAGCAACAGGGTAAGGACCCTCACTGGTGATGGATTCTGCAAAAATAGAAGAAGCTTGGACAACTTGTCTCCTCCTCTTTTTTGCCTCCAGAGCTCTTCTACCATATCGTGCCTCGAGCTTTTTGCAGACGCCCAGAATTTCATTTTGCCCAGTCAAGAATATGAGAATACCTCCCGGTGGCAGACGAGCATGAATCTTGGCCGCTTTCTTGACCGCTTCGCGCACATAGTCAGTAGACGTCCGCCGGTTGAAGTGTACTGTTACGGGGTGCTGGCGAGCATCGACATTGACAACAGGAGGCGGCGACGGAAAGAGTGCCTGATTCTCTGCGAAATCGCTGACGCGTAAGGTTGCCGACATGATGATGAGCCGTAATGGTTTCGTGCCCTCTGTGCCCTCCTTCCACATTTGTTCGCGTAGCTTGATTACCCGACTAAGGACACCAATCAAGATGTCGGTGTTCATACTACGCTCGTGTGCTTCGTCAATGATGATGATCGAATATTTTGATAGCAAGAAATCGGTAGCGAGTTCACGCAGAAGCACGCCATCGGTCATGAACTTGATCGTAGTTGAAGGGGACACAGTTGCGTCGTATCGGATCTGGTACGATACGCGGGAGGAAGTCAAGGACAATTCGCGAGCCACTCGAGATGCCATTGACATTGCCGCAACTCGACGTGGCTGCGTGACTCCTATCATCCCCGGGTTCACTGGACACGCGTCAGTCACCATCATATGACCGCATACGAACGAACGAACCTCCGGTACGATCACCAAACCCAGCTTCGTAGAGAAACTGTGGGATCTGAGTAGTCTTTCCGCTACCAGTTTCACCGCAGATGATTACCACCGGATTAAGCATTATGGCTTCCATAATGGGATGCTCTTCTGCAATGATAGGTAGCTGCATCCTGGACTCCTGAATATCAAGGGGTCGAATGACGGACACCGACTTTACACTAGAAGATTTAGAGAAAGTAGAGAAAGTCTCTTGTGTTTTTGTCATACATTCCGCAAAAGAGGTGGAAGGGAGCTGTAAGTCTTCACCCAGGGGACCGCGCATTGAATTCGGTTGTGACGACATCAACTTGCGTTTTTTGGACGGGGGTGCAGCGGGATGCTCGATTTCAAGAGACGACGGGGTTCGTTCAGTGGTATCATGGCCTTTCGCTAGGTTTAGCTGTTTGACGGCCCAGTCCTTGAATCCAAGGCGTTTCTTGGCAGGTAAAGGACGCTCTTCTTCCCCATTAGAATATGGATTGCCGGCCTCACTGTCATCATCTGAACCTGCCGCCGAGATTTCCCCATCTCCATCTTCTTTTTCTTCGTCAGAATCATAGGCCGAATCAGAACTGTCAAAGGATGTGTCTGATTCCTCTTCCGGAGCCGTTGTCGGGAGTGCCCTTCTTTTCCAGCTCGGGAAGGAGGCCTTCTGAGAGAAAATATCAGTTCGGAAGTTTCTCGGCCAGGGCGTACATACCATTCGAGCCTTTTCACTTTTTTTATTCACGACTATGGGTGCAACGACAGAACCATCGGGATTGCGTTTAAGGGCTCCGCCAACCGCGAAAGTGGATACACTGGCTGGCTGCGAGACTGTCGATGTTGTAGGAGGATCCGCCGCAAATTCCTTCGCCACTGAACCCTCGTGCTCATATTGCACTGGCGTCTGATCAGCGTTTTCACCAAAGTCAATTCCATCCATTGCGTCAGATTCGCCTTCACTATCTCCGTGTTCATGAACCGTGAAATCGTTATGGCGCCGTCGACGTTTATTGGGCTGACCCTCCATGGCGCGGCGTACATCCTTGTCTTCTAGTTTCTCCTGGCGTTCCCGAGCTGTGGAGGTGGCTCCTGTTCCAAGAGTAGATGACGACTGAAGATCGAGGCTTGAAGTTTGAGCTTGCGTCTGACTACACACTGCTGAGGGGACGCGACGACAAAATGCGAGAGCTTTACATACGCTAGCTTCTCAAAAATCACGAGTCTCTCTTCTTTTCTTAGTTTCTTCTCCTACAGGAACCGTTGTACAAGCTTTTGTGAAAATCAGGGAAATTGACGCACAACATACTTTTCCAGCCTTTTCCGCTTCTGTCTCGATACCTTGGATTCCGACTCTGCTGCAAGCTTCGGCCAATATTAGCGTCTCCTGACCTTCGGGAATGTCACAGACAGACCTCTCTTACGAGCCTCTCTTTTCTGTCGCGCTCCTTATCTTCTAGTGACTTGTATTCGAGGATCGTAGCGTTGGGATCAGGTGCATCGGCTGTAGGGACCACACCGTTGCTTTTATGACGCGACTTCCCCTTCTTCCTCGAGCCTGCTGTGGATTGGCGCGCCTTGGGATTGCGTCGCTTATGCTTACGGTCCATGAAGCGACAGGCTGTCTTGGTGAAAGTTGCCGAAGTATATGCTTTTCGAATGCATCAGACATAAAAGTCGTTATGTAATCATGAGCGGTTATCGAAGTCGGCAACTTGATTTCACTACGGTATACACCAGCGTACACGGTGACTAGAAGATAAAGGTATAATAGCTCAGCTATATAATGCTAGGTGCTCGAATTTGAATAAATTGGGTATCACTACAATGATTCTTTTTTGAAAACCACAAGTGCCAATACTACGGGGAGGCAACAACGTGGGCATTGAAGTTATATGTCGTTGGCTCAGCTTCAAAGGTGAAGTTCGTTGCCTGTAGGTCAATAACGGTCTGCCCTCCTCGGGTTAGTGTCCCATGCATGGTCCCGCCAGGTTGAATGGACACAGATAACTTCGAAACACCAGCAGAAACATTGAAAGTTTGAGATTGGGTAGAAGAGGTGGAAAGCACGACTGTAGCAGGAGAAGTCGCCAGGACTACGGCCCAAACCTTGTCTTGGGTCTGGATTCATCGTCAGTGGAATACGCAACATCATATCAACAAATCACGTACAATTTGATAGTTTGTTGGTTTTCCAACCGGGTCGTTTGAAGCGGAAGCCGCCGCAGGATGTGGACGAGACCACATTACGAGTTGATCTTTGGTCAGAGTAGGGTACGTTCCCGTCTTGAAGGCTGATGCGTAATAGGACGTCAGGTTGAGCCAGCCTAGGGTACATGGGTTAGCATAAGTTGGCTCATCTGCATAGATCAGTGAATGCGCACCAGTGTGATCGTTTCCATCAACCCATGCTTGACTCATGGGTTGGTCGCCCTCTATCGGACCAATATAATGCGATTCTCCGAAATCATTCCAAGAGATGATTTCTACTATATCCACCTGGTCGCGGATATTGATCAACGACTCCCACCGAGTAGCGTACAAGTGCTCATCGCCGAAGTACATCCACTACAGCAGCTTTGTGAGCGTATGCAACATGCGCGATGGAAGGATGACCCACATTTTTATTGTAAGATGACGGGCCGTAATGGGTGAAAAACCACGGAGATACAGATGCCATGTACGTTCGACCGCCACCCATTGCAGTCAAACTCGAGATGTATGTATCGTCTGGAGTTGTTGATCCGATGACGCCAGATAATGCTGAGGAGACAGCGGAGGATTGTCCAGTAGCAATGTCTCCAAGCAGACCTAGGGACGATACGAATGAAGTAGTGACTTGGGTCGGCCACGCGGAATTCCACTGAGAATATTCAAACTTATGCAGAATACCATATTGGAGGAGCTTACGTTGAACATGCCATCAATCACACTGCTGTAGGTATTGAACTGTGATGGATCGATGAAAAATGATGGCACAAAATGAACCGCGGAAGATCCTGTCAGTTGTTGCACAAATTGAGTCGACCATCCAGAAGCGACAGATCCTTGTCCAAAAGTGCAAGTTTCTCCAGAGAAAGTTGAGGCAAAAACGCGACCATTGTAAAGTAGCTGATTAGGGTGTGCGGCGTAAGTTGTTATATAAGTACGAAGAGTGGCGGCGTTGGCAGCTGTGCTACAAGGCAAAGAACTACACGAATGAGGATTCGCTGGGTAAAAGAAAACGAATAACCAACTCACGACATATCAAAGGACAGAAAAAGTTTGAACCCAGTTCCAGACTGGAGCGCTGCTTGGTAACTATTGATTGGCTGAATCAGAAGTCTGTTACTCAGTAAAGAGCATCATGGGACCTACGCATTGGCCACCTGCGAAGGCTGCCAATCATCCACTCCTACGTTCAAAGCGAAGCCGTCGATTCCACTGGAATGCGCAAGGAAAACGTCCGCGAGCCAATTATCCACGGTATAGGGGTACGCATTTCCGACCATGAAGTGCGCAATGACATATTTCGATGATGCAGTAGGAGAGCTTGTCCCGGTAGGCACCTGAGAAGTCGTCGTCGCGGTTGCAGAGACAGAAGAAATAGGTGTCATGCTGGACGATGATTTAAACGAACTGGAAAGACCGCGTGGTAATTTGAGGTTCGAATGTTTTCGTATGTGGCTAGTTAGATACAATTTTGAAGCTCAAAGGGGAAGCTTGGGAAAGAGCGATAAAAGAAAGTGCAATGAATGGAAGGCGGATGAGCACTGACAGTGCCACCATGATTCAAAAGAGTGTTGGGAAAAATGCGACAGTGAAAGCGAATGAAAAATTTGCGGCGCGGCCGCCACGGGTACTGGTAGTAAGACGAAGACGAAGACGAGGACGAGAGAAAAACATGCGTTTTGGATTCATTGTTTTTATAGGAACTAAGACAGCGCTTGCTCATGGGAGAGAAGTTTAGACCATTTGAATGTTGTAACAATGAGCAGTTAATGTCCGCCCCTGTCCGTGTGCTTATCAAGTACTTTATTGTTCCTGGTTACTAATCACGTGATCTATACAATGAATTAAATTCAAGCTGAGGGAAAATGGGCGCAGACTCGGCGAACCCCTTGCCATGACCCCCACGTTTCCAAGCTGAATTCGAGCGACCTTCTTATGACTGCATAGCTTGAACCCCCAGGAAGGCGATGAAATAGTCAGGCTCTACCCTTGCATGCATGCAGTACTAATAGTTACTATGTATATGGTATAAGTAGAGGTAGCCTTGGGTATGGTATGGTGTCTCGGCGTCCTCCCGGACGACATAGATGATTCCATGAAGGCACTGATGCAATCGTACATAAAGTATTTCCCCTAGGTGACTATATCTCAATACCGGCATGGGTGAAACCCCGTGACCCCTAACGTACTTATCTTCCTAGGGCTGACTTCGTCAGTTGCTAGATGGTTACACGTTCCATTAAAAAAAATAAGTAGAGGTAATGAGTCTTCTGAACCAAACCTGTGTGTTCGCATCGTTAGAGTTTACAAAATATTCGTCAGACATAGTCAGGCTATCAGTGCAAGTTATAGTGATGCCCCACAGGCCGCGTCAACCGACTAGCACAAGTAATTCGTATCGGTGTTCTTGGGTTTGCTGGGGAAACGGACCTTGCAGGCAAAAGGCAACGCTTCGACTAATCACGTCACTGGTCGTATACAAGGTTGCGTGTTACCTGATGAGCAACTGGCCTGACTGGGTGAGAAGTGCGTGCTTCAGAATCACCACTTCGGTTTGCGCAACGCTTTCTTTTGGTGTAAGGTATTCTTCCCTCTCGCGCCCCTCACGGCCTGCAGATCCTCAAACTTCCTCTTCGCATATCGTCGTGCTTCCGCGTCGTCGACCAACTCATCGACCAAAGTCCTCTTGCGATGTGCGCGAGGAAGGTTATCCGTGCTTGCTGTGCCGAATGGTGTGTTCGTAGTGACAATCGTGCCGATCTATGGGAAAGTAAGCCCAATGTGTGATATTATAGATGATCTCAGAAACATACAGCGAAGTGTTTTGGAAGTCCTTTAATACCTTTACCATCGCCGTCGTCTTTACGGTAGAAGCGCTTGGGATCTAGTTGATTGCGCAGGCGGAGAGCTTCTACTTCGCGGTGCAATCGGGGCAAATCAGCTTCAGCAGGTGCCGGAAGGTCAAACCAGCTTGGACCAGCAGTTTGATTTCTCATCTGGAAGAATACACGTCCGTGAGTCCTTCACTTGATAGGATCATACTTGTGAACTTACAGTTTTTCGCTGTTTTTTAGTTGACATTTTGCCGGTAAGCATTGGTTTTGGAGGGGGTGCAGGAATAACGGTTCCAGAGGTAGCTGCTTCTGCACGCTGTATGTCTGGGTCTCGTACAGTCGCTGGGGCGTCACGTCGACCTTTCACAAATTCAAAATATGCAGGCGGAAGTTCTCCAGGATCCAATGGTGGCAATGGCCTACAGTGCAATTCAGAAAAACAATGAAACAACATCCTTCATAATATGTAGTACCTCTCCGAATCGTCACCAAGCTTGATAATGTCTTCTCCAGCACCGAACGCATTTCCTCGGAGTGCCTTTTTCAAGTTAGCTGACTCTCGAGCATTCGATTTTGCTTTGTCCAAAAGAGACTGCAAGTATTCTTGAGTAATTTCTTCATCATCCGAGTCCGAGTCTGAGTCGCTATCGGAAGATGTATCTGAGCTAGAGCTTGACTGTGAAGAGCTTTCCGACGCCAGGTCGTCGAAAGAGATGAAGTCATTTTGTGTAGCCTTCTGTTTTCCTTTATCTTTCGCTGCTATTGGGCTTCCTGGTGCTGCAGGCGAGATCGACATGGTAAAACTACACGGTGTAATGTAGAATTTTATGTATGCATGTAAAAGTTTGCATGTAAAAGTTTTCTTTACACCGAGTCTGTACAGTTGCTGGGATTAGGACCGTGACAGATCCTTGCGTGACGTCACAAATGGTCACATCACACTAAATGATTAACCCGACGGGGTGATGGCACAGGAAGTTAAATTTTACTTAAAAACTACGCAGTTGGAGACGGGACCGAAGCAAGTGCATTCCGGAGTACGGACACACAGGAAGGTGCATAAGCAGCCTCCGGGACTTATGCTAGACCGGGGAATCGTCGATGTTCATTGTAATCAGTGAAGTCAGCGTAATCGGTGGTGTCGAGAGTCGATTGTTCTTACGGAACCTCGCAAGAATGTCGTGGAGATTTTGCGGACCTTGCGTAACTGTCAAAGTTCGTTTGAGCTGGTAAAATTGGCGAGTGATAAGAGGAAACAAAGTTGACGAAACATCGGCGTGATGGATACTGATAAGCAAACGGTACCACGCGGAGAAAAGATGGAAAAATGTCAGCGGAATGTCAAAGTCAAAAGTAATTTCTTGCAGAAAGGGCGATCTTATACGTCACATCGGCGAACGAGCGCAGACTGAGCGTAAGAGGTACGAACGCGGACGTAGTACGTCGGTTTTCGGGTAGCTAGTCCGCGTGGTGTTGTTAAATGGGCGCAGATCTGCCCCCTAGCAGGAGCATGATACACCTATTGTGAAAGGGGATGGTCGATTAAATCCCTGTCAGCCGCTACAGGGTCGTAACAGAGTTTGGCGGGGCGCGCGTGATCGGGGGGAATAGTATCGATGACAGCGAATGATAAAATTTGGCGGTATTTCATGTGCTGCAGGAGATATTCAATCTAGACGCTCGAGCATTGCTGTATGCCTATCGCACTCCAGCGTCCGGAAAAGTCCGTGTTGATGCATGGAACAAAAGGAAGGGCTTGGCAGGAGGGGACCGGGAACACGAAATTCAAGTCGGAGGGCTCGCGACCGTAGGGTTCCTTCTATATTAGATCAAGTCCCAGGATAAAGCTTGAAGTTCGACATGATGGGGATTTCTGACTGTTTCGCTTGAATTTTGCACGAAGATAATACCATGATTCATATGTACTTGAAATCAAACGCGGTCATTGTCATTCGGATTTTCAATGACCTCGAATTATTCCAAGTATCTGGGATGCATCATGACTCATTTGGAACACGCAACCACTATGCCATTGTTGTCGCATCCAAGGACCTGCATCCACACCTCGGCGACACCATCTTCTTCGCATCCAACCTGCATTCCGTTGTCCTTCAAGATGATGTACTCCCTTGCTGGGGTCTGCATGACGGCAAGAGCCGGGTGCAATGGCACGCCTTTTGGTGTGGTAAAGTGAACACTTTCAACATGATGATGGCTACGAAGGAGTATTGAGAGCACTGAGTCAAAGTACGAGTGCAGTGCTTACGCTGGTAGGTAAAGATTGATCTTCGGTGTTCTCCCTCTGGTAGTGACGAGAGTCGATTGAGACGGCAGACCTGCAAACTCTTGCGCCATCTGGTTAGAGGACATCCACCGACCACTGATGCTGTTCGTCAATTGTCAATACAGTGTTCCAAAGCGAACAATCGCATTCAGAAGATCACCTGTTGGCGACCACACATGCCATGACATATCGCTCAGCAACCACCTTTTTCGCTAAGCCAACATCGCCTTCACCAAAAATACGACGCAACCAATGCCTGCTTATTCCTCGGTCATATTCCTCGTAGTTCGCCCAACGGAGGTGTTCCGAGATCAAGTTACGAGGCTCCACAGAAGCACCAGTGCAAGACGAGATGTATTCTGACCAGTCGGCGCGCAAACCAGAGGAGTAGACTTCAAGTTGAGGAGCGTTGAATGCCCTGCCGATGACTTCGCAAGTGGATTCCAGTACGTAGAACTCGGATAGCGAATTGCCGTCTCGAATGGTGATCGCCCAAATCTCACCTTTGACAACTTCTTGGGCATCTTCCACAGTATCTTTTAGCCATGCCGATGGATCTCGCCCATTCGTCCCGGTAGAGAGCGTAAACCAAAGCCTTGTGAGGACAAATCTGAACCTAATGCTCAACTGTGCTCTGTCCGCCATCAAAAACAACATACCTCAGCGCGATGACCACCTGCTTCTCGTCATCTGGGCTCGCCCAGATGCGTGCAGATAGAGGGTCGATCCACGGCGAAGAATTGTATCTTCCAACGAAAGTAATTTTGGAATGTCTGTCTCCGGAAAGCCACTTCGTTCTGACGCTGACGCAGGTAGGGCCACATGTTCGTCGTGTTCTGCGGGAAGCGCTTCATTATTTGGTTTAGACGGTGACCGTGATACTTCTGAGTGAGTATATGCGCGGCAGAAAGGTATACTGGATGGAAACGTCGTTAGGCATTTCCATGCAAGACCTCCGGATACCCAGCGTCATGTTACCTGCATAGCGAAATGCCCGAGAAACTAGGACGCAAATATGACGATCTTGATCAGAGAGCGCGGCTAGGATTATTGCCCATCTTTGAACCTGTTTCCTGTCGGATAGCTTAGGCGGAAATGTGATGTTCACGAAGGATGGTGTCGAAAGGGGGGCGGCCTCAAAGCTAAAGGTATCTGAGGGTGTGCAAGTAGTTTCGTCGGCCGAGTGGTCGTTGAGGGCAGTGGCTTTCTGCGAAATTACTGGAGTACTAGCCACAATCGGAATCCTTGTGAAAACGAGAGGTTTGAATCGGCCTTGACGGTTTGTTGTGGACTCTTTCTGGACGAGCTGGGCATCTCGAAGCTGAGCCACGATAGGTACTGCTTTTGAAGAGACGCTCGAGTTGCGTGGAAGACCCTCAGCCGCCGATTCGGTGACAGATATCAGACCAGTATGCAATTTGAGGGTTCCAGCAGACGTGGATGGCTGAGTCGTGGAGGTCGAGGAGTCGGCATCCCAGATAGATGCAGCATTTACAGGAGAAGGCTTTTGCCTTTTTGCAGACTTAAAGATAGCAGAGACGCGGGGTCGTTTCGTGCCATGGTTCTCGTCGGGAGCCTGGACGTCAGGGCTTGATGCAGCGACAACTGTTGTTGATGAATGGCGGACAGTGGCAGCTGAGGGACCCACTATACAAGACGCCGGCAGTGTTTTGGGTTGGGGAAATAGTTTTGCAGATATATTAGGGGTTGAGTCTTTGTGTGCTGTCTGTGTATCGTGAGTGGGATCGAGAAAACTTGTAACTCCAATCGAGAGTGCAGGAGCTAGGCTTGAAGCTGGGTGGCTTGTGTGTTCAACTGGTACTGTTATTTCTGATGTCGATATTGCTTGGATCGGAATCGCGGGCTGAGGGTTGTGGACATTATTATCGGTTAATTTCTGGAGGAGAGCAGCTTTTCCGAGTTTTGAATACCCGACAATGCGGCATTCTTTGCACAACGCTTTGAGCTGGGGAACCGTAAGCTTCGCGAGGTCACCTGCCAGCGAGGACGTGGTGGACATGCTGAAGTTGTCGTGCACGTCGAGGTCTAAGGGTGTTCCATAATTATAAACTTTATTTAAGGAGCCTACTACTAGGTAACTGCTTATATATAGGGTCATTCAGAGTAGGATTTAAAACATATCCTGAAGAGTCAGGATGCACCATGACAGTTCAAAAGTTCGCTTGAAATTTGTGAACTTTAAGCTCCGTTCAAACAAGACGCTCAGAGAAAATGTCTTAAGTCTTATGGTAGGGTTAGGGTTAGCTGCCCTGGTCAAAATTTCATGAAGCACCGGTGTAGACATTTTCGTAGTCTACATATACAAAAGAACCACTAATTAGTCTCACTAGCCTCGCGAGAGCACAGATCGTAAGGATTAGCCAGTAAAAGGATTCTCCGGACACACACCTGGAGAAATCTGATGAATACTGCATGAACACTAGATGCTGGATCACAGATGGACAAACGTGTGCAAACGAGTCAGGGAGAATGCATGTGGTAGAAGCTGTAACAGATTGATGCACAAGGTGCATCTACGAGCAGGAAGACTGAGGGGATGGAGTACTGGTGCGAGAGCAACTCGCAACGTGAAGGGATGGAGTCCTGGTGTGCGAGGAACATGCCTAAGTGAACAAATGTGTCAGCATCATCATTTGCAAGAGGAGTGACTTGCGTACCATGGGAGCACCATTTTTTATGATTGACAGAAGGCAGAGTGCGTGATCAACATTGGGATCAGATGACAGAAGGTTCACATAGGGCTCGTTATCGTCGGCTTCGGGATTAGATGAGAGCAGATGCAGATAAGGTGCTTTGTCATGAATATCTGAGCTTTGCGGCAGCTGGTGGAGTCTTCGTACTCTGTGGGCGTCGAGGGTACTTGAACACACCAGAAAGTGACGGGAATTTGAGTACTTGCCAGTGGCACATTTGCTACCTGTGTGTTGGTACGTGCTGTGCGAGGATCTACATCTGTTGCGTCTTCTTCAAATTCAGTGTGAGAGGAGGAATCATAGGTGTGTTTTTGAAGCTTTGCAAGCATCACAGTGTGTGTTTGCTAGTAGTGTGGAGCTCGACGTTGCGCTCGACAGGCAAGAGATGAATTCAAACTCCGCTCCGCTGCAACGACTCATACCATGCCCCCTCGTTGGTCCATTCACAATCAACTCCTCGAGGAGATTGATACTGCTACTCTGGAGGTAGCAACGGCTCTTTATGATCATGTTATGAAAGATGATTCTGACTCGGACTCCGATTCTAATTCTATCATGAGTCTCTCCCCACCCTCCCCAATATCCCCCTATTTCTCTGACTTTAGCAGCAACTCTAGTAACTCTAGTAACTCTGGTGATATGATCACACACTACAGTCGCCTCCTTGGTGCAATCTCTGCTCTTCGCGATGAGGTTGAAGCTTCGGATGTTTTCAATCAACCAAATCACCCTATTCCACGAGCTCCACAGATCCAGCTCTTAACTCACTTTGCCGAGGATCACCCTGATTTGTTTCGCCAGAAATTGCATGTAAACCCTGATATTTTTGACGCCATCTTAGATCAGATCAGCAGTCACTCGATTTTTCAAAATAATTCAAATAACCGTCAGCTCCCCATTGCCCTACAGCTCGCTGTCTTCCTGAATTGTGCCGGGCACTATGGAAATGCAGCTTCAAATCAGGATATCGCCCAATGGGCGGGGATTGGTGTTGGGTCTGTCACCAATTGTATGAACTGAGTAATGGTAGCACTGCTACATCAGCACAACAAGTTTATATCCTTCCCGACGGCCGATTCTGATGATGCGGAGAAGGCCCGTGAGTGGGTAGAGGACAAGACCTGCCCAGAGTGGCGAAATGGCATATTTGCCATCGACGGATCTGCAGCTAACCTGATGAATAAGCCTGGGCTTCACGGCGAGGTATTTTTCAACAGGAAAAGTACCTACTCTCTTAACTGCCAGGTTTTTTTTTCCCCGCTATTTTGTATGTTTGATTTAATTTTTGTTGCAGTTGGTCATCATGCCGCATAACCTCCTTATAGCCGACTATTCTGTCGGCCATGCGGGAAGCACGCACGATGCATATGCATTTCAATCAACTCGGCTTTATCGGGAGCATGCAGACCTACTTGATAACAACCATTGGGTATGGGCAGATAGCGCATATCCAGTAGAGACGTGGTGCATTCCACCATTCAAGAAACCACGGAATGGAGCCTTGATGCGCAATCAACGAACATTTAATTATCACCTTTCTCGTGTATGTACTCTGAATGTCCTGAGAATTCTGTTAATTTAACGTGGTTCAGGTTTGGGTTTGGGTTGAACATGCCTTTGCAGCTCTTAAAGGACATTTCCAGTCTCTTCGGGAGCTTCGTCACCCTATCACTGCAGAAAAAGACCTTCACTATTCAAGTTATTGGATTTTATGTTGCTTCATTCTCCACAACATGATTGTTCGGTTTGAGGAACAGCACGAGAGCGAAGACACGGTCGAGTGGGCTCGTTGAGAAGGGGCACAGTTTGTGGCTGCAGTGGAGGATGGTATAGGTGATAACCCTGTTGATGGTACTCCAGGTCAACAGCGTCGGATAGAGCTCATGAATCTCTTACTCGACAGTCCTTACAGCGCTGATGCAGAGCGTAGAGACTAGTAGGTATCCCATTGAAATTTGTATTAGTATGCGAACAACAAAGGACATAGGCCTATTACGAGCATGCTAAACGAAACGAAGCGAAAATGAAAACAGCAGCAACAGTACCTGATGATGATGGCTAACAAAACATATGTTCGATGTACAAACAAGCGCGGGCATGCAGCGGTCAACAATGGTGGCCAATGATGAAACAAGTACAATCAGGATGCATGCAATGAAGATTCGGTGACGGCTACTTCGTGCTGGAGTTGGAGTTGGAGCTGCTGCTCTCCTAGCTGCAGCTCGAGGCGGAGAAGTTCCATCTCAGACGCATGTGTCTGAGCTTTGGCTTGCTCGAGATGAATGTCGGCATTCTTTGATTCTAGCGTGTGCTGATGATCAAGTGAAGAGCTCAACTGCTGAATCAACTGTTTGCTGAGAGAAAACATCTGGTCCCGTTCCTTTTCATGGATCTGCAACTTGAGCATCTTCTGGTCTGCTTTCGCAGCGTAGTGCTCGGATACTACCCCCTGTGCAATCAACTGTGCCTTGTCACGAACATCGGTGATATCAGACTGCACGCGTTTGACGCTCTTAGCCTTGGTGGAGGACAATGTGTTTGTTGTCGGCGAAGGCGTGGGAACAGATCCAGATGAAGAGCATGATTGTACTGATGAGCTTCTGATAGAGGATGCGATAGAAGGAGGGGGCCGGCGAGGCTTGGAAAGAGATGTGCGGCTGAAGGCACGGTTTGCATGAGGTGTAAATGATGCACGCGAGTCGGACGCTGGGGTGTGGGGTGACATTGTAGGTGGAATAATAGTATCCGGAGGTGGCAAAGGGGAGAATGGGCGCGGACGCTTGTCAACACGATTCTCGTAGGGAACTGCAGTCTCATATCCCGCCGTCTCATAATCTTCGTCGGCATCAGCATTCATCTCACTGTCACCGCCATTCACCTCGGTGATCATTGTGCTATCGTCCAGGGTGTCATATTTGTCATTGTCATCCACAGATGACGCAGTTTGAGGGAGCTGCTGGGTATGATCAATACTGGTTGGAGGGAGGTCCTGAGAGGGGTCTGGGCCACCCAGTTCATTGGCATTGGCATTGGCATTGTAAGGATCTTCATCGTCATCCGGAGCTGGGCAGCTACCAGCAGTGGATGTAGAAACAGGAGCACTTTTCGTGTGCATGATAGACAGAAGAAGGCTAGAGTGATCAACTTTCGGATCGGATGAAAATGCCTGGGGGGCATATGATGGGATGCTGCGCCACAACTCATCAAGGTCATCATAGGTCGGAAGCTGTCTTAGTACATCCTCTACAAGCTAATCAGCATCAGTCGTGTTTTATCAAATAAAAAACTTACCACGTAGATTGGCCACTGCATTTGGATCAGTGGGATCAACTCCACTGCCGGTCTGGGTAAACCTTGTTCGTTGTGTTCGATATTTTTTAAGACTAGGTAGATTAGCATATAAAAGTGAAAGAAATAAAAAACACTCACAACGCAAGACGGTTCGCAACTGCTACTGCAAACTTGTTTGGACATGCAGCATATTGGCCGCTATAGTGGGCATCATTGGCAAAGACCTCCCATGCGATGATGGCATGGATGCGACCCTTTTCTTTGCCGGAAGGCTGCATGCTGCTGTTGTCGTCCTGCATGGTTTGGATCTTCTTCTTTTTGTCCTCGCTGAAAAGTATGCGACAGTCCCCACGATGCGCCATAAGGTAGGCAACAAGGGGGAAGGTGCGATCTATGCACCCACTTTCCCATTTGATGCTGAATCTTGGGGGGCGGACGTGGACAGTAGTAGTGCTGGTGGCAGTTGTGGTAGTGCTGGTGGCGGCCATGGTAGTGCTGGTGGCAGCAGGAGGAATGTTGACAGGGGCAGGAGCACTCGCATCCGTGGCATTAGCTGAATCAGCGCATCTTCCTCTTGTCCCTCCCCTAGTCCCTCTTGTCCCTCTCATTTGGCCTCTCACCCTACCTCGGGTGATCCTCTGTGGGTCGCTCATGGATGATATGGGGACAGTCGCAAGTCTTCGCAGTCATTCAGACCGCCGTACATGAGGGCGAAGGGCAGGCATCGCACTTAAAACTCTGCATCAAAATTGCCGCATGGATGCCGTGCATTGGACTGTGTTAGAGCGCTTACTGAAATTTCAGGAAGCGACTCTGAATATCACTTATGTAGTACATGTGACTATAAGTACTCTACCGATCAACCGTGACAATTGAACTTCCTACTAGGCTAGATCTGGCACTTAGACTGGATGGTCGTTGGACTAGTAGTTTGCTCTCAAGCTTCAAGCTTCAAAGTACACACACTCATGATTCGATTCCAACTCGAGTTCGGTCGCCTCCACTGGAACAAAAATTAACTTGATCAAGCACCACCTTCTGCTTCTTGTACTGATTGTTGATAATCAGGAAACACACACCACAATGATGATTATCTAACACAGCCCAGCGATTGCACATGGCACCGGAGGTACATTCTGAAGAGACACACTTATAAGGAGCATGTGAGCTGATGCAGGTGTAGAAAGTAGAAACTAAGAGACAGGTCTCAGCGTCGGTGAAAGAACTGCTGAGACATTAATAGTACCTAAGAGACAGGTCTAGAGACAAAACAATGTAAGTGAGAGACGGCATGCAGAATGAATGTGAACTGTACCTCAGCGTTGGTGAAAGAACTGCTGAGGTACAAACAATGTGATACAACTAAATTATAAGCTACACTATAGAGTCCATGATGGCGATCAAGAAAAAGGAATACGAGGTCGATGTTGAACATCCAACACACCCCCTCAACGAGACAACGAAAATGAGAGACAAAACAGAACATTTGCCTCAATGAGACACAAGCGCAAGACCAGAACAATGATGAATGAATGTGGGACGGGGTAAGAGTTTGGTGAATATGTCGGCAGTATTTTTATGAGTTGACAACCAGATGGGCAAGAATGTTTTATCTTTGATATGACGACGGATGAAGTGGTAATGGAGATTGATGTGTTTCATTTGAATGTGATTTGCAGCCTCCTTTGATAGAGCGATGGCACCAGCATTGTCTGCGAATAGTTGCAACGGCAGGGGTAGAGGGATGCTGAGGCACCCAAAGAAGGACTGGAGCCAGAGGCCATCTTGAATGGCCGAGGTGAGCACCATATATTCTGCTTCAGTGGACGAGAGAGCCTGAGTGGTTTGCTTCTTCGCAGAGTGCGAGACGGGGCCACCGTTGAAAAACCAGACATATCCCGAAATTGATATGTGATCCTCAGGGCACAAGGCCCAGTCAGAGTTGGAGAACCCATGCAGACTTGGGTTGATTCCTACACCCCCGTAATGTGCGTGAAGAGTTCTTGTACTGGTGAGATAACGAAGAACGTGTTTGGCAGCTGTATAGTGTTTAGGTTTGGTGGAGACGTTGTACTGTGCCAGTCGCATGACGGTAAGTGCAATATTGGGGCGAGTGTACATGGCAAGGTAAAGGAGTTCACCGACGAGTTTGCGATATTCGGTCTGAAGGTCGTTAACGTGAGGGAAAATGTCAGTTGGATGGCCAAACGGAAAGGTGGGGTCCATGGGCAGTGCTACTGGGTTGCAATCTGACATGCCATGCTCCGCCAGCAGATAACCGATGTAGTCCTCCTGATGCATCCATAGTTCACGAGTCTGGCGATCACGGATGAATTGAATGCCGAGATATTTCGTGACAGGTCCAAGGTCAGTGATACCAAAACATTCAGCAATTTGCACCTTTGTTCGGTCAAGGAAAGTGTGATTGTTTGATCCTGCGAGTCTGTCATCAACGGGCCATGCGATGATGCAGATTATTCTCACCCCCTTGCCGTTGACATGGTCAAAGATGAAAACGGCGTAGTCAGTGTAGCAGTGTAAGAACCCGAGATGAGAGAGGACTTCACGGAGGAGTTCATACCAGTCATAAGCAGCCTGTTTGAGACCATAGAGAGAGGAAAGGAGATGGGTGACTAGGCGGAGACCATTGGGACCAGTGCACTCGAAGCCTGGGGGTTGACGCATGTAGACGTCTTCTTGGAGTTTGCCCCACAAGAAGGCACACTTCGTGTCGAAGCAATCGAGTTCCCAATCGTTGACTGCAGCATAAGCGGAAAGAACACAGATAGAGGTGAATTTGGCCACTGGGGCAAAGGTGTGTCCGAAGTCGACGCCTGGAATCTGGGAAAAGCCCTGCGCTACCAGTCTCACCTTGAATACAGGACTGCCCTTGAGATCCTCCTTGAATTCTAGTACCCAGCGGCACCCGATGGTGCGACGGTTGTCAGGCAGTGGTACGAGTTCATATACCTTCATTTCTGACATTAGGTTCATCTCTTTATGCATCGCGGCTAACCAATGGTCGTGATCTGGACGACAGAGCGCTTCGTCATAAGTTGCAGGGGGAACCTTGAGATCGTAACCAGGGGACAGAGGATTTCGGCATGTGTCACTGCGGACGGACAGACAAGCCATTTCCACAACAATGAGGTTAGCAATGACCTCGGGGAAGCCAATTTTGTCATCATCAGGGTTGATTGCATCAGGGTCGACAACTGTGGGAGGTGGGCGGTCAGGCATGCGAGCGGGAGCATCGACGATCGGTGCAACAGGTATGAGAGCATCCAAGGAAGGTGGCGGAATGCCCATGAGACACGCGATGCGAACCTCACGTTGTCGAGCGAGACGCACTTTGTCGGCAGCAATGCGACCCTTAAAGAGTTGGCCCTTCTCAGTTGAGATTGGGATGCAACCTGAACGACAAATAATATCAGCGTGAGGAGGTGGAGGTGGGATGATGATGGTAGGAGGAGGTGCCGGCAGGAGTATAGCATCGTCGTCCTCATTGTCACTGTCAGGGAAGGGGCGGTTGGACAATCCTTCGTCAAAGATGACATCGTGTGAGTTGAAGAAAGCGCCAGTGACGATGTTGCGACATCTCCAGGCTTTGACGCCTGGGGGGTATCCCATGAAGATGGCTTCGCGAGAGCGAGGTCCAAGTCTTCGCTGTAGCTCTGTCAGGATGCGCACAAAACAACGAGCACCGAAAATGCGTAGGTGGCCCAGATTCGGTTGAGTGCCATGCAGCATCTCATATGTGTTACAGTAACATGAGCGTTACACATCATTTCATTCTTCGAACTCGTCTAGACCTGGACCATGGTTACGATTCTACTTTTATCTCTTTCTTTTTGATCCCATTGTTCTGAAACACGAGAAGCTCTCGCTTCTACCCCTAGATCATAGAAGCCATGGCTTCTACCACACCCTATGCCCTTTCCACTGTTTCGGTTCTCTCATTGATGGGGATTCCCCATGCCCTTTGCCCTTACCGTTCAACCGGTACTACTTACCCTTTCCGGTATGTGACTCATACATACCCTCAACCCTTACTGTTACTCCAGTATTGTCTCCGTACCCTGTACCCTTACCATTCCACCAGTATATCACCCTTACGTATATATATATATCTCACTTGTACTGCAGATAGATTCTCTAACTTGAATCTACTCGGTTCTCATCTGATCTTGTCATTGGGTCTGAACTTCTCTTGCCTAAGAGAACTCCCTCTGCACAAAGAACCATCTTCTCTTGAGACGATACTCTTGAGTTGAACTCCATCTCTTGGATCGTATCCTTGAGAAACTCCAATCAACTCTATGCAAGTAAGGGCCTCAACCCTTACTCAGACTTAGCGCAGGCAAGCTCCTTGCTGGGCTAGCGCCGAAGGCCATGCTTCGAACGCCCCTTGCGGGTTTAGCGCCACCAGATCTCATCCGAGAGGTTTCGCGTAACAATATGGAGTTTTCCCCGCAGGTAGTGCACGCGATTCTGTCCGATTAAATAGATAGCATGCAGTGAGAGCTGCCTCACCCCACAAAGAGCCTGGCAAACGGGCAAAGTCCAGCATCGCATACATACAACCTTTGATCGTACGCATCACCCTCTCTGCTTTCCCATTCTGCTGATGAGCTTGGGGAGCAGAGTGTTGACGCTGGACACCTGTTTGCTCAAGATCTGCCGTAAAGGCATCATTGATAAATTCCCTGCCATTATCGGAATGAAAAATCTTTACACGCCACCTGGACAGGTTTTCCCAGTGGGCGTGCAGTGCGCGCCAGGCATCTAGAGACTGATCTTTGGAGGCAAGGAGTTGGAGATCAAGTGCGTGTGTATGGTTGTCAAGAAAGACAATGAAGTAGTGCTTGTTGTGAGGAGTGAGTGTGGGAATGGGACCGCAGAGGTCAGAGTGAATTAGATCGAGGAAACCGGATGCATGTTCAGTCTCAGACGGATGAAAGGGTTGATGAGGGTGCTTGGCCATGATGCATGATTCGCAGTGAGAGAGAGGTGTGGTAGAATTGATGGTAACGCCCTTGGCAATGCGACTGAGTCGCAACACCGCCTCCTTTCCAATATGTCCGATTCGAGCATGCCAAAGGTCCAATGAGAGAGGAACGTGAGCGAACGCCGACATTTCAGGGTGAGGCAATGATGCAGTTGACGGCATGGAGGCCAGAATGAACTCCATGTCTGCAGCATATAGTTTCCCGGTGGCTGGTATTGCACCAAGGAGAGTGCCTTTGTAGGTGAGTTCGCAGGTCATATTGGATCTGAAGTTGACATCCCACCCCTTCGCGTTCATGCAACTGACGGATAGAAGATTGAGTAAGGCACCCGGTGCATGAAGGCAGTTGGATAACCGTATATGAAGTCGTTTCCCCCCGATGGTGAGCCATGCAATGCAGGAGCCGCGGCCGGTGGTTTGCAAGATACCGTGATTAGTGGTGCGCACTGGAATGGGGTCTGCATCAGAATAAGTGTGGAAAAAACGCTTGTCCTTGACGAGGGTAACGGTAGTGCCAGAGTCCAAAATGGTGGAGAACGGGAGGTTGACGGCACAGGATACATTGTCTGGAAGCTCTGTAATTGAAGCAAAAGACATGTCGTCCATAAGACTGCTGAGTCCAGTGACAGCCACCGCGATGGGAAGTGTAGGAGTAAGAGCAGGAGTAGGAGCTGGAACGGGCACTGTGGTAGCAGCTGCAGCAACCGCGGACTCCTTGTCCTTCTTCTTATTCTTCATCCAAGGAGCCTGACCTTCCATTCCACCACCTTTTCCATAGCAGTGAGCATGGTCATGATCACCCTTGCTGCAGCCAGGCGTGGTGCAGAACACCCCCTGGGGGTTGTGCTTGTGCATGCACAGACTGGTGATGGAATTGGTGCCGCTCACGTTGGGAGTGGTGGCAGCATTGGCATACTCTGAACCTGGACACGAGGAATGCGCATGCTGGGTCACAACATGGTGTGCAGCCTCAGACGTGACGCGAGACACACAACTCTCGAAGGTAAAAGTAGGTACAGATGCTGACGTGGCGGTCATCGACTCATTGTGCATATGCTGTTCGAGAAGAGATTTGAACTGCTGCCAGATTGGGGTTTGAGGGAGCCCCATTAACATATGGTAAATGGTGTCAGTTTCGCCCCCAAGGTGCACCAGCATCCATTAAGCGCTCGCGGAAAACCGCATGTTGCGCGACGTAATTGGTGGTGTCAGCGGAGTCCTTCATGCGCAGCGCTTGTACCTGCTGTCTTAGAAGATACTGTGTGCTCATGTCGGTCCGGTTGAAATGATCTTGTAGGACCTGCCAAGCTTTACGTGCGGAGACGGTGTGAGAACGAGGAATGAGTGATGCGACGGACGAGCTCAGTCGCCGAGTAATGAGTTCCTTGGCCTTCATGTCTTTGAGCAACCATTCACGCATCAGCGCTGTTTCAGCGTCCATGGGTTTAGCTTTATCGACTGGTAAAGGTATGTATGAGGGAAGACCGAGGAGATCCCCTGGTTCGGATTTTGTGTTGATGTGGCACCAGTAATCTTCGCATGCAAGAGCATACTGCATCTTGGTAGCCCAACCAGTATAATTCTCCATTCCAAGCAGCTCGGGGATGTGATCATGTTTCCCCATGACGATGCCGTCGTGGAGGGAAATGAGATAAGTGAGCGGCGGGCACTAACTGAGTGAATTTCTGTTCGAAGTTTTGGTTTCTGGCTCAACTTGAGCCAGGGCTCATAACCTGTAGAAAGTAGAAACTAAGAGACAGGTCTCAGCTAGTGATGTGGAGGGCCAGGGCTCAGGCCCACAGGCCCACCCGGCCCAGCCCTCCAGAGGCCCAGCCCAGCCCAGCCCTATGAGTGGGCTGATGAGGGCCAAGGGCTGGGCCTGCAACCTCTGCAGGCCCATGCCCAGGGCTCAGGCCCGGGCTGAGTTCGTCTAAAGATAGACTGATGTATATCTGTAAGTCCTTTGGTCCATTCCAGCATTAACTGTACAGTTCAGTTGTGCCTGATCTTCTGCCCACAATAGGGATTCATTACTCACAACGTTGGCACTATCATCGCCGTAATGCCGCCATCACTTAATCCAGATAATGAAGCCTCAGTGTGGCCCAAACGGGTTCCTGCGCCCTCCAAGAGGTTAACCGATGCATCTAATTCTGCAACTCCCGAGCTGAGCACTCACCTCGAGGCCATTGCCCTCAAACGAGCCGAAGATGCCAAACGTTTGGCGGAGGATGCCAGGCCTGTATCACAAGGTTTGACGACAGCTAGTACCACACCACCAGCAACTTCAAGTTCCCACTCTGTCACCCCCGCCAAGAGATCTCAAAATACTGACTCTTCTGGTAGTGGGGATGATACAGATTGTGCAGCGGTTCCAAAACCACCAAAAAGTAAGTATTCTTGACATTACCCATTTCAGCACATTTCACCTGACATTTTTTTCACACAGAGAAAAAGTCGCATCGCAGTCAATCTGTGATCATCAGTTCTGACTCAGAAGACAGCTGTGCTGCACCTGCCAAGGCGAAGAAAAATCAAGGTCAGTTTCGAACATTTTAATTTACATTATGTTGAAATTTCACGCGCAGCTCCAGATCCTGTCAACGATGATGGATTTCTCGCAGATATCAACATTGCAAGCCTCTCTAATGATGAGATCAAGCAAAAGCACGATAGGAAAGGTCAGGATGTTGATAATTTTTTTAGTTCAAAATATTCCGAGCCTGGCATTGATGGCAAACCTCGCACCTATCGTGATTGCACCTTGTGCTCGAAGAAGGGTCCACACAAACACTTTGTGAAGGACCTGTCAATGTGCCGTCGACACCTTGAAAAAGACCACGAGGTAAGTGTTGATATCTCTGACAACTGCAATGCTAACTGATTGACCATAGCTTGCCTACAATCAATGGGCCCAGGACAGCAAGTTCGAATCCATGCTTCCCAAGGCTGTCACAAAGCGTCAAAGCGATGCCATCCGGAAGGCTAGTGCCAGTCAAACTGGCCTCGATAATCATCTGCATGACCTACCACCAAAGGCCGAGTGTGTGCTGTCATACACTGACCAGTTATTCTGCGAGGCTGTAACAGAATGGTTGATTTCTACTGACCAGGTATGTTAAATTTACATAGTACTACACCGTCTCACTAACGAAAATAGCCGATTCAAGCACTGGAGCACCCATCCTTCCACCTCATGATTCATGTAGCATCACGATCCACACACAGTGTCAAAATTCCGGATCGAAAGGTGACGCATGCCGAGATTATTGAGATGTTCAAGAAGCAGATGAAATATCTTCAGACACGGCTTAATGTAAGTTTTTGTTTCTCGTTTGAATGATACTACCACTCACTTTTGACTTAGAGCAATGCTGTGAAAGGTGAAATCAGCAATACATGCGATGCATGGCAAGCCTCCAACATCGACGGATACTTCACTGTCTCCGGTCATTGGGTCAAAGAGCCATCATCAGAAGTATGGGTTCTCGAAAGTGCACTGTTTGGGTTTACAAGACTTAATAATTCTCATAATGGCCGCCGTTTAGGTCAAGTACTTTTCAAAATCATTGATCGCCTTGAAATTTCGCACAAGGTAATGTTGTATCCTACCAGGGTTCATGTTACTCACCACACATTTAGATTGGGCGCATCACCTGTGACAATGCGACAAATAACAACTCAATGATGGATGAGTTTTCAAATCAGATTACGAAGAAGACCAGGAAAGTATTTGATGGAAAGGGACGCCGTATCAGGTGCGTCATTCGTCATAGCTTCAAGTTTAGCCATATTAGTTTTGACATGTTTTGACATGTGTTACTAGATGCCTTGCCCACGTTATCAACTTGGCGACACAATCACTCATCAAGACTCACACGAAATCACAACATTACAACCCTGCGAGCCCCGAAGACCATATGCCAAGTACTATTGGTCACAATCGGGATGAGGTTGGGCTCATATGAGCCATCACTGTGAAGGTACGTGATATTTGATCAATTCAAATGACTAACTTAATGGAACAAACAGGAGCGGTCGTCAGCCCAGCGCAAGCAGCTTTTCAAGGAGATTCAGATCCGAGAAGGTGCAGAACGCCCCCTGCAGTTGCTGCTCGACATGCCAGTCCGATGGTCATCAACATACATCATGTTAGAGCATGCAGAAACACAGCGAAAGGTGCATGTTAATGTGTTCACAGTATTAAAATTTGACCGTGTCACCTACAGTACATCAATACATTTATCTACGAAATGGGCCTGAAGGAGCCAAACCTGGAGAAGCGGAAGAAGATTGGTGAGTTAGAGCTACGAAATGATGAATGGGAACACGTAAAATTGTTCCTTGATCTCCTCACTGTGAGTATACTTGTTCCCGCGCTCAAATGTTCAGTGGATGATGATGTTTACACCCCATTTAAAGCATGCAGACAACGCTCAACAAGCATTTTCATCTGATTGAAACCCGAGCCTACACCTTGCAATCCCAGCCCTAGAGGCACTATATAAAGCTTGGAGCTTACGACTCGCATGGCCAAAGTACACTTGCTTCAAGGCACCACTTCAAGCTGCTATTAACAAGATCACGATGTACTACGAGAAGACTAGCGACTCCAATGCATATATTATGGCAATGTGTGAGTATTTTATGGAGTCCTATCTAGCCCTACCTGATGACTGATTCAATTAATAAACAGTGCTTGATCCCAACGAGAAAATGAACCATTTCAAGAAGTATTGGGATGAAAATTTGCAACAAGAAGCTCTCAAGAACGTGGAACGTGTTGTGAGTATTCCAAAGGATTTTCGTTTCAATAATTTGACCGTCTGTCATCAGTTTCAGGAGTACTATGTGTGCATCCATGGTGATGCTGAACACATTCCGGTCAAGAAAGGTCGCACATCCGGAATCAAAGTTGCGCGGCTTCTGCAGGAACTTAGCGATAACGATGATGACAACGATGACGACAACACGCCAACCTCATATGCTCCGTCTGCGGCCACGTCATCATTCGATCCACGGAAACCCTGGCTTCAAGACTTTAACTACTATGTCAATACATTTGACCAGCTGGCCGAAAACCAATCCATTGTCCAGTGGTGGGGGGTATGTATTCCTTCATTCATTCACTCAACAAAGATACTGAATCTATTGAAAGTTAAATGCAACAAGGTATGGGCTAGTTTGGACAGCTATTGCTCACGACTTTTTAGGCATCATGGCCTCATCGGTCTCGAGCGAGCGTGCATTTTCATCCGCTGCATTAACGATTACAAAGCACCGAAACCGTCTCAAGGGCGATGTTGTTGAGGCATTACAGGTAATGAAATGTCTTCTCCATCATGACCTGGTCTTTCGTGAGTCAGGACCTTCGTCATTGACCAAAGATCCTGCAGATGAGGATGACGAGCTACTTGATGGGTGCCCAGAGAAGTCAGGTGAAGATAGTATGATTGTGATTGACATAGAGAGTTTAGAATAACTTTGGTAGTTGTGTTTCGTTGTTGCACGATTACATACTCAATCTATGTCAGGCCCGGGCTTCAGCCCAAACCCAGCCCGGCCCAAGCCCAAGCCCAACATTTGGGCTGGGCCAAAATATTAGGAGGCCCATACCCGCTCAAGCCCAGGCCCAAGCCCGGCCTGCACAACATTAGTCTCAGTGTTGGTGAAAGAACTGCTGAGACATTAATAGTACCTAAGAGACAGGTCTAGAGACGAAACAATGTAAGTGAGAGACGGCGTGCAGAATGAACGTGAACTGTACCTCAGTGTTGGTGAAAGAACTGCTGAGGTACAAACAATGCGATACAACTAAATTATAAGCTACGCTATAGAGTCCGTGATGGCGATCAAGAAAAAGGAATACGAGGTCGATGTTGAACATCCAACAGCAGGGAACTTGTCGTCAAATTTTTGCATGCCAAGTGGTACCCTGGCGGTCTTCGCTATGCTCTTTGGCAACCAGAACGTTCTTGATACTGTACTAGTGATCGAACTTACCAAAACACCAAGGTTGGAAAAGTATATGAGAAGTATATCTTGGCACGAAGATAACAGGCCTCCGAGGGCGCCGTATAAGCGACTCCTAACGAGGAAATCGTGAGCCTGTATCAGAATTTAAGTGCAATAGTGTCTTGGTAGTGACTCATCGAATAGCGTCACAACTCGGAGCGCAGGCCGAGTGCTGGGCACATGTGAGCTCTCCCCTTGTCACAACGGATCAATGTTCTTACGTTCATGCATCATCATAACTGAACAGACACTCATTGCCTTCGATGTCATGATTCCGGGCAAATAACAACGAAACATTCCCTGGGACCAGACTGAACGTTGGTGGAGCAGAGTAAGGGCAAAGGGTGCTATCAGGACCTATATCAAACAGAGAAAGGTACAGTGACTCTATCCCCCGTATATTACAAGTATGTGACGTGTTCTCGCAATCACAGACAGATGTTCAGAGTAGAGCATGCACTCTTGCCCTCGTTGCCAAAAAGCTACCTGCAAATGACGAGGTTCAAGTTGCCCCGCAAGGGCGCGTTCACTCTGATTGCGACTTGCAGATTGAACAACCTCCAAGTTGTGGTACTTAGGGAAGTATATGGTGTACGCACGCACATACACTCTACTATTTAATACCCACACGATGCCAATTCCGAATCTGCAACGGTGTGGGTTGTAGACTGTCAGGCGCGAGTTTTCAATTCACTATCCCTCATGTGTATAATATTTCTCACTTGATTGGCGCTGCCAGCGGACATGTCAAGAGAGAGTTGGGAGTCTTGGGACTAGCATCGTACATCCGATGCGTCGGTCCGCGGTGTTGAGTTGGGCGAACCTTATTGTACGTTTGCAGCAGACTAGATTCATTGGACTCATGGTGTAGTAATGATTCAGGGTCCTCATTCCGAGTTATACATAGCGTATTGTGGTACCAGCATCATGTTTTTGACTGTTCGAATTTCGACTCGCTGAAGTACTTGTTATTTCTCGTTCATGTGGTTGGCTGATCGTTGTACTACGTATATACTACTTACACTTCATTTACTAAAATTACATTTTTTTTGTAATTCTCTCATTCGCGTCCGGCGGCATGTTTGCGCCAGAATAGTACTAGCCTAGGGGCAATGCCGCCGCCAGCGGCCACAATGATGGTATCCGGTCGTACCTTCGCGAAAGTGCGCTTGTTCTTTCAGCGCTCGATTTCCTTCCTATCCGGATCAGCTGCCTGTACACTGAAAAGCAAGTTTTCACTCCATATGCGCATGGATGAAATTCTGGATGAAAGTACTTGGTTCCCCCTCAAACGGGTACAGCAACCCTCTCAAAAAACGTGACCCAAGTTGATGGTTTCCTACGCACACGGCCATTCGCCGTGTGTTGGTCAGTCTCGCGGTTTGATCACAAATCGCCGTTCCCTGCTGTGCGGTGCCTGTTGCATGTCCCCAGCATTACACCCTGAAGTTACATCTCTGCCGCCATTCCTATGGTTGACTTATCCGGCTAGGCTGCGCATATCAGGAAACGAACCTTACGATGGATTGACGTTTAATGACAGTGGTCATTGATGGATCTCATCCGAACACGACCTGTGTGGTTTGTTGTCGAACTTTCCCTAATTTCGCTCTGGGTGGTAGAGAGGTATTTTTTGCCATCTTTTCCCTTCATTTGTTTACATTGTACAGGCTCAATCGATCGTTCAACGAGTCGTGCTCATTAAGCGCTGTGTGTATGTTATGTTCGCAACACCAGTTGCGCGCTTGCGTTTCGCACTCAGCTCCGACACGCGTCTTGGGGAGATGGTTGTTGCTCCCAGAACACCGCGGTGATTTCATTTCGCTCTTCGCGAATAAGAATGAACTACAATCTCATTTAAGGTCATTTTTAGTCCTCTGGTGAGGACGCACATGCTACCTCTCGATCATGGGTGGAGATCAAATAACCGAAGTAGCCATTCATCTTGACTCACCGACAGTTCACGGTTAGCGCCAGGCCCGCATACTTTAACTGGCTTAGCTACTATTATACGGAAAGGCGCTACGCTCACTACGTATCTCAAGACGCATTATGGGCGGCGTCACTGGCACGCTTGGAGTACTATCATAGTACGTCCGTCGTCAGTATGCGACTGACACGAATGCGAATATAGCGGCATGTTTTGTCATGGAACAACCAGGATGTTAAACAATCGTGCTTCTCTCGCTCACCCTCTCGGTGGAAATATTTCATCAAGGGTATAGATCCGATGAATACGCAAAAAAGTATGCTAAAAGCTACAAGGTATGTGAATATTATATGCAAGATCAATCAAGTAATACTACAAGTAAATATTCAGGGATTCGTCGAGTTCTGAGGTGAAAATTTAATTTACTCCCATCCCTTCTACGTAGAATGGGACTTGATCAACGTTCAAGCGAATGAGCGACGGATCATTCCACTGCGTGGAGAATGAGGACTGTCGAAATTGCGAAGGGGTTGGTTGAACTAAATTCCAATCGCCCCCACGACCGACCATATGGTATGCCTCTGCCTGAGGATGGTCATGATACTCCAGCATCGAGCTCGTTGCCGATGTGTCTGACATTGGGCTATTGTTCCTTGGCCATGGTGCAATAGCATTTGTCCACGTCTCGTTATTGGGGATTATAAGGGGTTCTAGGAATGTCTATGAGAACCCGTCGATGGCGACCAAAAGAAATGCGTACCATAAGACGTATGGGTTCCCTGGATAACTTCATAGGACGAAGCTGAGGAGCTTGCTAAGGGTGGGAGTGGCTCATGCCTGGAAATTGCCTCGCTTTCTCTGGACAACTGCCTCAGCACTTCTGCAGCTGTGAAGGGGATGAGCATGCAAGAAAAGCGCATGTTAGAACCAGTATACCTTTTTTCAAGGTTTCGCGCCTGGTCTGGGGAGCTTCCCCTGTCACTGAGTAAATAACTTTGCGGAGTTCCTCGAACCCGTCCCCCTCTTTGACTCGATATTGCCTCTGCGATGCGATTTTGCTTTGCTTCGCAGGACGCTGGTAACTTTGCTCATTGTGGTAGAGTTGCATGTTTGTACAATAGCGAGTCTCCAGTTTAGAACCCCAAAGATCGAGCCCTCTTTTATACCACCCTCGGCGCCACTACTTGCTATTCTTGAAAAGACTAGTATTAAGTGAACTTTGTTCTTTTTGGACTGCCTCACCCAGTTTAACGCCCGACAGGATGTCATTCGATCTCTGCAGCACCGATCCCGATCCATATTTTTTTGCGGCTTATCGATATTGCTGCACCGCCAACCCCAACCATTCGCACGTCAAAGCAGACACTCTTCAGATTTCAAGAAGTGCGATGCCTCCACATGGTTAATCAATCCCGACGAGTGCGAGTATGATCAGATCTTGACCATGGTGATTTGATGACAGGTCAATCACTACTTACGACATGATATCGTATGAAAAATGAAATCGGAGGGCGTCAATGTCACGTTGTTTCGAAGTTTTAAACTTTGTCCGTGTTCCGGTACGACCCCCGTCCTGCCCGCATATAACCGGGTAGTAGAATGAATCACAGTACTTACCGGGACACCGGTGTCATAGGCTATAGACATCGATTTGAGCGGACTCAGTCGTTTATTTTTAGTGAAAGGCATTTGCATCAACAACTTCTCGGAGAGTCCAACCTTCGAAGGTATCAGCTGACATAGGTCCACACAAATGGACGCAAGGGGCACACATTGGCTCGCTACCATGCGTTGTGCAAAGGCTGTCCAGCCAGTCGTGGCGCGCTTAGATTAATCGGGCTTCCACAGATACGGCCCTATGGATATGCACTGACGTGAATGCTTACTAGCCCCGGTGATTGGCCTGGATAACTCCCGGCGTCCACCGAATTTCCCACCACCAGCGGTCCAGTGAACTACCTTTGAACCCCGACCTTTGTTCCGCGATTATCCCGACAGTGCAAAAGCCAAGTTTTGCTATGCTCATACGTAAGTATTTCCAGTTGATCCCAAGCACACGAACCTACAGCCGCAATTGAAAACAGAACAAAGCTCGAAAGCAATCCCTTTCTTTGCGGAAATTGGCAGCAACGATCGAGCAGCATCACAGTTGGCACAGCAGTGGTGCGACGGGCCACCGACGAGCATTTACTAGTATGTGAAAATGAACGGATATGACAGAACTGATTCAATGATCGTGCCCAAGGAAGCCACGTGTGCTCCGGCACATGAACGATAATAAGTGGAGATGACCAAGTACTTACCTGTACTTACCTCCTGCTATTAGTGACGCCAGCGTTTCTCGACGGTTGCTCGACGACGACGGTGCGTTGGCGACGGCTCCGTGCGTGCTGCGTCTTGACATCAGCTCAAAATCCTTGGTTTAGTTACTAGGAGCGCTCACTCTTGGCTCAGTAAAATTGGATGCTCGTCACAAGGAGAAAAAAAGGGACATTGGACAGCCGTGCTGACAATGTTGATCACTATGCACTATGATAAGTTTATCTTGCCGTGCCGACGGGCAGTAAGCACCTGTACATGGAGCAAGCCGGTTCAACAAATGAATATTGAATACTAGATTCATCCATAGTGGTGAGCTCAGCCGTATTCCAATGACGAGAATATGATGTGCCCTAAACTGTGAAGGCGATTGCTAACAAATGTAAGTACACAGGAAGGAACGTTCGAACAACCACAAGATGAGGGTTACGAAGGCGTAAGGCGTGTTGCTCAGTTGGGGACATACATGCTTGAAATGAGCAGCTTGAGATTTGTTTTGGTTCCGTATTTCAGGTTCTCGCGACGTCGACTCTTGCCCAGCCAATAGGTCTACTCGCGGTGAGTGGAGCCGGGCTAGGACGAATGGCAAGACAGATACGATAATATTTTAGTTGTACCGAGGAACTGGCAATGTTCCAGTGGATCTAGATAATTTTCGGGGTCCCAGGCTTAGATACTACTCATAACTAATGTGACGCTCTGGGCAGTGGAACGGAGGTTGCAATGCAGTTTCTGACGGTATCGAGGATATGTCCGTCGTTGACTGGCAGGAGACGAATATTTGGTGAAGATTGAAACCGCTTTGATCAATCTGCTTGAACTTCCACTGCCCCTGAGAGCGTCACATCGGAGAAGAGTATCTAAGTCCGAAATTATCTAGATCTACTCCGTTCTCCAGCTGGAAACATAGGGAAACATTCCTCCAGATTCCTCCTCGCCTTACCATTTATTTTAGCTTGGCTCCATTCGTTGCGAGTGGATCTATTGGCTGGGCAACGGAAGCCTGATACTTTAAACGTGCGAGCTTGGGAGTCGGCGGCCTCGGTCGGTTCGGATGTAGATGATCTTGGAGCACGGGGAGCTTCGGCGCAAGTCCGCAAGTCCAACGTTACTGCACACACATCCACGCGTGTGTTGGGATTTAATATTTTTAATAGTTGTACTCGCGAGTTCAAGTTCGCACTAAAAGAACACAACGCCTCTCGAGTCGTAGTCCTCCTCCATTTAATACTTTGATGTTTGCCTACCGCGCTGTCTCTTCTCCAACAAACTCTGAATTGCTGCACTTGGCTCAAAGGGTCGGACCTACTAGTCTCCCCAAGCCAGACCTTGAAAAACGGAAGATAGTCGGTCGGTCGGACCGTCCAAGTCGAGCTTCTAAGTATATAGCAATACTTGTCTTATTAGTAGGTATACATTCTTATACGGTCCCCCCGGTATACGGCCGCCATACTACGACTTAAACTGAGGAGAGAGGGGATCGACCTGAATGTCGAAATCAAAAATGCGCAGCATATGCACTCTGTACAAGGACCAGCCCTTTTAATACCTCGCAGCGCAAGGTCACACGCCTGTACTACGAAATCTGCGCTACCGTATCATCTGTTTCTGATTCTGATAGTTGTTGGTCTGAATCTTTGTCTGCCCTTTTTGCGGTTGCCGCTTCAGTGCGGATTTGCAGTCAATGCAAGTCCCGTCGGCACTGCCCGAGCTTAGTGTTTTAGCCAGTGACGTATTCATATCAAATATTTTATTTCTGTTCAAGATTTCGATCGGGGGAAGCAGTTTTAGAATGTCCGCATGTGCGGGCAGGCCTGGAACTGCGAAAGTCGGGATAACGTGTCCCCCATACCAGGGAGGCTGAAGATACGATCGTGGTAGGCAAAGCCCTCTATCGATCGGCGGCTTTCCTCACAGACCAGCTGTCAGGTCATCGAGCTTGGGCACTGTTTAACGTTGATGAGACAAGGCAAGACCAGCGCTGGTTTGGCTTAGGTACATATTTTAAAGATATCGTGAACACGGTCAAAGCTTGGAAGCTTTGCCAATACAACTCATTGTTCAATTCTAACATAGATAATCTAACTGTTTACAAATTTCCAGACATACGGGAAGATACATTTTGGTGGGTATTCTAATATGTTGAGATCGTAGCGAGGCAGTCCGTCGTGTATGTCTGGTTAGTCGTAGTGCGGCAATACGTGTCACGTAAAAGACGATATCACAAAAGAGTAGTAGAAGAACATATGCAAAAACAGCATCGCAAAAGAAAGGGAAAATGGATCAGCGACTGTGTACGACGGCGTCTCGACAAAAGAGGGCTATCGAGATAGCACGTCGGTTCTATAAATTGTCGAATCGTTGTGCCACCGAATCAAAGGCATCCGCCGGAAAGGCAAGATAAATCGTAAAATCATCATGTAGGTTTATAATAGATGGTCGTGAGATACTGTAGCTTCATAGTCAGCAATCTCGATGGATGCCATAACACGAAAAAGCAAACCTTCGTGCGATATCGTGTGGTGCTACCGACGGCCAGGACACCATTGCGAATTGCACTGGTACACAAGTGATGTAAGACAACATGAGATGGAACAGGTAGGACGCTAGCATCATCGCTAAGCCCAGGTCCACCAAGACCTAACCGAGTATGCGCAGGAGCTGCCAAATGTGCGCTGGTCACATCCGTGCCGCTTGCCGTAGTAATGGGAATCGCAGGAGCATCCAACTCTGTAGCCCTGTCCTCCTTGTGAAGCTCACGAGCAACGGTGCTCGTCATTCCCAAGAGGGATCGTCCCTGTCGCCGTCTGTTTTCACGCTCCCTTTCACGTTCGCGTTCCCGCTCTCGTTCCCGGCCCCTGTTCCCTGCTGGAGGCTGCCCTGGTTTCGCATTCAGTATCAGTTTATCAAGATGCCGTGGCAGTCCAGGGGCAGGTGGAATGTTGGGAGTGGGGACATGTTGGCTGGGAGCCTGGTCGTATTCGGGACCAGCAGTATATGCTAGATAGGCTTCTTCCTCCTGAGCAGCTGCTTTGAGCCCTGCGGGAATATCATCCGTCCACCTTGCACGCGTACCCTTGGGATCTGCGCTTGAAGATATATCCGTAACTGAACCGTGCGTAGAGCTTGTTGATGACCAGAAGGAGTGGGCATGAGGGGGTGGATTGCGCCCTGCCGGTGTAGCAGGGGCAACAGAGGACACGTAAGGTGGAGTCAAGCCGGAGATAGGAACGGCAACATAATTGGCAAGAGTACCCTCATCATCAACAGCCTTAGGCAAGTCATCTGCTATCCGCCATTGGTCATCGACGATGAATCGAATATGATGAGTACCGGGCATGAGCGGTACCCATGCCGACCACGATCTATCGCTCGATGGATCACTGTGATAAGATGTTAGGAATAGGGCGAAGGTTGCAAAGGAGAGACGACATACTCAGGCTCCATAGTTAGTCGCCCTTTCCAATTATCATCTCCAGCACGAACTAAGAACACGCTTTTCCCACCACCATTCCATGTAATCTTCACGGAGACGGGTTCTTTTTGTTCCTCATGTGTTTGATTTGGTCGTTTCATCAGCTGGCCGTTCTCCCCGTCGGGGTCAGGATCTTCCGATTTGGCGATCTCCTCCGCTTTGTGAAGCGCGAGTGGTATGGTTGAATGCACGGTCTCCTGAACAAAACCAGATGAACGGGGTTGCGCAGATGCCTCAATCTCACTTTCGGCATAGAGCTCTTGCATACGAGGTTGAGCGGACTGACCGCGCGATGCAAAAGAGTGAGTGGAGTTATACCGCAAAGGTGCACCTCTGAAGTAAGGGCTACCCCGGGTGCGTTGATGAGGCACCGGGATATGGGTGGATGGGGGGTGATCCAAGAGTAGTTCTGCCGAATAGTTGCCCGTATCGGTATCTCTCTTTGCGGTTGCTTTCAAATTTGGCTGACGCCCACGAGGGGAAGTGCCCGTATTTGAAGCATTATTCATAGTTCCATTGTTATAGGCAGGATTTGGAATCGGGATTGGAGAAGTTGTTCTCAGTGGCCGACGGTAGGGTGATAAGGGGGAGGAATTTCCAGAGTTGTGGTACGATGCTGCTGGTGTCAGTGAAAGAGAAGCAAGATCTGGTAGCTCGAGTGATTTTTTCTTTGTCCGTAATGATCGATGTGGTTGATGGGGGTTGGGTGACGGGGAATGTGATGGGGCTTGTCGACGCGCAGATGAATCAATTCGTCTGCTTGGTACCGGCGAACGCGAGCTTTGATTGGCGTTTGATGCAGTATTTCCCATCTCACGATGACCGTTGCTATTCGTTGTGAACGACGTGCTTTTCGTCCTCGTCGCGACGAGGAGCTCGATGGTGTTAAGAAGAGGTAATATGAACACAATCATTATTATTACTTATGTAACAGGATAAGATCAATAATATATATATAAATAACTTTAGGCACTGACTATCACCATCCGTAGTACTGAATCTACTGATAGAGCCCAAAGATGATTGGAGATGTATCTCCAACCTTACCTCGCACCCCAACGCCGAATAATATCGTCGAATCAAACTCTGGCTTGACCATCCCCGAACCCAGAGACGGATTTTATGGTTATACCGACGAAAAGAGCCTCCAACAAGTGAGATCGCGTTTTCCAAAAGACAACGTAGACTCTTATGATCTTGAACGATCAGATGGAGGAGCAGAAATGGACACAACGTCGCACCTCTGATGTTGCGCTTCCTCAGCCTGATGGTTCATCACTCTCTGGCAGTTTCAAGTTGTCTTCCATCCGTGAAGCACTTCAAACTCAAAGCACCGAAGAGTCACATCCGTCACCTTTCTCTGATGATGACGATAAAAAGCATGTGTTGGATGCTCAGCACCAGAGTGCGTCTTCATCTGACGTGTCCAATCTGACCGCTCAGGTTATATGTGTCCACAGTGAACGCCATGATTACTCCGGAGCTTGCACATGTTGTTCAGTCTTTTCAGAGATGCCTTGAGCTTCGCGACAAATATATCACAAAATCTCTGCAGAGGCTGGGAGATAACCCCAGAGACCACGACGGTGTTTTCCATGGCGTGGCTGAGGGCCTCGCGGACGTTTCTGCGGTCAAGCCCGATGCTAACCTATCTTTGGCTGCATCCCCGAAAAGCCCTCACGAGCCTTGGGCTATATATCCGAAACCTCCTCCTCCTCACTGGCGCTTTACTGCGAAAGAAAAAGTCATTAGCGCAGATGATCGCGTTACACCGGATCACCAATTCAATTTCTCTCAATGTGAAATACCTAGTAGTCATGAGTGGGAGTTCGAAATAGACGATAAAGGCGTGTATCAAGTATACACGAACGCTGAAGGTAATTCCGTCTCCTTCCTGCCAGAGGAACTTGATCCACCCCCTTTCCCAGAAGAAAACAAGAAACCGCTCTTCGATATACCCACTATCAGAGAGTACTTTGTTGATCTAGACTATGTCCTCAGTGTTATCTCTGATGGTCCCGCGAAAAGTATAGCATACCGTAGGCTCAAGTATCTCGCAAGCAAATTTGAGATGTATAGTCTCTTAAACGAGTTTCAAGAATTAGCAGACATGAAGGTGCGTGGAGACTTTCGAAATCGATCCTGAACGTTTATGAAGGACGCTTTTACAGAGCGTGCCGCACAGGTGCGTTTTTGATCGCACTTGCAAGGTGATTGACTGATTTACGCGATCTTAAGGGACTTCTACAATGTTCGCAAGGTGGACACTCATGTCCATCTAGCAAGTTGCATGAACCAGAAGCACCTCTTGCGGTTTATCAAGTCGAAGATGAAACGCAGTCCTCATGTTTGTATAAATTCACATGCGACGTGTTTATTACTCAAACGTTCCCGTTGTTTCAGGATGTCGTTATCTTCCGTGACGGGACAGACCTGACGCTGGAGCAGGTGTTTCAATCGCTCAAGCTGAGCGCATACGATTTATCCATCAACACGCTCGATATGCATGCCCACCAAGATTCCTTCCACCGGTTCGATAAATTTAACCTGAAGTACAATCCAATCGGCGAGTCCAGGCTAAGAGAGATTTTCCTCAAAATAGATAATAAAATAGATGGTAGATACTTCGCCGAGATCACCAGAGGTATGCTTCATGATGCTCTCCTCGCACCAATCTGACATGTCACAGAGGTCATGAATGATGTGGAGCAAAGTAAATACCAGGTACGGATGTGCCACTTGCGAACCTCAGGATACCTTTTTCTTAGATCATATTCTCAGAACTGCGAGTGGCGTGTCAGTATTTACGGTAGATCCGTTGACGAGTGGGATAAGCTCGCGAAATGGATCATCAACAATGATCTATTCTCGCATAATGTTCGCTGGCTCATTCAAGTTCCTCGACTGTATCAAGTGTACAAGGAGACTGGTGCAGTCAAAACATTCGAAGAAATTGTTATCAGTGAGTCTCATCCCATAATCTTATTCACATCGACGATTTACCACCACTGTAGATGTCTTCCGCCCACTCTTTGAGGTCACAAAAGATCCTCAGTCGCACCCCGAGCTTCATGTCTTCTTGCAACGAGTCGTCGGCTTCGACAGCGTGGATGACGAGTCTAAGGCGGAACGTCGGTTCCACCGCAAATTCCCTTTTCCTCGTCTCTGGGACTCCAATCAAAATCCTCCGTTCTCTTATTGGTGAGTGAGCACTGACCTGCTGTTAATATCGGTCAATTAAATGTCGGGTAACCACGAATGCAGGATGTACTACATGTATGCAAACATGGCCAGCTTGAACCACTGGCGAAAGGCACGAGGGTTCAGTGAGTTTCTTTTGTTATTGTCTCCGAGTTCCTTCCAGTTGAAATTGACTGCTACGCAGACACGTTCGTGTTTCGACCTCATGCTGGCGAAGCAGGAGACACGGATCACCTGACCGCGGCCTTTCTCACATCTCACTCGATTTCCCATGGGATTTTACTCCGCAAGGTTCCCGCGCTGCAGTACTTATTCTACCTGAAACAAATTGGGCTGGCTATGAGCCCCTTGAGCAACAATGCACTGTTCCTGACCTATGAGCGCAACCCACTTCCAGACTTTTTCAAAGTCGGGTTAAATGTGAGTTTGAGCACTGACGATCCGTTGCAATTCCATTTTACAAAGGTGAGCCCATGTCTCTGATACTACTTGATGGTGACTTATTTGGACACCGTGGTAATAGGAACCACTGCTAGAAGAGTACAGTGTCGCAGCTCATGTAAGATGTTCAGCATTCGCCAACTTTATATTTACTAGTGACTGACCTGCTACGTGACAGATCTATAAGCTTCCTCAAAGCTCGCTAGCTGAGCTCGCTCGCAACTCTGTAATTCAAAGTGGTTTTGAGATGGAAATTAAAAGGCACTGGCTCGGTCAAGAATGGTACATGCCGGGCGCTGCAGGCAATGACATCCACAAGGTACACGAGCTGTCCCTATGCGCTCGACTTATTTATGTACTTACCGGCCGCACAGACAAACGTGCCAAATCTTCGCCTAGCATATCGGCACCGCACGTTGCTTGAGGAGCTTGCGATGATCAGGGCGCAGCACTCCACATAGTCAAGAGCCCGATCGGGCATTATTCGGTGATGTTGGCGTTCGAAGCATACCCCACCTTGTCTCAACAAGTATAGCTGTGCCTTACCAGGGTTCCAGATATGGCATGCTTTGACTTGAACATGGGATAGGCGTGATGTGGGGGGCTGATGACTGTGGGTTCTAATGCTAAGGGAAAGTTGATACAAGTGCTACCGTTGGTCTCTCCCAGGGAGACGAATTTGCCTTAGGCGTGAAGCAGGAAATTATCTCATGCGAGTATCGTGGGGAAAAAGGGGGCAAATTTGAGTCGGGACTACATACACTGCCCCAAATGCTGCGCACAGTGCGTGGACCGGTGATCAAAATATACCAGTGTTTGCAGAAGTCAGGGTATTAGAAACTGTAGTCCGTCTCGAGGAGGGTCTAAGTTTATGTTGTATTTGAAATCGATATCTATAGATGGTGAGCCGAGCTGGAACCTGCTTGCGAACATTGTCGATCTCTATGTAGTGCCTTTTCTCTTCATTGAGGATGTCGTCGATCTTGAAACCAAGGATTACCAACTGCCGCGGGAAAAAAAGTAATCAGATCCTGACTTCTTGTGACCTCTCAGCTCCTACTGTGCTAGCATGGCTCCAATTTACTGATAAGTGTGGTTGAAGTACTTACCCTCAATCTCTATTTGATCATGTATTTGTTTCAAGGCGGACCGTAAATGACGTTCTAAAACGAGGCGGTACGATTTGATTACTGAACGGAGTGTGAAATAAAACCCCGAAAAGTAACTCCGCCAGCTGGTTGTCCGCTGTGCCGGGCCGTTGGTTTAATTTTAGGTTATTCCGAAGCTCTATGTGTATTGTTGACAACTGTGGACACAGCAAACGTTTTGATATGATGATGTCGAAGAGCCTCCATGTGATACCGCTGTGCTAATAAGTTGGAAGACGATGTCCAAATAAGACAACTACCGAGCACCATATCGGTGCCCCTGCAAGCTACAAAACTGCAAGCCATCTCATTTCGTTTTAGTCCAGACTTCTTCCGAACTAATAATACCCCTACGCAGATTTTGGTACAGTATTTCTACAACCGTGAGCGTCCGCGTCGTGTCACCCTTCACAGACGCATATTTCCGTCTCTCGTTCGTGACTGCTCGATACGATGTCGGACGCGGGCGAAAGCCAAGTATCAAGGAAGCCAAAGGTCCTCATTGCAACCTTTGACGGTACTGCAGGATCTTACGATGCGACGGTGAGTCTCCGAATACCATACACTAGATATAGTAGCTAATGGTACTCACAAATCGTTTTGTCACAGAATTCGAATGTTGTTAAGTTCGTGTCTTTATTGAAGAAAGACACAGACAGCCAGCTTTCCTATTATCAGGTATGTGCCTGTGCAGTACCCCAGCGAATTCACTATCCGATCGCGGATCACCCACGTTGCAGTAACAAGGGTACTGAAGTCCCCCTTATTATACAGGCTGGCGTTGGGACGTATTTTTCTCCTGGAGTGGTGTCCCCCATGTTCACTTGGCTCGCCAAGATATTGGATGAGGCTTTTGCATGGTGAGTATGGTAGGCTGAAATGAAGCTCGAAGTTGCTTGAGTTTTTTCAGGTACCTAGACGTTCATGTTATGGAGGGCTACAAATTCTTGATGGACAACTACCGACCTGGTGATAAGATATGTCTTTTCGGTGAGAACCTCGCATTGAGAGCACAATAGATTCCACTTAACTCAAGGCAGGCTTCTCTCGAGGAGCATATACTGCACGTGCAGTTAGCGGGAATGCTGTACAGGGTCAGTTGCTTGTTGGTCGTCATTGGAAGTTGCCTTTCGTGCTAAGACATCGTCGCAGGTTGGGCTACTTCCAAAATCCGACGTCCAGCAAATTGGCTTTGCCTATCCAGGCCTACAAGCAGACTGGCACACAAGCAGATCTGCTGGCTGCAGGCTTTAAGCAGACATTTTCGCATGACGTCCGGGTAGAGTTCGTAGGAGTCTGGTAAGTTTTTCCTATGTCCTGCTACCTGAAACTAACTTTTCGGTTCCTTTTTTAGGGACACCGTACAAAGTACCGGGATGCTCTTGAGCCGGAGCCTGCCATTCACAAACTGCAATACCCTGATCAAGACATTTCGACACGCTTTGGCTCTCGACGAGGTCTATTCGGCCCATTACCCTGCATTACTCTATACTGACTCTCATCCATAGCACCGTGTTAAATTTCAGCCAAATTTATATCATCGACCCCAGTCAGATACAGCTGATCCAGAATTTGCCCAGATGTCAAAGTTATCCGAAGCTGTTGCCGAACTGGAAGATAGAGCTTCCGGTAAAAATGGCTCACTGCGGAATAAGCTCCTTCAAGCTGTGAAACGCGGAAAGAAGCTCGTGAAAAGGCCGAAGTTTCAAGGACTGAAGCATGGTTTCAAGAAAATTCAGCGCCAGCAGAGCACAAACGAGATCGTCGCTGAGATGCCTGGGGAGACTATCATCGTCAAGGAAGAGACGAGTGTGGAAGTCCTTGATAGTCCAGACGTAGAGCCAATACCACCATCAGATGTTCTGGAAGTCTGGTTCCCAGGATGCCATACCGGTGAGCATACATACATTTCGCTAATTCTCTCTTGACAAAATATGAGCAGACATAGGCGGCGGTAATGTTGGGAACTCTGTCAAGGTCTCGTTGGCGCAAACCACTCTTCGCTGGATGGTTGAACAGGTTCTCCTGTCTCAGTGCGGCATCGTTTTCGATGAGGCGGCCCTTGAGCGTGTCGGCATGCCATTATCGAGCCTTCCTATTTCGAAAACGCCGCCTGCTACTGAGAATCCGACCGGCAAGTCACCACCGATGACAGACACGACCGTTCTCAGTGCTGCAACCAACGACACTTTAGTAGAAGAAGAACCCTTACCCGCCCCTTCTAGCCCTCCCACTGATCCTCCCACTACACCATCACAGCCAAATCCAGAAACCTGTGATGCTCTTGCTCCTTTATTTGACGAATTGCAGCTGCAGAAGGCCTGGTGGCTCCTTGAAATCATTCCCCTTCCATTCGCCTGGCAAGATGCACATGGAAAATGGCACAAGAAATGGAAGTGAGCTACTTGTAACTGCGAAGAACTTCTTTTATGATTGACTATGGATGGCAGGTTCCATATGGGCAAAGGTCGCGCTATTCCCTACCAGCATCCCAAATTCCATTCATCCGTCAAGGAACGGATGGACTATATACCCTTGAACTATAAGCCGCGAGCGAGATACCGACATGAACAGGTCATTTTCGTATGACGATGACGACGATTGGACCTCCACACGACTTACCTTGATGCCCATCCATGATTTACTATTATTATGAATCCATACTACGAATATCCCGAGTCCCCCGAAGGACGGGTACTACGTTACATTTTCTGCCCGAGCTTTACCTTGGTATTTACGAGTTGGGACTTGTTTACAACTCGCCTTATGATTGTAATGATGACGATCACGTCAAGATCACGTTGTACCATACCGTTTTCTGTGTTTTGAAAGTGCATCTTACGAGTCTCGGGCGATGCTGTAATTGCCTCTAGTTTCGCCGGAGATACTATCGCACGTTTGACCAATCAGACACATTCGTCCGTAGCTCTTGTCCAGCTGCGATGGATGTGGCGTAGCGTTATAATATTATTGGACCGGACGCCACCGCAACTTTGAGAGAATATACCAGGATCGGGAACCCCTCCGTGAGTCCTTTAACCCAGAGTAAGTAATGCAGAGGAAGTAGGTGTACCGTAATATAATGTTTGACACTAGTAGGGTGCCTCATGGTCCAAACGTTTATGCCGTAGGCTGAATCTCAAGTTGTCCCGCTAGCATCCTTCAATACAAACTTTATTTCAAGAAGACTGCATAGTCGTGTTATCGGCAAGCGGTTCTCAACCCCAAAACAAGAAGCTACTAGTACCTTTTGTCTCTTTCATCATCGCAGTCCATCATAGCGAGAGTAATGATCGGATCTTTCATTCTTCTCATGGTTCTGGCGCGAATGCTGTTTCCAGGTTTATTATATCCAGCTTCGTCTGCCTGATATGATCTAATAGGTTGGGCTGGACCGAGCGTTAGCTCGGGATGGGACGCAGGCAGGTGGAGCCGCTCGCCCATCAAGCCGGAACGATCCGCGGCTCATAGCTGCCTAGCCCAACCAGACGTGGAGGCGACGGTTAGAATGATGCTGCATTAGCCAGGTGTTGAGAGCAGATTTGCTCAAATGCACGGATATACGTCTCGTACGCTAAGGATCTCCAGCGGCCGGCAATTCGAACTATTTCGGGATCAACCTTCTTTGCGAGATAAAAGGACGCACCACCTATTCGAAATGAGTGACCGAAAGTCGTGCCCCAACCCCAGGCCATTAAAATTGAGTTGATGCGCTCCAAGGCCGGGATTTTGGCCATTGGACGAACATCACCTTTGCTGTCGCGCCACGAAAACAAAGGATCATTTGCGAGGGCGGGAACGACTAAGGCCAAGCCGACAGAGGACACAGGTCTCCTTGCTCGTTGAGAAAGACAGATTGTGACTCCCCGGCCCGAGCTGTCTTGGCTGATGGTAGGTCGAGACGTGCGTAAGGGTTGTTCCACAAGTCGTATCCAAAGAATGCATGAGTGCGGGTAAGGTGTTTGACTGGGTTGAATGCGGAGCGAGAAGTGACGGAGACTTCACCGAAGCGCATCATGCCAAAGAATACACATGATGCCATCGCCCACACGCATGGGTCGAAGGGATCTGATAATATGAGGGTGGCCTTGAGAGGCAAGAGCATCGCGACTGATATGGGTGGCCGGAGAGGTTTTCGACGGCCGCCATGCAAGTTCTCCAGGCCCGGCAAGGACCAGTTGATACGGTCATGGTGAGAGTCAGACAGCGGTGGGGGCCAACCCTGAGCAATGTGCCAGGCCCGCACGGCGGACAAGTATTTACGTGCGACTCCGACTGAGACAGGCTCGAAGGTCACGGAAGTGCCGCTTTCTGCCGAGAGAAGCGGGTCATCAGGGTCTGGGTCCGTGACGGCCCATACATCAGGAAAACCTTCCCGCCCTAAATTTCTCCTAATTATCAGAATTATCAGAATTAGCCTGAATTTCCGATAATTTGTCTAATTAGCCCAAATACTGATAATGCTTTCAAAATATCTTAAGATCGAAGGACCCATGATGGAATTTCAGCAAGAACCTGTTATACTAATAGCTCGTACATTAAACATTCATTGAGGTAATAGATACTATGATGCTTGAGTCACTACGTAGTTAGTACAAATGTTTAAAGCCTGAGTATCTCTCAACTGTGTGTTATGATAAGATTACACAAATGCATGAACCTCTCCCTCTTCGCATTGTCGTGTTGTATGAGTTTGATCAATGCCATGACCCTGCCATATGGCTCACAGAAGTGTTCTGCAGAAGCGTCAATGTTCGAGTAAGTTCCATTTCTGAAACCACTGAGCGCATTATGCGATGCAGCCCTGGCAAGGCCAAACACAGAGTCAAGGTTCTCCTCATTCATGTATTGGTAAAGGCCATTGAGGAATAAGACATCTATGATCATGTTTATGAACCAATTAGTGATGTGCATGGCCCGGCTTGGAATTCTGGAAAGCCAAAGCCGGTGGCCTGAGCTGCGGCTTTGTAGGGTTTGCAGAGGTGGTGAAACTGTTCCAAATCCTGAACCGATTATCATCACCATGATCAGTATTTCATTCCCAGTGAAAGCAAGAGTGAGATACCAGTGAGTCTGAGCAACAAGCCTTGTAAATGTTGCTGGCAGTGACAGTTGTTTGGCAAAGGCTTTGGATCCAAACAAACACTCAGTCACATCAAGCTCAGCGCTTTGCATCAACCATGTGTGCATCACAGACATCTGTCTTGCATGTCTCATGATTGGTGATCAGATCTTGTTTGGGAAGGTTCGCAGAGGAGAGCTTCCATTTCTAACTACTCTCAGACCAGGTGAGTCTGCAATTTTACCTTCTTTGTAGTCTACTGATGCAGGAGAGAGCCCAGATGCCCTCGTTCTAGGCACCACATCTGCAGATGACATTAACATCCATGAGGCTGATGGCGAAGCAGCATTCAGCGCATCTATCGACATTCATCTCTGGCAAAAATGAATGCACGTAGCTGGCGTGGTCGGCATAGAGTTTATTGCTCGAGGTGAGTGCATCATCTCACTTTGGTCTTCCATCCTTACACCCCTTCTCACAGGGCGCATATGGTCACTCACCTTCTTCACCTCTCCCTTACCTTCTCCCTCATCTAGTTCTCTCTCCACTCGTGCTGCAGGAAGTGGGCCCTGGCAAGTCGCTCTCTGTCTTATGGAGCACAGCCCACCCACTTTTGTAAATGGGAGGCTCACCATCAATGTGTTCTGTCCATCCTTAGGATCGTCCCCAATACTGGACTTGCTTTCGTCATCTTCACCGGTCCAAACCTCCCACTCAAGGCACCCATCCTCGAATCAGCCTCGTGCCGTGACACCTACTACCCCAACACAACTGCCCCTCACAATTCCCCTTCAATCTTCAAACCGCCTCACCCACCGCCTGTTACAATGGCGCCATATTTTCTTTTCTCTTTCTTTCTTTACTTACTCATCGAGTCTCATGACTGCTTATCAACACATCCAACACGTGAATGCTTACCTATATGCTTACTTGTTATGCTTACGCAGATAATTACTCATACTATTCCCTGATTGGTTGATCCAACATTGTACCATCTCTCATCTCCTTTTCTGATTGGTTGATATTGTCTTCCTATTCTCGCTTACCTTTCTTGATAGGGTCATCCACTGACAGACCAGCCCTAAACTACCTTCTTGTTACATATATATATTACGTCTCCTGTACTTGTATTCCTTAACTTGAATCTACTAGGTTCTCTCCTGATACTTCGAGTTCACTGATCTAGTTGCCTTCCAAGCAGACTAGCCTGAATACTAGATCTAGTGAGCCCTTGACATTTGACTAGCAGTACCTTTGATCTTAGAACTCGCGATACACTTCAGCCTTGATCATCCTCTATTGGAACGCTGAAGAAGAACTATCCTAGTTGTAACACCGCCCATCAGATGGGTCTGTATTCAGCGTACTGGAGCTTGTGTGAGTTACTGATCCTAGGTTGGTTCTGATTTTGTTGTATTGCATGGGGGCTGATAATGGGCTTCTACTGATAAGTTGATGCAAAAAAGTGGGGCTGAATACTGGAAGATAGTGATGGTTCATCAATTGCAGTACTCAGGCTGCGGCTCAGGCCAGAGCTGAGCCAAAGCCAGCCGTCACTGGCAGCTTTGGCCTGGCCTGGATTTTTTGCAAGCCCAAGCTGTCTGAAGCCAGGCCAGGGCTGCGGCTTTCGAACCAAGCTGGGCCGGAACATCACTAGAACCAATCTGCTTTGAGCACATGACAAACCACTGTACTGGTGTTGTCCTGTAAGTTTACATAAGTACGAGTATGAAGTCTGAAAAAATAAACCTACCACTTTGAATTTGTGTAAAAAGTTGAGGCTTTTGAGTAGCATCAGCACCAATATTTTCTTATGCAGAACCTCAGCACCTTGCTGCTCAAGTGGGTGTCATAATCCCAAATCTTTCTGGATATTGTGTGTAGCATAGTCCTTGAACAGGTGGCGGATGTGGGACATCCATGAGACCATTTCTTCTTTGACTCTTTGTGTTTTGAATGGTCTATGTTTAACTAAATAAAATGTTCATCAGTGATGTGCACAAGTGCTGGCAGTACATTGCATGACATACCACCATGGCCAATCACTGCAATTCTGCCAACCGTCAACGCCTTCTTCATAGTTTTGGCATGTTTTTTGTGCATTGCACCGACTCCCTCCTTCTGCAACATGACATGTTGTAGTTCAACCTTCATCTTTTCTTTGATCGACAGTATTTCTGCCTTACTGAGATCCATGGGGGTTGATGAATCATCTTCAAAGTCCTCCGACTTGGACTGGGAGGACTCCCCTTCTGTAATGTTGCCTGGAGTTGGGGTTAATGCTGGCACTAATGCCAGTGTCTGAAGTTCATAGTATTAGTACTATAATAATTACAGTGACAGACTTATGTATGTGACACCTGCTACTGATGCCCACTCTGCATTCTCTGCTTGAGGGACCTTGGCAGCACTGAGGTCTCATCACATGTATTGTGAGACACCATGGCCAGTGAGAGAAATGTGCTGGTACACATATTCATCTGATTCATACTGAGGTTCGTGTGGCTGGAGTTCAGGGTTGGGTTGGAAGAAAGGCTGCAGTGGTGGGTTGTATGGATCAGCTTGGAATTGAGAAGATCCAGACTGTGTCGTGGGCGGTTGGTGTCCAGAGTTAAGTTGGAACTCCCCGAGAGGCGGAGGTTGGTGCTGTGATGCAGGATACTTGAGAGGCTCATAGTGAGGCTCCAGATGGAGCTCTTGAGGGAACATGGATGCAATCCTAATAATGGTGGCATGATCAGTATAGTGATAGATATATATAATACTGACATTTTTGGCGGAGATGTTAATTGTTGTTGTTGTTGAGTGTAGTGGTACAATCCAAGTCTTTGTGGGGACCTTGGGCTTGTGCAGTAGATTTACCACTCATTTTAAAATTAAAGTACACCCAAATGACTTGGATGGAAATGAAGGTCACAGTGGATGTATTTATCAGGACGACGACATACAGAATACAGCAGCTTTGACATATGGAGAAAACACAATCAACTCATGTAGGTGATAAGACACATATGCGGACCAGTATTGAATAGAAGCGACAAAGTTGGAATAGGGATACTGGATTGAAGGGTGATACAGTGCCTGAGATGCAACTATAAAAAGAAATATCAGACCATCCACTGTACACGTGTTGTTAATGAGTGTCAATGAGGCAATTGAAAAGTTCACACACCCTGCATCACTGCAGAAATCTTCCAGAAGCTCCTCTGGAGAATGTTTTGTGTTGCTACTATTTGCAAGAGGCACTCCAATGACATGCCTCTTTGCATGAGTCATGAACTGTTTGCACTGCTCATTGACAACATCAAAGTCATCCAATGTCTCTGCAAAGACAGCTTGGAGATAGTCTTTCTCAGCCTCCAAGCCAGGGAGCCCTTGTGCACAGACAATCTGCCTGTAAAGTTCCACCTCTGACTCTGCTAGCCTGAAGTCCTCCTCCTGTTCCTCCTGCAAGGATTTCAGAAAATTGGTCTCTTGGTTCAACAATTCAAGCTTCCAGGTGGTGAATATGATCACATGCTTGAGGGTCTGCTGTACAGCCTGTTTGACTGAAATAGCCTTGCAGAAGGTATGGTTGGAAAGCCGACATAAGCCTTGATGGAGTAGCTCCATGCCCTAGAACTGTGTTAAGTACAATTGATTGAATTTTCAGCAAAAGTAATGACCTTGCACAAGTCTTCCTGAGTAAAATCTTTATGTGAAGCATGTTCAATGTGCTTCTTTGCGAACTTGAGCTTGTGATGGGTGGCTTGATAAATGATGTGTGGTGTGGGTACAACAAGTGCAGCAGTGAGAAATCTAACTACTACAAAGTTAGGTCTTTGCTGCCTGCTGCCTTGCTTGAGAACAAGCATGTTCAACCCTAAAGGGGATTGCTACTGGGAAGTACTAGTCACTGTCTAAAGCAACCCTATAGGATGAAAGATCTGCAAAAGCAGATGAAGTGGATAGGATGTGAAACATATGGATTCGTTGGATGGAGTGGACTGAACTTGTGGATACACTCAGAATGTGGGTCAAAGTTGAAGGAAGTATATTACAAGTTTAGATGGATAGTGAGTATAAGTCAAAATGATCTCCTGGTAAGGTGAAGGAAAAGTGGGAGGAAGTTACATGAGTCAGTATTTTCCAAAAACTTCTATGCTTATAGGGTACAGTATTTTCAAAGAACACTGAGATATAGGTAGCAAGTCTAGACTGTGCCATAAGCTATCCAGAAAATAATGGAGTGTGAGAGGATATGTCTGTGTTTAGTCAGTAACAAGAAAATGCATGCGAGTACATACCAATGAGGTAGAATGGATGTGGACAGGATGGATGCACGAGCTATAGGGGGAGATCCAAAGGTATCTGCTTGTCATCCACAAAGCGGATGGGTATTGGATGGACACCTGATATATCGGAAAAGCAGTGGATATGAGCCTAGTGTAGGGATACTCCCTACAGCAGTGGGACCTGAGTGCACATTCTTTCATGAAAAAGACAAATACAATCTTGGCTTCTAGGGGAGGGACATTTGGCAGTTTGCTTTTCGCGAGATTTCTTGTTGCTCCTAGAGGATAATTGATGCATATCATCCCTGTGCTTGAATGTAAAGCTTGAAGTGAGAGATTTAGGAGGAGAGAGAGGGGACATGAATTTGGAATTTTGGACTTGGAAGTTTCTGAGTGAGTCAACACAAGTTGACACTGTAGTATCCAAATCAGATAGAGGAGGGGGGTCATTCAAGTAGTATAGGTGTCCATATTGGCTCTGGAAATGTCTATAGAGATATCTATAGAGATACAGGCCTTCAACACCTAAGCGACATGTTCAAGGGGAATAGTTCAATGGCCTCTTACTATGTACTATTAGTCAAAATCTGAGTCTGAGTTTGAAAGACTTGCCCAACTTGTTATTGTTTTTACTACTTCCTTCCCATGCACTCTCCTAGTTGCCCTGACAGTATGCAGTGATGGAGGTCCAGTGGCCTACATGAGGCCAACCTGTTCTGGAATGCACATGATGTTTGCCAATGAGGCTGTGGTATCTGCAATTGACTTGTTCCTGTATACTATGCAAGCCTTCAAGTTACCAAGAGCGCCAAGCAAGATGTGAGACTAGATCTAGATGTTAATAAAGAAATATTTAAACTTTGAAAATGTGTGTCTGTCTAAGTATGAGTTCAACCAAAAAGTCTCACAGTCCTCCAAAACAGTATCACTTGTCCACTCCCGCAGAGCAATGGTACCAAATCTTGGGATAAAATGGGTGCTGCTCATGATATTGGCTATGGACACAATGCTAGCCACCCGCTCTCTGTTGTGTTGTGCTCAAGAGAGCTTATAGAGACCATGGTTCCAGTCAGGAGCTGGAGGAAATGGTGTGAACCACTCAATATAGGCAAGGTGAGAGGGTACATGAAAAGTAGATGAAAAGAATATGGGTATTGAAGTGGGGGGCAAAACAAAAATTGCACGCACTTGACCCACCTGGAAATCTGAATCCTATCTAAATAATGTGTGTGATTGATCAAAAATTGAGAAAATGTACCTTCAATACCCACAGTACTCATCCCAAGAGACACCAATGCTATATCAGATTGCCAAACCACCAGATGAGAACCAGAGTGTTGCTGGGGTTTAGCATGTACACTGTTGATTGTGACAGGTGTTTTGCCATGGCTATAAGTGTCCGATAACAACCACTTGATCTTGTGGAAAACAGGTAGTGCATGGAAAGGAAAATGAACATCACCTGCCAAGTCATTGAGTGTGTGACCTTGCAGAGGCTGGTTGTTATTTGAACTGTTGTGTTGAGCAATGTAACATGCCAGCACCTCACAAAAATAAGTCGCACCATAATCATCAATAAGTTTCTGCATGCTAACAGCCTTCACACTAGGATGTTTCATCATGACTTGCACATGGCAAAAGGTCATGTCAGGAGGATGTGCAGAGTGAGGGATGGTCTCATGTTCACCAGAAAGACACCAGCAAACATACTTATCATGGCGTAAAATCTTTTCCTTTCATTCCAACCAGATGGTCATTTGCACAAATTCATCCTTGTGATTTGTCACGTGGTAAGCATCTTTTGCAAGGTTGATGTGGAGGTGTTCAGTGTACTTGGTGTTATAATTATCTGTGGTACCAAACATCATGATCATGAGGAGGTAGTGGTGAGTAGCATGGAGTTTTGGTAGGTTGAAGTTGTTCTGGATACCAAGATCAATGAAGATATCCTTGTTGTTGTGGAAAATATCTAGCACCTCCTGTAGTAGTTCCAGAGTCTTGGAACTATGATAAGAATACTGTGAAAGGTATAGGAAATCCAGTAGCCCCCACATGGCCCATAACTGTCATATACCAGATCTGACTGCTCCGACAATTGATGTCCACTCTGCTTGACCCTACACCCCTTCCACTTTTCTGTCACCTCCACTCCATCTGCCCTCCTCATATACCAGATCCAACTGCTCTGACAATTGATATCTGTCCCGCTCAACCACCTCATCAGCTACCTTCCGTATCATTTCCATTCAACTGGAACCTCTTTCCCCATTTAGTTCCCCTTTGACACATAAACCTTACTTCCTGGATCACCGGTATTTCCTATAACCGCTCAATTACTGATCCGTTGCATACATATTGATATCTGCTCCGACTTATGTTTTCACCTGTGGTAATACTTACAAATTGTATACTCAGCACATAGCCTCATACTATGGACTACTGATCACTGCCTCCCTACTTAGAAGTATATAAAGCATATTATGTACTTAGCTACTGGCCCCAGTCTTAATATTACTTGTCTTCCTGCAGTCTCTACTAGCAGGAATTCTCCACAGGACTTTGCTCTCTCCAGACATGTTAAGACCATGCTCAGGGGTAAGGCAGAGTCTGAGGGGCTTGGCTTCAGCTCATATGCTGCACCCCTTACCCGAGTATGTGCCCCTAATTTTGGATTGTAGCCTGACACAAGTTCTATGAGCTCCAACAGGACGTTGGAGCAGAGATCCTCTGAAGGAGGACCAATGGACTACTAGATGAGTGCAAGAAAGTCGGGCGGAGATTGGTCTGCCCAACAGGGAAGAGCCAGAGGACTACTGCAGTCGGAGCTAACAGTAGAAGCGGAGTGGAGGAGACTGCTCGGATGAAGTCCAAAGCAGAATGGAAACAAGGAGGACAGATGCACAAGAGTATTGGTCACAAGTCTGACACGTGGGAAAGGCGGCCGAGGTGCAGGAAGTCAGATGAGTGGAGGAGGCGGCCGACCTAGGGGGTCAATCCCCTAGGCTGACAAACAAGAGTTGACTAGGCTCAAGCCTAAGTCAAAGAGCAGGGCTTAGAAAAGGTAATATTCAGACTAAAGATCTACAGACAGATGTACATATGTTTATATACTCTAAGTAAGTGTCATATACCTGATCCGACCACTCCGATACTAATATCTGCTCCGCTTTCTGACCCCTCCGCCCCATTCATCCTCCGCTCCATCCTATCACAAGTCCACATTCCGCCCTATGCTTCCGCTCAACCGCTCAACCGGTCCCCTTCCATAACCTCTCCATTCAACTGGAGCTCTTTCCCCTTTTAGATATATGCCTTTCCTATTGGTACATAGACCCTTACTTCTGGATGACCGGTAATTCCTATTACCGCTCGATCACTGATCCGATGTGTACATATTGATATCCGCCCTGACTTATGTCTTCACCTATGTAAAATACTTACAAACTATATCCTTGGTACATAGCCTTACTGCATAGTTATCCTGATCACTGCCTCATACATAGTAGTATATAACATATCATGTACTTAGATATTTTTCCTCAGTCTTAATATTACTTGTCTTCTCACAGTTACATCTTGTGAGAATTCTCAGTAGGACCTTGCCTCCTCTGGACATAAGTCTCAACTTGTTATCACCTCTGACCCTCCGACCCTCCGCTCCAACTTAGAGCCGTGCTCTAAGTCTTTTCCTTATTACCCCACCCCTATCAATATCCCCCTATCACCTTTTCCTATCCTCTGCATTATCCTCCGCCATCTCCGCTCCTATCAAGATATCTCCCTGGTTCCTATCCACCCTCTGCATCATTCACCGCCCTCTCTGCCCCGCTCCTAGTCGGTCTGCCGCTAGCAGCTCTTACTCCCCAACCCTCAAAGCGGACCCAAGCGGTCCACTCGTCCTACCGTTGGACAATGTTGGACCCGCTCCAAATTCGGGGCACATACTCAGCTAAGGGCACAGCACAAGAGCTGAAGCCAAGCCCCGACCCCTCTGCCTCTTGAGCCGGCACAGTACCTAACAGTAAGTAGCATAGCACAGCAGAAGGCTATGTGCTGAGTGTACAGAATTACTAGAAAGATGACTGAGACATACAAGAAAGAGGCTCGGAGAACAGTATGTATGCGACAGATCAATAATCACTCGGGTATAGGGATTACTGGTGATCTGAAAGGAGGAACCATGATACTAAAAGGAGATAGGACCAGTTGAGTGGTTCCTAGTCTAGGAGTGGACTGGTGAGGCGGTTGGGTGGAGTGACACAAGAGAAACTGAAGGAACCAAGTAGGTCAGAACAGCGGAGATGGTGGAGGGAGTAGGAGTAGGATCAGGCAGACTGATAGGGCAGAGGAGCGGAGCTCCAGATAGGGTTGGATGGTAGGGATATAGTGTCAGAGGAAATGGGGGGTAGTGTCAGAGGAGTGGAGCGGAGTCAGGCGGAGGTAGCAGGGCTAGTCCTACTGAGATGCACTTTGTGCATTTGTTGGAGAAGGAGGGATGGAGCAGACAGGGGAACAGGGGGTTGGACCAGCAGTAGGGATGTCTATGAATGGTATTGGGAGTGGTTGAATCTGGTATATGA